GTCCTGGGCGCTACTTATACCTTTTACTAAAACATCTAGCTTTGTGTTATCGCAGTGGCCAGAGCGATGTAGACGTCGACAATCCCTTAAAGATCCTTTCACGGGAGCTGTGAAGTTTGGGGCTATCAATGGTAGCATTATGCGCCTTCGCGTTTCGGTGCATCTGACTGTTGACTTGAAACTTGTGAGCCTTTGCGATAGTTCTGTACATCCTTCATGAGCGCGAGTATTGCCTATTGTCCTTAGGCTCATTGTCGTACAAGTGCTTGTAACAGACAAGCCTATATATAAAACTTGCGACTGCAGACATCTTAGTCCTTGCGAGAACCTGTAGGTTACGGTCTAGAGTACTCTGGAGGTCGCCATCCGTAGGCGAATATAGGTTTAATTTCGGTTCATTCCCTTTTGGTCATGTCAGCCTCTACCGTCGACAAGGCTTACCGATGATCTTTTGAGCTAATGCAGTTCAATAATGATCGATATAATAACAAAACTTTTAGACCTTCATTATGGTACGTTTCTTTGAGATCAAGTGCCCTGTGGAAAGTTATAAGTGCTTCGGTACGAATCGAAAGGAATTGGCAAAAATGCATTTGTAGCTTAAGTCCTTTGGCAGGTTCTATCTTACCTTTGTCATGTGGTCAAACATTATGCCTATCAGCTTGCCTTGTGCCTGATGCATTCGTGTTCGTTAGCATGAAATCTTAGGCTGTTTGGTCGGCTTTTGTTGTTTTACGTGTTCAGACTAAATAACTTGGATAATGATGTTTCGCAAGGGATACTAGACATTGCCTTCTGCGGCGTAATATTCCGATACGATGCTTAGGTAGAACTTATCGAGTCTTTGGTGAAACTTTCGTGAGACTTGCTAAGTTGTGTAGCACATTACCTTCGTACAAATGGTTAGTTGGGAAGAAAACCACGGAGGCAAGAACTAAATGATGAGTGACGATAGACAGTACTGTTGCTCTCTTTCGGGGTCGCTGCTGTTGATTCCTTTGGTTCGTCTAATTAACTGAACTTATACAGAATCTGCGCTGGTGTTGGTTTGTTGGATCCTAGCTTGGTCTAGCTAACCGAGCGACTATCGAAAGAAGCGAACAGCGTTTGCTACTAGTACTATATATATTCGCTGGATGTCATCTTAGCATTTTTAAATCATTTTTTTAGTTATTCGACAAATAAAGTTTCTAATGAATAAATGGGGTCATTTATAGGAGCGATCCGAGATATTAACTTTCCACGCGCACAGAGTGATTCTAACCAATTAAGAGAGATTGAAGTACACGAAGAGATTATTTATCTAAACTAGCCGAGGGGAAAAGCTTACATGAAAAAGATAAAGTGGATTGTGCGCATACAAAGGAATTATTTAAAAGTCAGTATAATTAATAAAAAAGGCGTGTCTTATGTTAGAAACCCATATATTTATTTTAGATTATATTGTATATACTATCTACAAGGCTCATCCTTAAAGGCTATCGTTTTTGATGTTGAGAAAGTTAGTACAGTGTTAAAGGCGCTATAGCATATTCTAAAAAAATTCGCGTTTAGAAGCTAGAAATAACAACTAAGAAAAAATTTAAACAAGATCGAAGAGGTAGAGATTTGTGAACGAAATTGAGCGTACACAAATTAGACTAAAAACAACATCTTACAAGTTTAGGTTTGCTATCTTTATAGTACACCTATCTTAGGAAGTGCTAATAAGTCTTTAATGAAAGCGAATAATTTGTTTTTTGTGAATATATGCAGAGGGCTCTACATTAATACTAGGCTCTCTTATACTCCATTGGAGCATTAGCCCTGAAAATACGTTTTTAATAATAATAAAAATGTAGTTACCAATTTACAAAGCTGGCCTGCTTGGTAGAATTGTAAGCAATGAGTGAATAATCGTAAACTTAGGTCATGCATTCTAATTCTCTCACATAACAGTAGGAAGGTAAACAGGCGAGTAAAAGTTTCTTAGGAGGGTAATCTAGCCTATAACCAGTAATTCTGCTGCTTCAAGGTGAAAAGATCGTAGTAGCACTAAAAAAAAAAACCACAAATGGATCAGCAGTAGATACAAACTGACAACGGACGAAACTCATCATGTTTAAAGGGATTTGGAACAATTAGCTATATGTTTAAAATTATCAGGGCTAACCAGTGTATAAGAGATAAGTTAGCTTGAACTCGCTTATCGTTCTTCCGCCACTCCTTTGGCTTTGGGGCTAAGCAACCTAGCTAAGGTTGCAATCTCAATGAGGAAGGCTTTTACCTCCTCGTTCAAAAATCCTATCAAGGTTACCATATAGGTGAACCCTTAGTGATAGACTTGACTGCGGCTTAAATCTTGTCCGTTGAGAGCTTCCGTCACTCATTAAGATTGCTTAATTGGGCAGACCTACGTGGGATAAATAGTATATTGCCTTTAAGCATTTTTACAGAAAGAAGTCACCAGTTATAGTATATGAATAAATAAAAAAGAAATTTTTTTTTGAAAAACCAAGACATTGATTAGTAATTTAAGGTATCTACAAAAATTATGTTTAACACAGCAAGCTTACATCTCGGGAAAAAATCTAACACGGGAAGATTACTTAATTATAAGGAGCCAAGAAATCTTGACTACTTATCAAGTTGAAAGATATATTTTACAAATGGAATATTCCCACTGCCATAAATGAGATTAGTTCCTGCACCATAGGTCTCTTAGACCTCTTCTACGCTTGCTTAATTTTTAATATTAAAATGGTATGTTGAAGGAAGGAAGCTTAAAAGTGAAACCGAGTGTAAGAGTAGAGAAATTCATTAAACTATTTAAGAAAGACGAAAGACAAAAAAGAGTACAAAAAGTGTTACTTTTTTATAAAACTTTTTAAAAGAGTTTATTCGGTGCTCTTGAAAATAACTGAATAATGTGCGTTAGTTACTCGAAGTTACAAAAATATTTAAGACAAAGTTTTTCTGGCAATGTTTATCTGATATAGAAAACGAATAGACGTTTGAGAAAGCTAACACAAATATGACGGTCAAAAAGATTTGCCAAAACTTAATTGTATTAAAATTTACTTCCTAATTACTTGGGGACAATTTTTTTGATTTTTGTTGATTTCACAGGCTATAAGTTTCCTACAAACTTGTATATTATAGACAGCAAAGTAATATAGTAAGATATAAAGTGTATTACAGAAATAAAGTAATATAGTACAAGGAAGTTGAAGTGCTAGAAAGCACTATAAATTTATTTGATTATCATAGATCCCCAGACGCACCAAACCACCCAACCGCATAACAAACAAAAGAAGGAAGAAAACTGCGGGAGGTGCGAGCCAAACTTATACAACCCCATGAGCACTCCCTTGAACACTACTGCTATAAATTGTTAAAAAATTAAAATAGGTGGTGTTGATCTGTACCTCCTCGTTACGTTTAAAAAAAGCTTGCAGAAAGGGTCTATAAATTTTTTTTTGTGGCAGTGTATACATTATGTCCGAGTGTTAACTTTATCAGAACAAAAACAGAAAAAAGAGGCTTAAGGAAAAAGGAAAAAGAACAACGAAATAAAACATTTTAGGTATTAGAAAGTTTTTGACTAATTATCCATCTAACAAAGTATTTTTTCCCTTTAGTAATTTATATATTACACTAAATAGTAAAGAATTAGTGTATCTCATGGGTGTTATTTGTACGCAGAGTTTATTTATTTTAATGAATGACCCTTCATATAATGTAAGATTTAAGGAATCTACTTAGGGGAGAATTTCTAATTGTTAGTGGGTTTGCAGCTCTTGAAAATTTTATAAATTTTTAATAAGTAGATAGCCTAAGTATATTACTATATTGTATCTGCATAAATTTTAAGGGGGCTTCGCAACCACATAAACCGAAAAAGAAAGGTGTTTAATTTTAGTAAATTATTTACCTAAGTTTATCAGAAATTCTGGCATAAAATCTTTGCACAGTTTTATTAAGTCTAACTAACTTTTTTCTGCGAATTTTTCGTACCCAGTTAAAACCTTGAGTAGGCGAGTCCTCCAAGCGATACTTATTATCCAGGGTGCCCCTTTTTAAAGTTAAGGTCAATTTCGATAGCTTGTGTTCAGGTGACACTTCCTTGTGGTGCTACTCGATATATCTATTCTAAGAATTTCGCTAGCATATTATATATTAGTGATACTAGAAAGTTAAAATTTATTACATTTTTAATAAGTTAAGCAGTTCGTTTCTTTTTTTTTAACTAACTATGGAGGGAGATTCAGCGTTCACACGGTTTTTAAAAAACATTTTAATTCACAAAGTTGAAAAAGTAATGTTCTCCTTTAAGTAATAGAGAATCTTTAAAGACAACTAAAACAAAAATTTCGGGTCAATCTTATAGAAAAACTCAGTATTTGTTTACATTAACTTCCAACATAGGGTGTTTTAGCTCTTTTAATTATTACTAGTGACTCCTTATCGTTAGCTCCCTTAAAAGTCAAAATTTTTTTAATACTTTAAACCAAAATATTTACACATTTCATTTATTATAATTTCAACTTAAAAAAAATGTCTTTCGTGACTGTTAACCGTATGTTTATTATTATATGCTGTTTGATAAATAAAATAAAACTGTTATACGACTCTGCTAATTAAAATAAATTTTGTAACTATACCGATCGGTAATTTTTTAATAAGAACTCTGAGCTTAATTTCTACAAGCACAAAGGAGAGCTTTTTTCTAATTTTCAAAAAGATGGCGTTACTATAAACATAAACGACGCTGGTATTATACTAAACGGCCCCTCCGCTTCTCTATGAAAGAAAACCGTATGTTGTTTACTCGGAAAAGCTTGTATGTTTAATAAATCTGTTAACACTACACACAGTCTTACCAAATCATTTTTATACTTGGAAAAGACTTCTTTATAAATTTTTTTATTTAAAATATATAAAAATTATCAAAACTTAAAGATTTTAAAAGTAAGCTCTCACAACAATATGTTTGCGTGTTTTGAGTAGAATATCTTTTCAAAATTTTTACTGTCTTCCCATTTTAAGATGAAAATTACTATAAACAAACTGAGCACAACTAAATAAATTAATTGGAAGCACATCAACTTTTCAATAATCCAAAGACTCGACTTGAGAAGGTCTGTTTGGGGAATTTTCTTCGCGTTTATTTCCGAGTCTATAGATCCACCGCGCCTGCCAACCTGCCTCAGTCGCTGCATAATACTCAGAAAGCGTGTCTGTATAGAATAATATGCTCGAAGGTTTATCATACAAACCTAAAAGATTATAATATAAGATTTACTATAACACAAAATCAAAAATAAATTTCACCAAGCGTAAGTGCTATGTCGAAGAAACTCGACTTCTCGGTTTTTAAGCCGGAATTAATAACATCAAAATAACCATCAATGCATAAAGAAACGTCTCCTGTAAGCATTAAGGCTAAATTATAATAAGTTTTTGGTTAAATTATTAAGTCGATTTACCTTGCATGGAGTGCGACAATAAAAGTTTCTGTGCATATCGGGAGCCGCTGGAGTACATATAGACTTTGATGCCTATTACAATTAAAATTTATTTTCAAAAAGTAATTTTTTTAAAGAAGTAATACCTTTCGAGCGCCATCTCCTCAGCGCCTCAGGAACATCCTCGAACAACGGGCAACTCAAATCCCCAACCTCGAATCCTCGCTTCCATACTAAACCTTTATAAATTATAAGATAATAGTTAAAATAAATCCATAACAAAAAAAATAATATATAATGTATAAGTCAACCTTGAAGATTTTTAAGAGTTTGGTCTTTCACGTTAGATAGCATCATCTTCTCGAGGTTTTTAAAGATGGCCTTCAAGTACTGTTCCAACGGAGAACTGGAGCACACATAAAATTGCTATTTGGCAATCTATTTGACTCTGAGCTTCGTTAAAAAAATTAATCTAACCTTTTCCCAGCGATTATTTTCAATTTCATTATTAACAAAGCGAGCAAGATCGTCTGTGTAAAGTTTTACCAGAGGCTAAAAAAGGTGATTAATAAATAGTTCAGTTATAAAAATCCGTTTATAATTAAAAATTAAGTATAAAAATCATACGTTACTATTATAATTTTCTATAAGGAAGGATAGAAACTTTGACCGAGCATAAGGGAACATGACTTCAGAGACAAATTCAATAGGGCAGACAGTTCCTATTTATAAAAAGTTATATAAATTAATTTCCCAAAGTAAAAAATTTCAAAGTTCTAAAATAAAAAAACTGAGAGGTGCCTTCTATGTCCAGCACAATCGCCTCTACGGGACCTGCGCAGGGTGGATCAGGCGTGGAGGTCAGCTGACTACTTATGGCATGCGCCAGCCCACCATTTAGCTTTTCGGACTTTTTCCGTTTGATACCCCCCGCGCTGGAAGTTCCACTGAGCGGCTTGGACACGTCGATATTAAACTTCCTGGCTTCTACGTAAGCTTGGAAAAGATAGTGATAGCACTCCGCTTGCGTTTTAGCAGAAATCCAATCATCGCCCCAAATATAAACCCCGTGACGACGCACGAGTACAGCATTTGAGCGCGGATACTTCAATATAGCTTTCCTGTTTCAATGTTTAAAAAGAATTATACTAAATTTTAAGAGATATTTAAATACTCAATAAATCTGCATAAAAATCTGATGAAATAAAAAAATCTTTACCTCAAAGCATGGACAAGTTCATGCTCGCGGGGTGTATTCTCAATAATGGGGACAACCAGCATGTCAGCATAGCCGTGTCCCTTAATACCTTTAATCATCTCTAAATTTGTGCAGCGAAATTCGGTAGAATCAGCTTCTAATAAAGTTACCTTGTATAAGAATAACAATTTATAAAGAATATAATCTACATATAAAATTTAAAAAACCATCACAGACTCAATTGAGTGAGAATGCAACACCGCGTTAGCATTTCTTAGCTCAAAAGCTGAAGTAAGAAGGGGCAAACATTCGCTACACTTAACAGCTCGCGCAGGCCAAGGTTTCTGCACGGGAGCTTCTATAACGGAGCCATCCACATCGGAAATTACATACCTGAGCCATAAATAAAATAAAATAGAGATAAAACCTTTAAAGGGGAACAAAAGTTTAGACTATATTTTTTATAAGTTAATAAGTTAATCTTAGTAACTAATAAGTTATGAGGGTTACATATCTTCTGAGGAAAGTCTCTCTTTCTGGACGCCAGACGGTGCAACAACAAAGCAGTGCTTGCTAGGGACGCGAATACTGATCCCGCCGCCAGTCCCGGAAACCCATCCTAAAAAATGCTTAAACTTAAACAGGAACGAATTTAACATAATACCTTGAGAATAAAACTGCTGGCAAAGCCTAGAAACCAGTTCTTTCGCCTCTGAAACTGTAGCTGCCATTTCTTATCTATCTAAAACTATTAGAAATAATATATGTATAAACCACGAAAAATTAAGGTTGTACAAGGAATAAATTTAGCTCTAATAATAATTTTAGTCAAGAAACTAAATGTCAAAACAGAAAGATGACTATACTACAAAAAATAACGGAATTTAGCTGAAAAAAAAATAATTTGAACAAAAAAGCTTACCTACAAAAAGATAATATTGGGTAAGAGAAGGCCATTAAATACAATAGAACCCGAGATTAAGCCAAGAATTTTGACTACTAATACTAATTTGCAGTCATGGGGGCCCTCGGACAGCGAACGCGTTCCTATCAGGAAGACCCTGATGGACTGAGTGATTAAAGCTGGGGCTCAATGCCCAGCGCTGAAAATTTTAAAAAACTATATAAATCTTGAACACCAGAATTACATTACATAAAGAAAAAAATTTAGATATTTTTCCTTTAAAAAGATAATGTAAGGAGGTGACTCCGCTAATCTCAATGCGGAATGAGAGTAGAAAGGTGCCTTTTACTCTAGTTTTAACATGTATGCATACGAAATTTCGTAGTAGCATTATCTGCTGTGTAACGTAACTTATATTTACGAGACTCTTAAGCTTCTATGGAACCTTACGAGATGCCTGCTTAATGAAAATTTTTTCTTAACTCGTCGTTTTTACCAATTTAGGCATTTCTTGTGATTATCAATGACGTCAGTAGTTTGGGTGACTCAATACCCGAAAAGCCTACTTAACTTTATTATTAACCTCTCATTATAATAGCTTTTTATAATCATCAAAGCACAAAATAAGTTATCTCAGTTAAGACATTTTCATAGGTATTTATTACAAAGAATTTTTTGGATCTAAATGTTTGATAAATTTCTATTCCAGTTTTAACACTTAATAATGCAAGTTCTGGTGAGATTAATAAGGGAATTGACAAATTAAAAACATGACTAGTCAACAATTACGTTAAGTATTGTAAAACAATTATATGACAAACAATTAAGTACATTACTTTTAAAAGGCTTATATGCAATGGAGTTTAACCCTTATTAATCTAAGTTAACTTCATGTAATAGTTTTAACTCAGCAACAAACCAAAAAAGTTACTAGTAACTAAACGATAATCTTAATCTTATTGAGATTAATCAAGGACAACTTAATCTACTAAAATAAATAGGTTTTTCCAAAAAATTATCCTTCACTATACTTTCTTAAAAATCTATATTTTGCTGAATAAGGGTTGAGGAATTTCACACATGAAAAAGTTATTTTAACCTAACTAAGTTTGGTTGTTACCTGCCTCAGCTATAATCTTTCATTAATTTTGGTTAAAATTTTGCATACCCTCATAAATGAGATTTTTTAAATGAATGCAAACAACTTGTAGAGCAAGCACAAGAGGAGGATATGAAGTATACCATATACAAGTAACTTAATAATTTGTAAAATACGGTACTTAAAGAAAAGCTGTGCGTTTATTTTCGAGATAACACGAATACAAACTCCCAAAAACGTTCTAAAAATAATTGGTTGCCTGGTTAGAAATTTTAAACATTAATTCCTTATCTGCTTTTAAAAAGTAGTTTACAGTTTGTTTGATAATATAAACGTAAACTTAATTTTTATTTAATAATTTTAGAAAAGAACAATCGTTTATCGACTAAGTAAACAGTGCCAATTGAAAAAGACAAAAACTGCTTAAGAAATTTAGAAAGATATATTTTGAAGGGTGTTTAAACTTAAGTATCCTAAAAAATTTTTACATGGGTGTGTGAAAATCGTAATAATAGACGAAATTTGAATATTCTTGTAATAGTTAGAAACTAAGAGCTAGTTGACACAGTATCAGTGTAAAAAAGAAGAGATTTACTAAAGTATAAAAAATTGGCATTTTTTTTGTAAATTTTTATGTATACTTAAAAAAAGCGTTAAAGAATGATTATATAGCCGTCAGGACAACGCATCATCTCAAACAGCACGTAAAACAAAAGAATTTTAGAGGGCAAGCACATTCCGTTAAGGAACCTTCTATCATAACGAAGGTTCCGCCCTATTAATTTTTATTTTATATTTAAATTATAAAAATTGTGCAAAAAAAAATTCCTATTTTACTCATTCAATAAAAGAATTAATTTGACTAATAGAGCCATTTTTCTTTATATATTATATAGCTTTTGTTAAATTTTTAGGATGGTCTAATTAAAAGTTAAAGTTAGAATTATGTAAAAATAAAAAGACTAGTTGACCTCTCTAATTCTCTTTTTGACTTTACGTACTTTTTTTCACACAGAATTTCAGAAGAGCTTAGTTTTGTTAAATGTATTTTAGAGTTTATAGAATGTTTTATTTGAGCTGTAAGAAGCCTCGAATCTTTATAAAGTACATGTTCGTTTTAGGTCAGGCAGAGATGCAGTATATAAATTTACGTGCTTCATGACTTTTTAAACCTTACTTTAGTATATTGTGACCTAATCCTTTATCTTCAACATTTTCCGTTAAAACTTAAGGATATTTTAACCAAATTATTAGTTTAAAATATAAGTTTTTTAACCTTACACTATCTTCTGGTCGTTAATATGATTTACTTTAAAATTTATCCCTTAAAAACTTTTATATCTATATATATATACTAACTAGTCTGTGACTACCCTTAAAAATAATTAAACTATAATTTTAAAATTCTTTTTCTATGTATAAGTGGGCGAGTGTTTGAGTTTTAAATTTCACTACATTGAAAATAGGTAATATGGATTAGGTATTTGAAATTATACCATTTTGTTGTCTAGCTTCTTTTCTCACCAGACTTTAAATCTTTATACCCATACTTTCTTATCAGTATTAGCTCCTTAACTAGCTAAATATCAAGGTGAAGCTAAGTTCTGTACTACTCTATTACATTATCAAAATAAACGCTGGTGACCACCTATCATAAGGAAAGCAAGGAAATTTTAGTGTTTTAAGTAACAAGCTTTTCTTCTAACGAAGAGCGTCCTTCGTCTAGATTGGCAAAAAAAAATACTTGTGCGTACAAATAACATATGGTCTAAACAGAACAGGCATACTATATTACCTGCCCCATCTATTTTTTACTTATATTACCAAACTCACAAAAGTTTACGCTTACGCCGTTAGCGTGGACCATGTCATCCTTCGTGTGCTAAAGTCGGGAACTTTAAGTTAAAACACGGTATAGGCCACCAGAAAGAGTTCAGGCACACATTTGTAGAGCAGCGATTTCACATGTCAAACTCAGTTGAACGTACTTTTGAAGACAACGTCTATCGCCTTTTTAAAATTGAAGTAACGGCCAGCCCATTTTAAACAGCTGATGAGTTGCTGCATCTTTAAAATTGCTTTGTCTTGCACCGCATACGCTTTTAATCGGGGTCTTTCATTAACTGCTGGCAGGTACTAATGAGCATTTGTTATTTAGCAGAGAAGTTGGTCCTAGTATTTTTGGTAAGATCATTTCATCACATTATAATGATGCAAAAAGCATTGAGGATAATATGGAATCAACGATTATCTATCGCCCCCCAAGGCATTTGCTCAGTCTCGTTTTAGTAAATTCTCCGAGGTTGAGAGCTTTTCCCCTCTTGAGCTGTAATTCACTTGAGTCGGTGCTCAAGGGTTCGCCGGCATTAACGGAGGAAAAGTACGCTTAAAGAATTAACTTTATAGCAATAATTAATGCAGAAGATACATAACTTCAAGGGAATTCGCAGGGGTTTGCTATTAATAGGAATAAATTAAACTTGTAAAAGTAAGCCTCCCATCCTGTTAATTTATTTAAACATTTTAAACACTTTAGAATGAATGACTAATAAAGCTTTGTGGACAACGTTTAATTCTTTGAATAAGTATATTTGTTTTCATAAGCACTGATTATATGTTATTGTACTTTTCAGGCTATAGCGCATACAAATTCATTTTTAGATAAGGCCAGTTTAGAAATATATTTTATTTTGCTGCTATAAGAGCTTTGATATTCATCTTCACTCTCTTTATTTATTAATGGAAAAAATATTGAGGTTTAATAAATAAAAGAACAACAATTTTAGTTAAAGCCCTTAAAAAAAAAACTTAATTATAAAAATTTCAAATAAAAAATGTTAAGATTTTATTCTTCTTCAAAACTGCAAACAAGTTATTCCAAATTGATTTTCTGTTTTAAAATTTTCTAGGACTTGTTTGTTGTGACTCTCTTCTGCGGGGTCACTACTTTCTAATAGGAATTCTTTTATTTCAACGAAGAGTTGTTCTGCTTCAGTTGTAAAGTGTTGACCTACAAAGAGGAAAAATTTAAAGTTATGATTGTTAAAAAAGAATGTGAGAGCCTTAAATTCAAATAGTTTCAAGTAAATCTTTACAATTTTAAGTAATTTTTTTTAGCAGAGTGACTAAATAAAACAAAGTAGTGAAAAAAAGTTAAGGAAAGTTAAATTAATATCTCTGTTTATCTGTTTTAAAGCAAACAAGTATAAAAATAAAAATTTTTAGAAATAAAAAGGTAAAAAAAAGTAGCTGTATAACTATAAACTTATATAATAATAAAAAGTTAATTGTGCTCTATATAACAACTTTAGTTATTGAGCATAGAAAAGTTAAAACAAATATAATTTACTATTAATCCCTAATTGGTATAGATAAAGTTATTTAAAAAAGAAGTTTGACTACAAATGAATGAACTTTTAGTGATATAAGGTGAAGTTGAATTTAAATGAGAAAAAACCCAAATGATCTTTTACGGATATACTTATAAGTTCGCTATAAAAAACCTAAAGTATTTTAATCTATTTTATTGTAAAGGAAAATTAGATAACTTTAATATAAGAATGAAAGTGTTAACAGAATAACTTAAAATTGTGAAAAAATTTGATAGTTATCTATGAAAAAAGGGGTCATAAAATTACAACGTTATTTCAAATATTAACAATAAAATTTAAGAGCTAATTTAAAAATTGTAATAAGTACTTCTAAAAAAGAAATATAAAATTAAATTTTGTAGTAATAACTTTTTTACCATATATTTGGTAAAAAAAAAAATTTAAGGCTAATCAAGGTAGAACACTCACACAAAACCGAAAGCGAACTTAAAAAATTGAAACTTATACTTACGAGAAAAAAAGTATGTCACAAGGCTCTGAGAAAGTTAGTTAAGTGGTAAGCTAACTTACCTTTGTTATTACCGGCTTTAACCTTTTTTTAAGCTTTATTGGTATAAAAGCTTTAAGAAGTTGCTAGTTTTAGTATACTTTATTATTTTTTTTTAAGTTTTACATAATAAGAGCTTGATAATTGCTCTAAAAAGATGTGAATGCTGAAGAACTTGCTTTATATAAATAACAAGTAGTTTATTTACGTTAAACGCTGCGAATTACAATAGCACATAACAGAAACGTTTGTAACAAATCACAATACACTAAACTAAATATTTAAATTCTATAAATTGCAACAATAAATATTAAAACCACGACTGCTGTATATTTTAAACAAACAAGTATTATAACTTTAATCAAGTTATGAGTGTCTGTGATATTCGTTTAAAAAGTTACAATTTAGTTTTTTTTGCTCCCAAAATCGTGTTTTCAGCCTGTCTTCTCTGCAACTATAAAAATTGTGGAAACCATTGAATTTAAATTTTTCTTTGTAACAAGATATTACAAAAACCATTTTCTTATTTTATGCTTTAATTATAAAAGTTGGTTACTTGCGAGTGTCAATGTACTCCCATGCTGTTATATACGAAAACTTCAACTTTTTTTTTCAATGATTGAGGCCAACCTATTTGTAAATGAATCTTGTACAGCATCTTTATAAGAATTTTTTACCATATGACGCCCTTTTTAAAAATTTACTGTTCAAAAAAAAATTTGACTTTACCATAAATTTTAAATTAAAAAAGTAATGCACGAGAGCAACAATTCTTCAATGGTTAAAAAGATACTCAAATTCATACTTATTATTTTATACATTTAATGAGCATGTAAAAGTACAGACATCCAATAACAGCAAACCTTCCTGCCGTTATAAAAACTGCCTATATAAGTTTTCATAATATATTTTTTTAAGTCCACGAGGCCCTTATAGTCGTGGAGTGTAGGTTTATCAAATTTGGAATTATATATTACTAATCATACTATTTTTAGAGTAGTAAATTATTATTTTTAATAAACTTTATAGTATAATTAAATTTATTTACAAAATTTAAAAGTAATAATAGAGGGTAATTACTAATATATAACGCATAAAGAAATAAAAAACTATCTGATTACAACCATATATATATATAAAGACACGAATATTATATTTTACATGCAGTTTTACACGTACCCGTAAATAGTTTTAGCGCTCTTAAGTCAATAAGCATCTAAAGTATAGTTAGTTATTATAATAATAGTTAATAATAAATAATAAATATTAATAATAAGACTTGTTTATTCCAAAGACGAGTAATAGATGATCCCTTTATAGCTGGTATCTAACAAGAAGTTTTGAATATTATAAGGAAAAAAAGTTCAAGTTTACTAGTAAAACGCAATTTAAGTCTTTTATGCGATCCTAGTAAATATTTACATTTTTTAATATCATATTATTGGTTGTTTTATAACCAGTAATATTAAGAATAAAGCAGTTTACCTTCCCTTCGTTCGCATCCAGAACGGCTTGGGAACACCGGCTCATGGCATTTTTGATTAACACGTGGAAAACATCCTTGGTTAGATTTGTCCCGGTGCAGTCAACTTCGTAATAAATGGTTATGAGCTCGTGCAGAAGAACACTGACAAATTCTCGAACGCCTTCCAAGAAAATAATGAAAATTATAGAAAAAAGGATTTTCATCAGGCCTTATTATAAACTGTTGGGGTGATCAAAATTTTGTCATTAAAAATTATGTAAAACTTGTATTTTCTATAACTTTTATTCATCAATTAATTACTACATTATAATTTTTGTTGTGATGTAATAATAATTCAAAATAATATGGATAGTAATAAGCAACCCTCGTTCATACGTGGAACCAACAAACAAAGGTCCAATTGTTGAGCTAAAACTTTAGTTTTCGACTGAATATAATTCTCTAAAGCTTCTTTCTTTAAGTCTTCAAACTCTTCATTTATATTCTACATAAAAAGTATGACCATAAATTTTAATGACAGGAAAAGTTGAATGAGAAATATTTATAATAAACTTTAACAAAGTAGTAAGCGGGACCTGCTGCTCCTCTTCTAAGCCGAGCCCAAAGCGATCTTCAAACAAACGACAAAGCGTCGGCACGACTATATTCCTGCTGTGGATACACCACGTCACCACGCGCAAGTAACGCTGGAACTGCACGTGAAGGCCATTGGTCTAACCATATATGGAAATAAGTCACTATGAGCACGTGGTTTCGCTATCGTATATATAATACGTCGAGTTCAGTGGTCAATGCGCTTGCCTCCTCCCCTGGAGTGCCTATAGAGGAAGTTTGTGGAAAGTCACTTTTTTCCCATCAATAGCAAACTAGTATTTATTTATATATAAAACCCAAAAGTATATTGTAATTTTGTGAATCGCTCTTGTACATTTCAACTTCTTCCGTTAACGGACTTTCAAAAGCGTAATATCTAAAAAACTTAATTTTTTTTATTGTATCGTTATCGTTATGACTAATTATTCATTAATATAGTTATATTTAAAATAATAATTTAACCATTTTGTTTTAATATTTTGTTTATAAGAAAAATAGAAGATTATGAGTTACAATTTCCTTCTGACTTTTTTTTTCAGTTAATAAATTTGAACTAAATATAATGCAAAGTTTAAAATGAAAGCTTGCAAAAAAGGTTGATACTGATTTTTTATATTTTTTAATAAAAAAAGGAAATATATATATTTCTTATAGCTCTCCACTTACGCTACTAATAAAAGTATATTTATAAAAGAAAAAAGGAAAAACAAAAAAATAACTGCAGTAAAAAAGTATATATTATTTATTACTACATTATTCATGTTTTTAAAAGAAATAGGAAACATATAAAATGACATAGTAAGTAATATTTTTAATAATAATAATATTAAAACATAATGTAAATGAAAATAGTGAAAAACCCAAAACATGATAAAATAAAAAATTACAAGTTTTAATATATTATTATATAACAAGTAAAATATACTTAAAAATAGTTAAAGCTAAAAACTTTTCTATTACAAAGAAATAAAAAAGTTTTTGTACTAATATATTTTAATAAGTAAAATGGAAGCTCTTTTTCTTTAAAATAGTAAAACTGTTCTAAGATAATAAATATTACTCATAAAATAATAATTATAAGTAAAAAATCAATAATAGTAAGTAAAATGGTTTATAAATAAGAACAAAATAGTCAGAACAACCAAAAGGAATATTTTAGTAAATTCGCCATGAAATTTGAAGAGTATAAAAAGAATATAAAAGTTTTATAAAAAATAGTATAATAATAAACGAAAAAAATAATTTAAAATAATAAGAATAACAGACAGGGAAAAGTAAATAATAATATTATTAATAATCGTAAACACTTTACTTGCACGATATGACTAAAATAAATAGAAAGCATCCGTTTCACGAGGAAAGATGCTGCTTTTGGGTTCGACTCAGTATTTACTTGCAAGTTTTGGGAATTTCTGGCGCAATAAATATATAAACTTATATATATATATATATAAAAGCTACTTTTTTATAAATAATTACGGATAAACATTTTTTTTCTACTAAACGTTAACATGTAAGAATTATAAAAATATATATTTTATAATATCAAAGTTTAAAAATTTTTTAGTAATCAGCTTACTAATAACAAAAAATATTGAATAAAAAAAGAGTAAAAGGTTTACATATAATTAATATAATAAATGTATATAAGTTTTATTTATATAAGTACTACATATATGAAAATGATAATAACAAATAGAATATATAATTTTATTGCTTTTCTATAATGAAAAATATAATGTTATGTGATAAATAAATTGGTTAATAAGAATACATAAACTAACAAATATAAATATTTAATTCAACTAAGTAATATTAAATTTATTTAATATTAATTAATATATTTATAATATTAACATAATTGTTCAGTTATCAATATAAATAGTAAAAAGAAGAACAATATTTACAGTAATGATACGGAATTATTAGTTTAATAATAACAGTTATAAATACGGCATATTTATTTCCATGTTGACCACGTGGGCGATTGAAAGTAGACAATTTTCGATGATGGATGCGTACTCCTCGCAGAGCCAAGTAGGCTCCTCTAGAAAGCGAACAAAGATGTCCCACTTTTTTAACTCCTCAATATCTTTAGGTAAAATGATATTAAAAATGTATAAATAAAATATAAAGTTTTATGATAGTAATGAAAAAATTCTTAATGATAATAATGATACTACTACTACTAATAAATACTTATAGTAAGAGTATACTAACGCAAAAGTGATTTAACAAGTATTTTAGTGGTTTATAAAAAGTTACGATATATTTTAACAATAAATATACTAATAAACAAAAGGTTTCATTTTTTTTGGCAGCGAAGTTCTGTTAGTCATTATTTTTAAAATATAAACATGTATAACGATCTTTTCATTATTTGAATAAACTTTAACTAACAATACATTTTTTATAAAAGAAATATTAATAAATATTATAAACAATGTAAAGTAAAAGATTGATATTTAAAAAATTGTATGATAGTAATAATAGTATTAATAATGAATTATAAATAAAACAGATAATAATAAAGAATATTTAATATAATTTATGATAATTATTAAGTATTAGGTAGTTATCATGATAATTCTATTATTATTTTTAAACGGTTTAAAGGAAAGTGTGTAATAGTAAAAGGTCTTATTATTACTACTTTTCGTGATATAAAAAAGTATATAATAGTAAAAAAAAGTATTAAACAAAACTTTTATAACTATTTCTTAATATTACTAGAGAATATTTAATGAAACATTTTTTTAAATTTAATATTTATTAAAACTATTACTATTATAATTATATAAACTATTACTGTTACTTTCATTATACTAGCATTATGTGAAAATAGTTTTTTTTTTTAATGCTTATTATTACTATTATTATTTAGATTCTGATATATATATATATATATAAACTATTATTAAAAATTTTATATATATACAAACTGTTTTTGTTACTATTAATTCTATTATTAATAAGAATTTGATATATACTATAACAATTATTTATTATTCATGTTATTTCTTTGTAAATAACGTAAAATACCAATCAATGTTTGATGAAGAATTGGCTTCAAGCAATAAGTTCTAAATTTAATAGCGAGGCTGAATAATGAAGAAGTGATGCTCGCGTGGATATACTGAAGATGAGAGACATTTTCGTACCCAGCAAAGATGACCTCATTACAAATATTGTAATAAGAAAAATCCAGTAGGAAAAAAATATGAAAAATTTTTTAGTGCAACCATTTATTCTCCGTATTTATCCCTTTAAGGAGGTTAAAAAGTTTTCCCATATTTGGAAAAATGTATTTATTTTACCAAATTAGTTTTTACAATTTTTTGTGCATAGTCTGTCTCACAATAACTAAAGGGAGTCAAGTTATTTTTATGCGTTCATAAATTTCTTTATCCTTTTTTTTAATAACTGAATTTATGATTACTGATCGAGAAAAAAAATACAGAGGTTTGTGTTTAGTCCTTCCGTACAACTTTGGTATGTGTTTCTTGGCTGCAATTTCATACAATTACTTTGTGTTTTTAGCCTTTTACAAAGTCTTTTTGTGTATATTTATAAAATGTGGCAGTTGCGGTTCATTGGTATTATGCTCTTTGTTAATTTGTATTTTATTATAAATAATGCAACAAAAGGGTATAAATTTCGATTGGCTAAATATTTAATAAACAAGTTTGAGTTGTTCTTAATTTCGTTGATCAAAAAATAAGTCGCTTAAGTGTTTAAAATGAACACAATATGTAAAACACAATAATACGAAGGCTAAAAGAACCAATAAATATACATTATATAAAAGGTGCTCAAAGCAAAGTATTTATTGAAACCATTATGCAGCGAGAAAAAGATAATATTTTTAATGTTTAATACGTTTAAAGAATTACAAGCGACATTCGTGAATATATTTTTTTCGAATAAAAATTAGAAAATTTATATTCATAATTCCTTCATTAGAGTTTATGTATAAAAACCAAAAAAAAAAACCTCAATACAGCGAATCAGAGGCAGTGGATCAGTAATAAATTTTAAGTCCATTCTAATATCCATAAAAAAAAACAATATTAATTAATTCTTAAAAACTTCATAGGAACTCACAGGAATATTTATTATATTAACATTTTTACTTACTTTACATAAATATTTACTGTAATGCTATTTTAATAGTTATTATAAACTATGAAAAACTATTTTATTAAATTTATTTATAATTTTGTATTTATTTTATATTCCTTTATAATTATAGAAAAATCATCACAGTTAAGTATATGAAGTAATATACACAAAAAAAAATTAAAAAATATTCTATATTATCCCTTAATACTTATACTAAATATAATAATAATTATCATCTATTTTTGTTTTCTTATTATTATGTACTCAGAAGCGCGCTATAAATTTTATTATGTTGTTCCTTTATACTTTTACTAAGTATTATTATTATTATTATTATTATTAAACTATCTTCATATATCAACCTCGGAAGCGTGCCATCAGAAGGCCAAAATGCACGCTCAAATAATAACTCGTACTCCTTTACAACGGAGCTACATAAACCCTCAAAGTCTACTTTATTGTCCTGAAAAGTTTATAATAATAAGTAAAATAGTAATAATAAAGGTATAGTTAAAAAAAAGTTTTTATAATAAGTAATATAATATTTATATAAATCTTCTATCGTAAGCTATTTTTTATAATATTTTCATAAATATATTCTCTATTTTATATAAAATAATAAAAAGCAAAAAACTTTATTTAGTTTGATGTAAAATAATTCTATTGTTTAAATAGTTTTAGTTTATTGTTATTTTATACACTATTATAGTATAAAGTAAAACGTTTGAATAACTTAAATTATACATATTTTCATAAAAGTAAGATTTTAATATAATATAATATATTAAAATAATAATTTTATAATAAATAAAATATATAATAAATTGTTTTTAACATTAATTATAATCAAAAATACACCATTTATTACTATTTTTAAGATAAGTTAGAAATTAAGAATAAAAAATTTATTAATAATAATGAAAGTATCATTATATATATACAGAAATGTAAATCCTAATATTTCGTACTAATTAATATTAAAAAATAAAGAAATAAAGAAATATCATTTATATAATGAAATAAACAACCTTGTTTAAACATTTTATTTATAACTGCAGCAAGTTAAGAAAATAAAGTATCATAAATAAATATATTTAGTTATAAACAGTCTAAATAATTTCAAGGAGCGGCTTCGAATAAGACGCCTTTTCGTCCCTCAGGGCATTGGGGAGGCTTGATTAACAGCGTATCGGCCTCTGCCCGATTGGGGTGTATTGTGGAATTCTCCAACACGCACGTGACCAAGTTTAGTTTGCTACCCCTCTACTATTTATACCTGCTAATGGTACCAAAAAAATGTTTTTTGAATACCAGACACGGCCCCTGATTGGTGGAGTGGTTCACACTTCCCTTTTTTACTTGTATAAAACTCTACTTTTACGAAACTTATATAATTTGCGCATGAATGTCTGCCTTTGCTACGATAGTTACGTCACGGTGCTATATTTTCTTATATGGCTACCATAAAAAAGAACATTTTCTGTAGCCCTTAAACCAACATACACAACTTTTTCGAAACTCACTATTTCCCTTGAAAAGCGAGTTTCCTTCGCTTTTGAAACATAATAGAGTTGACTTCCAATCTCCGCCTACTTCAAGGTTAATACCCTTTTATTATTCCACGTACATTTGTTAAAACTCTTTTTTTAAGCAAGCCATTAGGCTCCTTTGCTCCACTTACGAGTATAAAAAAATTAAATTTTTTTGTTTTGTTATTAAAGCCAATTAAATCCTTGCTTAAAAGTTCAGACAAGTTTTATTCGTGTGATAACTGGTTACTTTTTTTTATTACATTACAAGCGGAGTAGCATCGTTTGATGTTATTTTTAATTAAAGCATTTAAACTTTTACACTAGTTCTCTATGAATATTTTTATATTAAATTAATAATAATAAATATAACAATTCTTATTACTTCAAAAATATTTCGTTATTATTGCAGAAAATTTATAAGATGAAGACGTGTAATTGGCTGCATTTTATATATATAAAAAGCCTCTAAAATATAGTGCGTTCGGTAATGGATAATAAAAATTATTATAAAATATATAAACTTATAAAAATAATTAATAAAAGAGATTATATTAATAAGTATATATAAAGCAATCACAATATGTAATAATAATTATAATTATATAAAAAACCTGCAAATTTTTTAAGACCACTTCAGTCATTTTCTATATTATCATAAAAAGTAAATATTACAAATATGAAAAAAATACTTTCTCTTATAATTTTCATATATTTTTAATTTTTTTTATATTTATTTTATCCATTAAAGACTTTTACTTTATAGTGTTTTATATTTAATGCTATTACATGAATACATGTTTGCATTTATTTCAACTTTTAAAGTTTTATTAGTAATTCTTAGAAAACTTTATAATAAATATATTAATTTTAAAAATAATAATAATAAATAAGTGTGTATTTACTTTATGAAAGGTTCCATGAAAATAAGATTGTGATAATTGCCAGAGTGAAGAAAAATGAGAAACAAAACATTCATTCGCTTTATTTACAAACTCTACAGCTATTTTTTCTAATAATAATAATAATAATAATAATAATAATAATAATAATAATAATAATAATAATAATAATAATAATAATAATAATAATAATAATAATAATAATAATAATAATAATAATAATAATAATAATAATAATAGTAGTAGTAGTAGTAGTAGTAGTAGTAGTAGTAAAATTGTACGCTAAGCTCCGCTGCTTAAAATATTTAATCATTTAAATTACTGTTAAATAACTTCTATAACGAAATCTTTAAATTTTTTTATGTAAACTTTACAGTTTAATAATAAAACAATTATAATTTATGTCATCTTTATACTGATAAAAGTTTTTATATAAAAAAATATTAATTCAAATAATTAACTTTAATATAAAAAAGTATAATAAATATATTATAAAATTTTTTTTATAAAGAATATGAATAAATAAATAAATATATAGGTATATTATATATACAGAATAAATTAATGTTTTAAAAATTTATATAAAGTTAATTATATTTAGAAATAAAATAAAAAAACGTATAAATGTAAATTTATTAAATAAATATATAATATATACATAAAAATAAATAATAAATAAAATAAATAAAAACGTATAGACATAAATTTAATAAAAATAAAAAAATATAAAAAATAATAATATATAAAGTATAGATATATATATTTTTTCTATTTTTCTAAATACAAAAATCGTTATTATAGCAAAATTTGCATTAAAAAATAATACAAGTTAAAAATAAATAAATAATATTTATTATATATTTTTAATAAATAAAAATGGGCGAAAAAAGGAACTTAAAATAGAAAGTAAAAATATATACAAAATATTTATGATAAAGTAAACCATAAGGAGCCTGGTCATTGGACAACTTTAGAAGATCTATAATATATATGAGATATAATGAAAATTTATAATACAAACAAAAAAAGAATTAGCAAAATTACGTTAAAAAAGTTTATAAGAGATTTTCTTTACTAATAATTATAAAAGTTAAAAATATATGAAAGTCTAGAAAAAGTTAAATTTATAATAATAGTAAACTCTCTTAAAGTGTTTGGCTATATATAAAAAATAATGCAAAATTCTCAATAGTCCTCTATCAAAATATTAAAAAGTAAAATATAATAAATAATAGTAATAAAAGTAATGCTTAACTTTAAACGTAATGAAAAATATTTTAAAAAATATAATTTATTATAGTAATAATCATCATAAAGTGATATACATAATAATATATAAAAATATAATAAAAATGGTTATACTCATTATATTACACAAAAAATAAAAACTTTCAAGATTAATAATTATAAAAGTATAAATAGTAAAAACATGCAGTTTAGATATAAAATAATACTAAACTAAGTAACCTTTTATTAACAATAAATCTTTAATATAATAAGTTATTATATAAAAAAAGTAGAAAAGTTAATAAAAGATAAAGCTGGTTTTATGAAAATATTCGTATAACCGTTTTTACTTTGCTCTTCAGCGTCTTTCAAAGTACTAATAATATTGTTTGAGAGAATTTTTATGCACTCCCAACCTGCAATAAAAAGAAAAAAAAGTAAAAAGTATTAAAAGTTTCTAAAAATAAATATTATTTATATAAATATTTTTAATATTTATAAGAAGTTAAAAATAATTACAAAAAAAGGATCAAAGTCTTATAAGTTTATGAATTTAATAATATAGAGAATAAAGTTTATATTAAAATATAAATGTATATAAATAAGAAGAAGAAAAGTTATGAACTATTATTTTTTTAGTTTGTATTATAAAATATTATGAAGTAGAAATAAGAAAAATAAGGAAAAATATGATACTTATGAAAGTTAAAAAAAAATAAGAAACATGATAAATATATATATTGAGTTATATAAAAATACACAAAAAAATAAAGTATTAATAATAATAGAAAATAGAATCACAAATTTTCGTAGTAATTTTAATACTATATAACATAAATATAAAATATTTATTTTATTACATAAAAAAGTCATAGTTAAGCCTCATTAATTATAACAAGACAACAAAAACATATAGAAATATAAAGAAAATAATATTATTGATTTATTTTATTATAATATATAAAAATATTCAATCTTAAATATGCTAAATTATCTGTAAGAGCTTAAAAGTTCATAAGAATTGCACCAAAAAATAAGAGTGAATGCAAATATCTTAATATATATTAGAAACGTTCCAAGAAGAGTTTATGAGTTCAGTAAAATGCTTCAAAGGAAAATTCTCAATAAATAACAATTCTCATTAAATAAAAGAACTACAAACATTTTTAAAAAGTTTTATAATGAGAGAAAAAAAGTTATTATTTCTGAGTAAGATACATAAAAACTTTTTTTTCATACAAAACAAAAGTTTTCGAAGAAAAGATTTATATATTAAAATTAAAAAAAGTATAATATTTGTTTCTTGTTATTTATAAAAAAAATAACAACAATAAATTATAATAAAACTCTAATAAATAATGCTATAAGAAAAGTAAATAAATATAAGTTCTCAAAAAAAGTTTACAAGCATGAAATATAAAAAATTAGATAAAAGATAATAATTATTTACTTTTATTATAGCCTAAATATAAAATTTTTATGGATATATATAAAAAATTAATTTTTTTAGAAAAAGAAAGTTATTATAAAAACTAAATATACATAAAACTTAACAAAAAATATTTAATCGTATTTTTTTTTTGTATTATAAAATTAAGTTATAATAAAAAAAGATTACTTCTTTATATTTAAGATTCAATATGTGATATTCTTATATTTAATATTTTCTTAAAGTAATAAAAAGTTTTATAGAAAAGTCGAAAAGTTAGTTACAATATAAAAATATTTATATAAAAATAAAAATGTTTATAATAATTTTTATAAAAAAAGTTCAAAATGTTTATAAAAACATTAAGAAAGTATCATATAACTAATATTTATAATAAAATTGTAACAACGTATAAATATTTTATGTCTTTAAAAAATATAATAAAGTTTAATTATAAATTTACATTAAGTTATATACAAGAAAAGTTTATAAAAAAATATAGAAAAATAGTATCAAAAGAAATTTATAATAATAATTAATATATGTCTAAACAAATTACTTATAAAAATTTAAAAAACCAAAAGCTTTGTATCAATAATACAGAAAAAAAAACACATAAAGTTGTATATGAAAAAAACCCGGATCCGCGCTTTCTCCAAGTAACTCCGTTAAATAAGAAATAAACTTTTTACTTTGCTTAAGCGTACAGTTTTTATCCTTCAGTTTATCGTAAAAAGTTTGAATCATTTCCGCTTTAACTTTGCGTACCTGTAATAATAAATATACATAAATAACGAAAAGGTATAAAGTAATAATAATAATAATAATTTAAAACTTTAGACATAGCAAGCTTGAACAAGTGAACGTCCGAAGTATTATATAATATTTCTGCTTTCAAAATTTCATTAACCGCATGGCCGTAGTTTCCCTAATATAATTGTTAGTTTTATTATTATTTCATTATTTTAACTATAATTGTTATTATTATTATTGAGTATTTTTATATTTACTAATGTATTTATAATTATACTTACTATGTTACAATAAAACTTTCTATTGTTAAACGTTTTTTTTTGTGATAAGTATTATTTATTTTATTAATAATATTATTGATATTATTACTGTTTTCATCGAAAACTTTAAGTTTTGCGGAAGTTGGAAAAGAAATTTGAAGCGCTGTAAAACGTTCAGTGTATTCCGTATGCAGTCCATTCGCTTCTTCCGGTAGAGAAGCGGCCTAACAAACTGATCACCTAAAGAGTCAAGGTTTTGACTTTATTATAGTGAATATTATTTATATCAATTTTTTTTAATAAAATAAACTTTACTAATATAAAAAAAGTTTATAAATATAAATATTTCTTAGCATTGTTTTTTTCTTTATTAATATTAATAATGAAAATAAAAAGTATTAAAATAAACTTAACTGTCTACAAATAAGTAAATTTTTTTTTAACTTTTATTAGTAATATTAAACATGAAAATATAGTTACTTTTGCATAACTTTAAATTATAAATAAATGTAATATACTTTTCTTACTTTAAACTATAAAATTTTTTTTTACTGTTTATATATATCTTATTTCTGAAAAATTATTAATATTATTATAAAAAGGAACGCTACCGGTACTAATATACTTGAACATATTAATATTGAGTAGGAATGTTTATAAAGTTATAATAATAGTGATAATAAATGTATAATATTATTAGTGACAAGCATTAATTCTTTATTAAAAATTTTCATTAATAAAAAATACAAGGTAATAACTTTTTATATATAAATTTTAAACATTAACATAAAAAAAAACTATTTATATAATATAATATTAAAAATAATAATAACTGTAACAGATTAAATGAAAAACCTATAAAATAAAATAGGTATTATAATAAAATTAATAATAGGAAAAATATAACGACACTAAAATAAATACTATTTTAATACAAGTATGAAAAAAGGGTTTTCTAAAAGTTTTATACCAAAAATATGTTTGTTCCTAATAAAATTTATAACAAGATAAAATAGTTCACTATGAATATATAATAATTATAATAAGTAAGGAAGAAATAAAAATTAACAATTTTCTATTGAATTTCTTAGAGAAAGCGATAAACTTTCCAACACATTTTCATTGTCTAATTTGCTAAACTCGTCTTCGAGCAGCTTCATCACGGCAATTATGCTGTCCTGGCAGGCCACGTATCGGTCAAAGTTCTCCTTCATTAAATCTCTTGCAGCGCCTGACCGGTTCTCAAGATTTTGGCCTAAATAGTCCAAACCTAGAGCAAATTAAGTTTTCGTGTGCTTAAAACCACTAATAAAAAGATACCTTTTAAAAGATATTCAAGAGGAGTGCAGCGATGGTATTCTGCTAAGAATAAGGCGGGAACAAAATTGGTAGTGTTGGGATCACTGCTGCCTATTTTTTGGTCAATAAGAATAAAGTACTGGTTAAAAACTTTTAAAATAATAAAAAAAGAAGAAACTTCTACAATTTATTATATATAAATAAGAATGGTAAGTAGCGTACAATGGAGCAACTTTTCTTTTAATTAATTAAAAGTTATACAAAACAACTATTTATTCACGATATGTTAAAGTAAATTTCATTAGAATATTAGACGGCAACTCGTATCCAATCATAACTTTGCAGAACCCAAAACCAATAAGACAGTCAATAAATGTTTACTAAAAAGTTCAAAGCAGACTACAAACATAATTGGCTGTCATAATTTTTATAAAACTTTATCTCATGTGGGCCACGCAAGCACTAGTGATTAGCTTCCGAGTAACCAATTATAATATTTACTGGGAAGCTACCGCTCATTGGCTTTTAAGCAGCCAATCTGGATGATAGTCAAACATATATGAAAATTTTTTAATGCAAAAAACAAACCACCAGTAGGTAAAAAAATTCTTAACTAATTTTGTTTATTGGTCCCCGAGTAGCTAAAAGCCAGAGTTATTGGTCTAAACTATCAAACTTTCTTATGAAAATAACTTTTTCTATTTCAGTTAGTGAAAACCGTTAAAGCTGTCAATGCTCTTTAATAGGTTTAAAAAGTTCAACAATTACTAAAAAAGGGTTGTAAATTACGCAAATTATCTGGAACCGAAAGACGATTTGCGCTATTTTAAGTATTAACTTACACAATAATTCATTAATTATAATTATTGGGATTGCTTAGCACCAAACTTACATTAAAATTACCGAAAAGAGAGAGGTATAATGATGGTATATTATTTACACAAGCAAAAGTATATTTTTTAAAAAGTAAAGTTCTTCTTTAAAAGTATAAAAAAAAATATTAAAATATAATTTTTTTATAATGTTCCTGATAAAGGTATAATTTGTGCCACAATTATACAATTTATATTTATAACTTTTAAATATTTTACATTTTTAATAATAGATCAAAAAATTAGAAAAAAAATATTTTAAACAAATAAAATTTAGTAACAAGTCTTACAAGAAATAACAACTTTTTTAAAATATTAAAAATATTCACAGAAAACACAAAGTTTATAATAAAAGTTGTTATAAATATATTAAAGAATATACAAACCGTTCGGATAGCAATTCTTAAAAGAAGAAGGCGCATCAATTTTACTTTTCAAGGACCTAAAAATTCGGTATTTCATTACTAATATTTTATTGGTTTCTACATATAAAAAATTTAATGAAAGTTTTTTAAATATTGAAGGATTAATAAAAATGATGTTTTTTTTAATCGTTATTTTTATAAATTCAGTATTTTATAAAAATATTGAGATTTTTGGTTAAAAAATATCTTTTTTTTTTCAAAATAGTATTAAATAAAATAGAAAGACGAACTTTTTATTCGTGGAACTTTCTATAAAAAAAAATTTAATAAAAGTTTTAAAAAACTACTAAAAAAAGTTTAACAAAAATTTTTAAAAACCAAATAAATTTTTTACAAAAAATAATAATTCCAGTTTTACTTTTAGCAGTTTATTTATTAGCTATAAAAAGTTTTATAAGTAATTTAATATAATAAAGACATCTAATTCGTTAATAATATTAAAAAAATATCAAGGTTTTTTAAATCTCTAATATTGTATATATATTTATTTTGCTTATCAAAAAAAAGTTATTCGAAGTTGGATATTATATTAGTTATATGAAGTTAGGAAAAAAAAAGTGAATTTAGAAAATATTAAAATTGGTTTAAGAATTTATAAATCTTTTGTAAAAAGCATATATAAAAAATAAAATAAAGAAAAATAAAGAAAACAAAAACATCTACGAAATGAATATCCAGTAAAAAATAAATCAGACGTTTATAAAAAAACTTTAACAAATAGCTGTGAAGTAAATTTTAATAAATAAATTAACTTTAAATAATAATAAAAAAATATTAGCTTGTAAATTTGTGATAAACTAACTTTCTTAAGTAAAATTATAAAATAGTTAATAACTTTAAACAATAATTTAAAACTAAATATTGTATTTTTAAAATATATTGAAAATTTAAATAATTTCGAATAAATATTTGGATGCGTTAATAAAATAGCAAATATTGTCATGCTGTACTTGAATTAATATTATAATAACTTTTAAAAATTGTAAATAATTATTTTAATAACTTGTGATGCGTAAGTAAATTAATACCACAAAATATTCACAATCTAATTTTTAAATAAATATAATAAAACGTTAGTAAACTTTCGTCAGTTTTTGGTGGGTATTTCAATTAAAGATATAAATATGATTAAATAATTCTATGATAAACATAATTATAGTAATTCAGATATTTGAAAAAAATTCATTGTTTACGTAAACGCTAATAATTTACTTTTAATAAAATAAAAGTCAACACTATTGTTTTTAAAAAATAAAATTTTATATAAAAATATTACTTATCTTAATTTTTATGATAACTTTTTAAGAAGGTTTACAGTATATTGCAGCTTAAAATATCGAAGCCATTTATTATTATTATTACAAAAAACAATTAGCGATTAATTTTTTAAATTATATTAAGAAATCTTAACTTTGTATTTTTTTAATACCGGAAAGAAGTATATTTTTTATTATAATAAAAAATTTAGAATTTTAATTTCTTTAGATTTTTATTTAAGTGTTTATTATAGTGTTAGTTTGGTTTTTTTGGGTCTAATATATTACCTTAATATAACTTATATTTTCAAAAGTTTTTATTTATAAAAAACTATACTTGCTGTAAATTTTATGTCGTGTACATATTCTTTGTGTAAGTAAAACAAAGTTAGATTCTCTTTGTAATATTTTATTAACTTTATAATTTATAAAAATTATAATCAAGTGTTACATGAATTTATAAATAACTTCTATTTAAAAGTATAGTTAGTTATTATTATATAGTATTATAATTAGTATAGGATATGCAAGTAAACCTTAAGATCCCGAGAGGATCCGTATCCGTTTCTATAACAACAGAAGTTTTAATAAAAGCTTCTTTTTGAAGATACAAACCACGTGGTGTTCTATCAACCCAGACATCCGACTCAACGTCATAAAGATCATCTTGAAGTAGACATTTAATTTTTTAAAAAAAATTAAAATAATTTTTTTATATTTTATTTATAAATAAATAATTATAAAAATAATCAAAAAGTTATAGACCTTCAAATTGTTCATCTTCAGTTTGATTAAAAGTAAATTGCAAAGTAGTGGGGGAAACTCCACCCGAAGAGGTTGTTACAAGGACCTTATAGAAGTAAGAAAACACGATCGCAAAATTTTATGGTCTATTTAAAATATTTATATAATTATTACCGATCCTGTTAAAAATTTTAAGTTGGTGTTAGGATCAACAATAGCATCTTTTCTATCATCTAAATTTATTCTTAAGGTTGACACTTCAAGTTTTTGTGGCGAAATCCATTTAAAACTTCAAAATTTTAGATTTATATTAAAAGTTTGTTTTATATAACTAAGTGCGTGCCTCTGTAAGTGAGAAATTCCACATAATGTTAAACCAATAATATCATCTTCACTTAGACCTAAATTTGCTCCGCGAATGCTAACCTTAGTTCCGCCTGTATCAGGAGCTACTTTAGGGCTAAGACCTAATAAAATAGGTGTAAAATTTAAACATTTATAATATGAAGGGGAAAAAATCTTATAAAAAAAACCTGTAATTTCAGGAGAAGGTTGATCCATAGTAGAAACTTAACAAAGAGAAGTTAAGCAAGGTAAAAGTTAACTTTGGGAGCTAACTGTATAATTTCCTCTAATACAGAAAGAAAGATTTTAAAACACAGTATACTTTACTAATGACTAACTTATTAATTTAACAAATGTCTAAAAGTTTTTGAAAAGGTAACCAGTATCCTATATTTTAAAAGTAAAAGTCCTAAAATTTTCAATCTAGGTAATCTTTTAAAAATTACCCTGATTGGCTTCACTAATCTCTTAATGCTTAAGGACGAAATATTGAATTAATGTACGTTAGCGTATGTGATTTTTTGTTATTTGACCAAAAGCTTAAAGCTTTTAACAAGTACTTTTTTGCAGAAGAGTAAATATTAAAGGATGAAATGAATTTTAAATTACCTTTTGTTCAGTTTAGCGCTATCGAAAGAGAAAAATCAAATTGTCTACATTAATATTTTGTTTTATTTTCCATCCTTTAACTTAATTATCTATTTTCTGTTGAATTTGGATCTTCAAATAGCTTTATATTTCAAGTTTCCTATTCTAAATCGATTTAAGTTTACAGCGACATTACCTTAAACCAGCGCCGACGAGGTGGAGTATAACAACATTTATTAAACATCTTGATCGCAGATTATTTCTGAAGATTGATAACTTAAATCCTTTAAACCAAGATAAGATTTGTCTTCTTAGCTTAGCAACTGGAAGCATTGAGGCCCAGGAGATCTTTAATTCAAAATCCTAGCGCGCGCCGCGACTCTTTTTATTTAAAAGGTAAATCATTTCAAACAGATAATTTAGTTAATAGTATTATTAATTTTGATTGTTTTTACGAATTTGTGTTTTCAGCGTACCGCGAAGCTGAAACACCCTTGTCAATTTTGGATGCGGTTGCCTCTAGTCACTTTTGGTATTTTTTATTATAAATTTTACTAAGAAAACACATATTTCCCAATTTATGATTAACGTTAAAAAAGCTTTAAAAGTTTACTTTTAGCAAGCTTGTACTATTTTTTTATAACTTCTCTATTACTATAACACTTTACAAGGGGCTCCTCCCAACTTTGAAGTCCATCTACAAGAGACAAATACTTATCTTTTGGCTTTTTTAACAGTTGACAACACAAATTCTTGGATTCTTTAACCACTTTAAGAGCCATGGAACTGTGGAGAAGAAGGCAATGGGAAGGTTATGTCGCTTAAACTACCCATAGATAGTGCTAACGTAGAAATAAGCAAAGTATTAACAACAACAATAATGTTATCAATATCAATAATATTAACAATAATAGTAATAGAAGTAATAAATATGGTAAAAATACCTAGTAAACCAAATAATGCAACGTAACCATCGTAATAGAAAAATTACTTATTGACACCAAAAACTCTACTAGCAACAATTATGCCTTGAGAGAATACGAAGAATGTCAGGGCACATAAGTCGACAGTACCCTTAGATAGCCCGAATACCGCCAGCGACACTGAACGCTCTTTTGTTCTCTTTAAAAAACAGAAATGGCCTGCAAGCTATGGACGTCGAGAGTACGAAGTCAAGGGATACTCTACTGCGCCGGCACATCGCTTACGCGTGATGAAGCGATAACACATTATGCCTATCAATATCGAGGACAAACTTTCGAAGTTTGTCCTTCGGGGGACTGTTGCGGTTTCGACGTCCCACTCGTCAAGGTAGATTTGCGCACTTAAGACATCTTGACTCTCGGCGTGGCAGGGGTACACGGAGGGCATTGTCGAGGGCCGACGTGTTGATCACGTGCATATAATAATTTAACATGCCAGTTAATATAAATGGAGATAAAAAGCCCTCAGGGGAGGGTAGCTAATTTTAATTTTTTTTTGTGCCTTATTTTCTTGGTAAAATTTGTTGTGTTAATAAGGGAAGCCTAAATCCTAACACATATGTACTTAGTATATTTTGATACATATTTTCCTACCTTGGGTACGCTTATATATTTCCGCTATTCACTGCCACTACCCGTGTTAGTGTTATTCACTAGTGCGTAAACCGAGGCGCGATCAACAGACGCTGGAAGAATTAAAAACGACTTTTCATCTTCAGGTTAGAAAAAAGCATGTCTGGCAGTGCCATCGCTGCCAGACCTCCGCGACCAATGTAACTTTCTGGTGTGCGACTCCCAGATGAGTTTATTGGGACGAAGGTCACTAGGTTGCGCAGTGCACTAAAGCATGAAAAGAAACCGCGGTGAAGCGCACACAACTATTGTGGCTGCAAACACTACCCGTAATAGCTTACAGTGCCCAGTTATATAGCACTACCTAAATTTTAAAAGTCCACTTCTTTTAACATGACAATGACGATTTTATAAGCCTCTCACTTGTCGCAAAGACAACTTTCGAACAACGGCAAAAGCAGCTAACATTATGGCAATAACCCTGTCAACAATACTTGAGACAATCAAGAGCCTGGAATCTGTTTGCATGACTTTTATGCCACTGACACTCCGCCATAGTCAGCTTTCGTGCTGGAACGCAGATTGTGTCCTACCCGGGAACGTAAGTTGCAGAAGTTAATGGAGCGCAAAAGAAATGACCTGTTTGCTGTTAACGAGACCCTTCGTTTCCTTAGTGCCTCCGATTAAACGTAACAGTTAACACATAATGTCCTATCTCTACCAGTCCTGCATTGGATTGAGTCAGCTGGAATTTTCTTTGCTTGACCAGTTAGGGACCCGTATCGGCGATTGCAGTTTATAAGTCCCCTAAGTTCCAAGCAAACCACTAAAACAGATCTTGACCTGTGGTATGAGGGGGCTTTAACTGCAAGCATCTTGTTTGGAAACAGTCGTACCAAAACTTAAATCGCTAAATACTTGAAACTTACATCGATGAGAGCGGAATTCGCGTCGTAGGACTAGAGTTTCAACGCGCGCGGTGGAAACGAAACGTCAGACAAGCTAAATATCGCAGTTAAAATATTATCATATTTTAACGACAGCTGAAATACTTTTAGTACTTTTGTTTGACCAGTTCTGCTTAAAGTAAGGGACGCAATGAAGACACCGAAACATTTACCAGAACGTTTCGAGCTCGCCGAAAATTTCCAACCTTCATTAGACTTTTTTAACCTCTTCGGCGTTACCGAGGACGCCCACCCTACTTAAGGTTGCTGGATTTGAGGGCGCTGTAAATATGGCATGCCATACCGCCACGATGACATGTAAGAATGAGTACCTACCAAAACGCCCGCCTCATGAGCTGATAAGCCCTTTATGGTGAGCGCCGACGTCCACTCAGAGTGGGCATTCTAGCCCCACAACACCGCAGACATATTAGCGCCTAATTAACTGCCCCAGAGCGTTGCGAAGAGTCGTTGGCCCACCAGAACCGCCCTTAAAAGACAAAGTTGAATCATATATAAAAATCTGGGGACGACTGCTGCCGCGTTCCTTACTGGCACACCCTAATTTCTTTTTGAAGACGGCGACTATGTGACAAAAGATGACGTGATCACCTCGCTCTTCGACGTGTACCACCTGCTTTTTTGTTTTCAGATAAAATAATTTCTGAGCCGAACCTTTTTGCTGATGCCGAAGAGCAGTTTGGAAGTAAGGAGATTATTTAAAGCTCTATTAAGACAGAAAGTACCCGATCCCGAGGGTATCATCAATGTGATGTTAAAGAATGCGGTAAACTATCTATGTTGCCTTATTGTGATATTTTCTAAGGACATTACGACCATTCTCTACGCCAAACGGATACAGACTTGTCATTCTCTTGTTAGCAATAGGCATAGTAGCTAGCCCTAATACTGCACCGTTTAAAAGCTTTTTTTGACGCAAGTCATGCCCTGAGAGAGTTCCAATTTAGATTTCAGCAAAGTTTTCAATGACGTAAAAAGCTCTCCTCTTTCAGTTTAAAGAAGACGACAGGCACCGTCTTCCTTAATGTTAGCATAAGGCATTGCTCTACAAATTGAGTGCTTTAAGCCTCCCTTCCCTTTTTTTCAAAGTACTCAAATTTTAACTTAAGAATTGTATCTATAATACACGTATTAGCGATGTGTACTCCCTCCGGGGCTACAAACAGGGGATGAGGGGTTCGCAAGGCTCTTTTCTATCATCCTTGATTTTTGAACTTTACTTCCGCCACGTGCTACCTCCCGGCTATTAAAATAAAATTTAAGCAGATACAAAATAAACATACACAAAAATAAAATTAAAAATTGCCAAATATGGAATGGGCAACAGCTAGTCAGATTATTGATGGCAAAAATTAATTTTTGTAAACCCAAAAAACTTAAGCTAATTACAAAAATAAGGAAGCTCATTGGACGAGATCTGGAATTTTATTGGTCGGCTGTATCCGAAATTTTACTATATAAAAAGGAGTAACCAACTAATACAGACTTTTTTTAGTAATCTTTTTAACTTAATCACCGGCAACCCTCAAACTTAACTTGCCTTATAAGGGTATGATACCATAATTACACTTTTTTAATGTCACCGATTGCGTCAGTGTCGGCTGTACTAACCTAGTGTACCGCCAACTGGTGCCGGTGATAAAATTTTATTATTAATACATAAAAAAGCAGAGCTCGTATAATCCTGTAGTAGCACCAACAACGAAAAAGAAAAATAGAGATCGTGAGTTGTTTTATTTATAGGCGATAAAACCTTCTATACACCTTTACAAAAGGTTAAAAAGCATTTTTATTTATGTAACTTGTTTAGATTAATTTAAAATTTTTTTTTTAAAGAAACATGTTTAATTCTGTTCCATTTAAAAATTGTTAGGATTTACATAGCCTCTTCCAAAAAATGTTTAAAGACTACCTTTACTTTAAAAATATAGTTTATAATGTTTTCAATTGGTTTATCTTTCAATTATAATTTTGGTATAATTTACTTTTGTTTAATGTATATGTAGGTTGTTTGCGCTAATTTATAATACATTGCACTGGCCTTCAAAGGCAAGATAAACCAATTGATGTTCCCGGGAGAAGAAAATTATGGGGGTCATCAATGACAATAATTGCTCATGGAGGCCGCACGTTAATTATGTAAACGGCGGAGGTCAAGTCGGCGGCTAAAACCTCGTGCACAACAATCAACGCTTGTATGTGTTTTGTACCAGGTCAATAATGACAAATGCGTCTGCTACCTGGGTCTAAGGCCCACCGGTAATTTACTTCCTTCCAGTTGGACAAAGCAAACTGCTACGCCTCCTTCGGGGTGCGCCGTGGTTTGTTTAACACAATACCTTATTTTTTTAATAACGACTTACTCAGCACTCCTATCGATTACTGGAGCTCAGTTATGAACCAAAGTACGGCGCACGACGCTATCATTGACCTCTTGTTTCAACACAAGCCTAGATCTAGCTATACTCATCCCCCTGTTGAGGGCTCCTTTGAGCACGAGGATATGTTTATTAATATAAAGTTATCTCAAGCCCTCACGCCTTAATCTGATAAATTTATCCTTACATATATTTGTATCTTTTATATATTTATATAACATTATATTAATTCATAACAATTCCTTTTAGGTCTAGCATGAATTGCGTATTCAAACTGGCTTCCGTAACTTTCTAATATTTTTCACCTGTATCAAACCCATAACCTTACCATCTGAAAACCATATGGAATATTTTTGGACCTTTTATAAAAATTCATATCTAGAGAAATAATGAGCAATAAAAGTTTGATTATGCTCCGAAATCTTTATTTATATCCCCCCCCCCCCAAGTTTCTTTCTTATTGGAAGACAGGTGATGTTGAAGAACATTTGCAAAGCATATATATTTAAATATGTGCGAAGGTGCGCTTACTTTATATTGCCCCAGAATGTTAAGTTTTAACGTTTTTTTTTTGGTTTTTATTAATTTAATTATATATCTTATTTCAATAAAATAATTTTATTATAATTAGTGTTATTTTTAATAGTTTTTTAACTTAACATAATATTCCGATGCATATTGCTATTTTTTTCGTTTTACTAACACGTTCTAACAATTAACTAAAGAAGTATTATTTCACTTTAGATTATATCGCGCAATATCTAAGTTTTCAAAAGAAACTATATTTACTTTTTTTATATTGTTAGTTTCAAATCTCTTAAGCGTAGTTCACTAGGATTAAATTATAGCGCTCGTTAGAAAAATAGGTTGAGAATGAATAAATAAATAGTTTATTAACTTAAACTGCGCTTGCACAAGAGTTTGAAATTGCTTTGGTAGGCAGGACTTTCAAATAACATAAATATAAGATTAAAAGCGTGCCCCCAAATAGTTTAAATTCCAAAGAGAGGTACTAAACTCAAAAGTATGATCTTGTGTACAGTCTCTTAACAGTGGGCTGTAATTTAGATAAAATCTCCGATTGGATTTAGTTGCGTCCTATCTCAAAAAATATCTAAAAAATAATATTTTTCTTGATCCCATGCCACGCAATTTGTTAGGGTTATTACCACACAGTCGCCAGGTTAACGAGCTTAAACTTTAAAAGTACTCAGAAACTTAAATTCCAGAAAATTTAAAATAAATGTAATAAGTACAATATCTCAATACTATAATAGTTAAAATATAAATAGTAAAACAAAACTTTTACGGCGGTACTTTTAATTTTGTCGCGATGTATTACGCCAATTTCTTACTTTTTATTTAATTATTTAGATGTTATATATAATAAAGTCATTTCTTTCTGTAAACTGCTTTTTCCTTAATATATCAACCAGATTTTTATAAGTTAACAATATTTATTTGCTAACGGAAGATTTCCGAAAGTCTGTGTTTTGTACCATGTACCTTAACTCAGGAGTATAACTATCATTCTGCATGGGTCGCAAGTACACTTTATTGTGTGCCTGAGCTTAGGTGCTCTTTGCCTTATGTGTTTGGAGGTCAATGCTGCCTCTGAGTGGACGCTAAAGTTATAGTGAGACATGTTTTTCAAAATATTGAAGATTAAAATATAAAGAGCGCAACCGGAGTGAGAACTTAGACTGGCATGAACTTGACTTAACATTTAATATGGTATGTAACATGTTTGGGGAGTTAAAATAATAGATAGCTACCGCCTGTAGCTTACGCATAATATAGTTAGCTGCAGGTAACATATATTTTTAAACATGGCCCAAGTAAACGTAAATTTCAATACTAAAATTTTTTTCTTATGAAAGTTTAAAAAAGCACTAAAACGAATTAATCATTTAATTTCTGTTAATATAATGAGTTAAAAACGTATCTGTATTAGTTTTTTATTGTAACACTTCCATTAAACATTTTTACACAAATCTTCTAGCAATATCAAGCAAAACTAACTTAATATTAGAAACGAGTCCTATGTATTAAAATTTTCCTAAATTAGCTTACTTATATAAAAATATATTAGAATTATTAAATTATCCTAAAAATTATATTATACAAAGAACAAATAAATATAAAGTTAATGCTTAAATGACCAGTTGATTCTACAGTGCGAGCTAAGGGCAATCTTAAGACGTGTTTGCTGTGAGAGTGGTAGGGCGATGTAACGCGTGGCCTAAAAGTACTACCATGATTTGTATAACAGCTCAAACATTAAGCTAAGCTGATTTACTTTTTACTTTTACGCTTACATTTTTAATAACAAAGAGCTAATAACAATAATAAGTACTTTCGAAGATGAATTTATAAATATGAGTGAAAGTTTAAATGACCGTTATAGTCCTTCTCAAGATCTCAGCAATCCTTTACATAGATTTGTTGTGTGTAAAAAAAGCGTTAATAAAACGTTTACAGAGCTTTTAGAAATCGTTAAAGATACAGGTATATTTACGTCATTTTTTTAACATTAATTACAGAGTTAAAGTTTAAAATTTTAAATTTACGTTAAAACAAATCTTTGATTTTATTAATTAAATAAATAATTTGTTTATTAGGTTTTCTTTTTTATTCTTAACTTTAAGCGTAGAAGTCTATAAAAGAGAAATTACATTTAGATAAGAAAAATAGGATAATATTAATTCGCTTTTAAAATAGTTTAGCTAACTTCGTTACTTAATTATTGTAAAGTTGTTTATATTATTTTTTATTATGTATTATTTATTTGTTACTATATTAAATTATTGTTTATCATGTATTTTATTTTATTTAAAGTTAAAAAAAGAACTTTTATCATTGTAATTGGAAGCTTTAGATTTTACCTACTAAAAAAATTTAAAAATGAACGTATCTGAGTTTTATTTTTAGTTTTTTAAAATATTAAAGCAATATTTTCTCTATAAAAAAAGTTTAGAAATTAAGTTATGAAAAACTCTTTAATCCCTTTGTACTCGAAAAAAGAGGAAATGTTTAATTTTTTAATTTAAACTGTTAACCGTCTTTTTTTATATATTTATCTAGAAGTTTTTCTTGAAAATGCGCATAAGTATCTCGTACACTGCCCTCCACTCGCACAGCCATCTCAGCCGCCACAGCATAATTCAAACTTTGACAATGTTGCAAGAATCTCTTTTATAAACGAAGAATTGCTAAAATCAATAGATTTTTCTAATTCTCAGCAGAAAGTTATAGTCACTTATTAAATACTCAAACTTTAATCAATTTATTTTTTTTTTTAAAAAATTTTTTATAATTTTATATAAATTTTTAATTTTCTTTAATTTTTACTTATAATATATATTTTTTAATTTTATTAAGAGTAAGATTTATGCAAAGCACTTAAAAAATATATTTTTACTTTTTATTATACGAATGAAATAAATGTTTTTATTACTTAATAGAGAGAAGTACTGTTATTTGTATATTTCTTTCTATTATAACTTTTTTTATATTTAATAAAAAGAATATATGAAATGTAATATTTATTATTATAAAAAATAAAAATACAAAAAGGAGAAAGGAATTTATTAAAAGTTTTATTTTTGTTATTTTGTTAAAAAAATATGCAAATTATTTTTATTAATTTATAAAGCTGTTAATATTTATCAAATTTTTTAGGGCTATAAAAAATTATGAACTTTAATAAAAAGATTTTTTTTAGAATTATAATAAATAAAAAGTTTTCATTATAAAAGTAAATTTATAAAGTTATATTATTGAAACTTGATTTTTAATTTTTTGCTTCTTTACTAACTTTTATAAAGATGTACAATTTATATAAATATTAGTGGAATTAATAAAATATTTACTATTATTATTAAATCTTCAAGGAGTTTTGGATATTTGAATTAGTTTTATTATTAAAATAATAATAGACTTGGGCAGTAAAAAATCAATAAAAGTTATAAACTTCTGAAGGAAGTAAAAAATAATTTTTTTATTACTTTTAATTTTTCTTAATATTTTTATATAAAACTTATAAATAACTAAAAAAATTCTAATAAATTTATATTTTTAGTAACATTATTAAAAATAATATAAAATAACATTGATATAATATTTTTAGATTACTATTTATCAGTTATAAATAAGTTAAGTAATTTTTTATTTTTGTATTACGTTCTTAATAGTAAGTACAGTAAATACTTATTATTTATTATATAAACTTTCTTAAAAAATTTTTACTTATTATAAAAAACTTAAAATTAAAATCTTTTTTTTGGATTAAAAATAATAAAAACAAGAAAAATAAAATATAAAAATGTATATAATTTATTTTATAATTTTATAATTTAAACTGATTAATATCAAAATAAATAAGAAAAAGCAAAAGTTTTTATAATTGAACGTTTTTGTTTTTATTATATTTTTTTATTAAAGTTTAAGTAAATATCAAAAACTTGCAGGCAATAGTTTTTAACTTTTTTACAACTTTATAATAATTTATAGTAAAAACTTTTTGTATAAATTTTTTTATATTTATTACAAAAATATTTTATTTTTTTTGTTTTAAATTTCTTGAAGTTAAATAAATTAAGTAATACTTACATTTTTCTTATTATTAACAAAAAAAAGTTTTGAAATAAAAGAAATATAGATATCCTTTGTTTATAAATTTTTTTTTTAGAAATAATCATATTTATATTATTTTTTAATTTAAAGAATTTTTTTTAATATAAATTATATGAATTTTTGGCATTCTTTAGTTATAAATATTAAAACTATATAATAACATTATTTATATTTTATACATTTTTAAAATTATACTTCATTATATCAAATTTTATTATTAATTGAAAAATATTTGTAATATATAAGAAAATATATTTTTTTTGAGCTTACTATTTCAAAATTTAAATATTTTATTATAGTAACTTTTTCTTGCTATAAATAAAATTTAATGTTAATATAAAAATATTTATAAATTATTTTATTAAAATAATAACTTTTTTCTTAAAAATAACAAATTATTTATAACTTTTTTATTTCATAATATATATTAATAATTAAAAGTTTTTCACTATAATCTAGTAATAAAGCAAGGTATATAAGTATAATAACTATAAAATAAAACTTTTAGTGTTTTATTCTTGAAAATAGAATTTTTATATATTTAATCTATTAAAAATTACTTTTCTATTGTTTATTATAATATATTTTTTAGTTTATTACTTATTTTTTAAATTTTTTTAATATCTAAAACAACTTTTATTAATCATCTTTAATTTTTTTTTCTTATTATTTTTTATTATTTCTTATATTCTATAAATATATTTTTAATGGTATATATATTTAATGGTAAAACTTTTATATTTTCCAGTTTATTTTTTTATTGTACTCCAGTTGTTTAATAGATTATTATATATTTTTTAAATTTTTATAATATAAAAGTTAACTTTTATTAATATTTAGTCATTTATATAATTTTTTATATTAATTTTATAATGTTCCTTTTGTTATTTTACTATTTAATAAATAATGATATTATATTTTATAAGAAAAAATTACTTCTAAGACATAAAATTTTTTTAAAAATTTTATAAATTATTACTACTTTTATATTTGTTCTTGTATTATTATATTTTATAAGAATTATTATTAAAACTATAATACTTAAGTTATATATAACTTTTTATTTTATAAATAATATAAATTTTATTAATTATTATATTTATATAAAATATTCACAAATTTTTTATCCATAAAATACATCAGATTCAACAGTTTTGTCTCGTTATTACTGGCATTAGTAAAGCTTTAAGGCGAGATTTTATGAAAGTTGTATTTGTTGGTCACACTTCCAATGGCAAGTCGACGGTTATTAATAGCATGCTTGGCCAGCTCATTCTACCAATAGGAATTGGTTAAGCCTTTTGTATATATAGTCCTTTTTTTTAATGAATTTATCGTTTTATTGTGGTTTTTTTGAGTTTGATTTATTATTATATATAGAAACTTTGTATTTTCTTATATTAAAATAATTATTGTGATTTATAATAAAGTAATAACCTTTTTTCGTTATATTAATAAATTATTAACTAAAAAAGCCTTAAATATTTTTTAATGATAAAAGCTCGAATTATAAAATTTTAAACATAATATATTTTTACTATATATTTTTTAAGTTAATATATAATTAAAATTGATAAACGAAGAATTTTTATTGTATTTATAATATGTGTTATTTAAAATATATATTATAATAAATTTATAAAAACTTAACTTTTTTTAAAAAAAATATATATTATATTAATTTTTCTTAAAGTTAATATAAATATTAATAACGATAGAAAAGTTATAGCATATTAAAATATATATATTATACCACATGTTTAAAGTTATTATATAAATTAATAATGGTATAAAAGTTTTAAAAAGTATCTTTTGTTAATTATTTTTTTTATAGTTTATATTTATATAATATAATGCTTTTAAAAAGATTAATATTAATACTAAATAACGATATAAAGGTGAAATAATAATTATCAATACAAAATTTTTTGGACCAATTATATTATAAATTTAAGAAAATTAGTTTATTACGAAATACTTCTTATCTACACTACAATCGCTTAACTTTTCACTAACAAAATATATAATTTTTTAAAGTTTATATTTATTAAGAAAAAGTTTAACACAAATTAAAATATAAATAATAAATAACAATAGAAAAAGTTAATATTTTTCTAAGAAAATTATTTATTATATATTTTTTTATTTATTATGTTATCAATTGTAGTTGCTTAATATTTTTATTATATTAAGGTTTTACGTGTAAAAATACTAACTTTTTATGTATTTTTACTACAACATTAATACTTTTTTTTATAAATAATAGAACACGCTGCAAATTTTTTTAAACCGTAAAAAATTATTAATAAACTGATAATTAAAGAAATTTTTTTATATAAATTATAATGAAAAACAATAAAAATGAGAAAATATTTAATGGGTTTATAATCAAGAAGAGTATTAGTTTTTATTGTCTAGTAATAATGTTTATTTAAGAATAATATTATTAACTTTTTATAAAAGATTATGGAAGATTAAAATATATGAAAACTTTAATATTAAAATTTAGACTTAAAGAATTTTAAGTTTTTTGAATATTTAATTTTTATTTATTAGGAAAGTCAACTTTTTTTATTTATTATTTTATTCAAATATTTTATGGCTTTGGTTTTTTTTTTATATAAAAAAAGAATTTTTTAATAGAATAAAAAATTTTATTATAAAAACACCAATCGTTTCTGTTCTTTAACATATTATATATAAATTTTTAAACTTTTTTAAGCATTATTGGGTGGTAGTTATTATTTTTATTAACAATAAGAACTTCGTTTATGCTTAAAAGAAAACAATTGTAAAAATTTTTTTGAAAACTTTTAAAAGCATTAAGAAAAATGTTTTCTTTTTTATTTGAACAAAACTTTTATAAACTTTATAAATCTTTAAAAGAAAAATGTTATTTTTTTTAAACTATTTGTATAGTATTATACTATTATAATCGCAGGACACACCACGTGCAGCTTTTGCTCGGTGCATGGCACTGACGGAGACGCTTATATGATAGTTTCCGATCCTTCCGACTCTTGTCCTGCCAAGGACGGCCATATGAATTCTCAGGAAAGTTTGTTATCGGTATTGAGCGAATCTTCTGAAGGTTTATTTATTTTTTATTACTTTTATTAAATTCATTACTCATTTTTTATTTTATAAATATTTATTATTGAAATTTTTTTGATTTATTATTTTTATAATCTTTTTTTTGAGACGCGCAGGTTTATAGTTATTTTTAAGTAAACATTATATTTTTATTATATTCTTTATAATTTTGTATTTATTGTATATTTATATTTTTATTAGTCTTATTTTTATAATTTTTTTTTATAATTTTATTGCTTTTAATTAATTTATTATTATTTTTATTTACTTTTATATATTAATATTTCCTTTTCACTTCTTTTATATAAATGTATACTTATTTTTATATAATTTACTTTTTATTTATGCTACTATTGTGTTATAAATTATATTTATATATCTCTACTTTTATATAATTATATATCATTATATCATTGCATGAAAAAAATATTTATTTATATAAATATGTTATTATGGACTGCTATTAATTTTTTTAATTATGTTACGTTATTATATTTTTATCGTTTTACATTCAACTTATTAATATATTATATAGATATTATATTGTTTGTTTTATTAAAAGTATATTTATTAACGTATATATTATATTTATAAAGTTTATATACTGGTTTATTAATATCATTATTGATATATTCATTATTATTATAATAAAAATGTTAAAGTAGACTACTTTTATAAGTTTTGTATATCATTTTTGTTATTATTAACATTTATTATGTTCTTATTGTTTTCATTTTGATGTATAAGATTATACACTACTATTTTTGTAACTCAAAAATTTTTATTATCCATATTCTTATATTATTATCGTATTATAAACTTTTGCTATAATCTTTTTTTATCAGTTTACTTATTTTTTACACTTTTTCTTTATAAAATTATTTATATAATTATTAGTTTTTTTAATGAATATTTATTATTCAACAAAAGATATCTTTATTTACTATTAAGAAACTTTTTTGTTTATTATTATAAACATCTTATTTTCTATTAAACTTGTTTTAGTTTATGATATTTCAGTTTTATTTTTTATTATGTAAACTGAATAGTATAAATAATCTAATTACAAGAAAATATTACAAAAGCAATATATAAAACGTAGCCAATTTTTTCGCCTGTTCAAGAAATTTTTAAAACATGTCATGAAATACCTTATTTTTTGTTGAAATATTTTGCATCTTTTCAATGAATTGCTATGAAATAATGGTGAATAGATAATCATCAGAAAGAAGGTGATACTGCTTCAATTAGAAAAGACAGTATGAAAAAGTTTCGTTGCAGCCTTACTAATGTTGCTCAGGTTACTGTTTTCATTAAAAATAAGTACTATTTATATTTAATGGTAATATAATAATAATAAATAATTACAAAAAGGTGGCAAGCGCTGTCAGCCCCCATTCCACCAATCCGACTACAAGACGCCTCGTTAATGTTTTTTGGCAAAAAAATAAGTGCAAATTATTAAGAGACGAAGTGGTATTGATAGACTCTCCCGGTATTAATAAATATTAACAACAACAATAACAACAACAACAACAACAACAACAACAATAATAATAATAATAATAATAATAATAATAATAATAATAATAATAATAATAATAATAATAATAATAATAATAATAATAATAATAATAATAATAATAATAATAATAATAATAATAATAATAATAATAATAATAACAATAAAACTATAAAAAAGGGCTCGACCTTGATAGTGATTATAATCGCTGGATTAACGATTATTGCACTGATGCTGATGTTTTTGTATTAGTGGCCAACGCAGAAAGTACACTCAAGCAAACAGTCCGTCTTTTCTTTTATTATTACTATTATTATTATTATTATTTATTATTAAAGGAACGGGAGTTTTTTTATAAAGTTTTAAAAAAGTTATCAAAGCCCAATATCTTTATGCTTTATAATCGTTGGGACAGTTCTGATATGGAACATTTTATTGATGAAGTATACAATCAACATTTGCAGAAAGGTATAGTAATAATAATAATAATAATAATAATAATAATAATAATAATAATAATAATAATAATAATAATAATAATAATAATAATAATAATAATAATAATAATAATAATAATAATAATAATAATAATAATAATAATAATAATAATAATATAATCATAATAAAGCTATTGAGTTTTTATCGCACGATCTCGGCGTTGTAAGGGAGTCGGATATACAAAATCGAGTCTTCTTTATTTCTGCTAGAGAAATGCTACTATACCGCACAAAGCCAGACTTTAAAAGTTATAATATTCTCTTCATTATTTATTACTATCAACATTTATTAATGATGTCTTTTTTATTATATTTTTCAGAAGAAACTCTTTCGAAAGAAAGTTTGAAACGTCTTGAAGAGTTTAAACTTTTCGAGCAAAAGTTTGAAGAATGCATTTCTGCCTCGGCCATTAAAACAAAGTTTGACGGCCACTTGAGTAGAGGGTTGCCTACTATCTCACTTTTTATTGACTATTTTATAATATTTTTGTTGGGGGACGTTTTTTTCCCTGTTTATTATTACTCGATTTTTTGGGTCTTTTCTTTTTTTTTTCTTTTTTTTTGCTTATTTAATGGTTCATTATATCATATTTTATTAAATTGGTTTCTTTTTTTATTTTTTTAATTATGAGTGGTTACTTATATTCATTATAATTTTTTAGCCTTTTGTTTGTTTATTTATTTGTAATACAAATTATGTATACTTATTAGACTACTCTTTACTTTAGCGTATCTTCTTGCTTTAGTTCTTTTATTATTGGATGATTTTTGTAGTTCATTACATTAATTTATTTTGTAGTTTTATTATATATACTTCTTAAATTTTATTGATTTATCATATTAATAATTTCTCTATTTTCATAGTTTCTTATATAATTTCTAATCGTTTCAACCATTTAAAAAAGTGAAGTTTTGTTAATTTTATTACTTCTGTTAATTATTTTTATATAAATCATTTTAAAAAAAAATATATGACGTTTCATTATTTTTGATTCCTCTTTCTCGGTTTACTTGGACCGTATTTATTTTTTATAAAACGATACGTGTGGACTATTGGTTAATTCCTTACACTGTTTTTCGGGAGTCAATTATTTTTTCGATATATATATATATTTATTTATTTATGTAGTTTAGACATCGCCATTATGCTCGAAAACTTAACGAGCAAAATATTAAGCGCGGCCGTTTTATCGAGAACGCAATGCCATTTGCGCTTAAAAGATAAACAGCAGCAACTGCAGGCATTTTAATTATTTTAATGAATTTTTATGTATAATATTTTTAATGAAAATTTCAGTTTTTAAGGAATAAACGAAATGAAGTTTTGAGCATGTGTAGAAAAATTGTTGAGGATTATTGCGCTAAAATTCGGTTTTATTGGATCTTTATAACTTTTTTTTGATTAGAAGTTTTTTTTTATTTATTATTTTCTTTATTATAATTTAAGTATTGCTTTATAAGTTTTTGTTATTCTGTTTATTTTTAATATATAATGACTTTTTTATGTTTTTTAATCTTGTAAATATATATTCTTAAAACTTATTGTTTTTTACATTTCATACTTCATACATTTTTTTTATTTAATAATATTATTTATTTATACTTTCATGATTGTTATTTATAAGTGTATTACTATTAGATTTTTAATTATCTTTAAATAATATTTTTTATGTATATTTTATTAAATTATACTTTTTCACTTTTTATTTTATATATTTTTTTATATATGCTTTAATATATTTCTATTTTTTTTAATAATTATATTATATTTTAATATGTAAAAGTTATTCATTTATATAAAGTTTAAGTTTTTGAACCTGAAGTTATTCTATGAATTTTTAGTATAATCTTTAATATAATTTTCACTATATTTTTTATATTATAGCGTTTATTATTATTTTATTAATTAAAAAAGTTTTCTGTAATTTTATATATTAATATTTATTTATTTATTATTATTTTCTAATAAAGAGAGAATTTTAATTTTTATTTATTTATAATTTAATATATATTTATTATTTTCTTTATTCTTTAGATAAAAATTTTATTTATACTTTTTTATGTTTTTATATGAAAATTTAAGTTGTTTTTTTTTTATATTTTAACATTTATTTATTATTTTCTTTTTTAATTATATAAATTATTTTTTTTTTTTAGAGATTTCAAAATTTTCTATATATATCAATATATATCTATTAACATTTTTATTTATTATATAATTATTATTAGTTCTTTATGAGAATTCAAGTTTTCTTATTCATATTTATATATACTATAAATCTATTTATTATATTATTATTAAATTTTTTAAAAGAATTTAAGTTATTTTATTATATACTATAATATATATTTATTATTATTTTCATCTTATATAAGAATTATTATTAGTTTTTAAGAAAATTTAGGGTTTATTTTTTTTATTATACTTACATGTATTATTATTTATTATTATAGAATATAATATTAGTTTTTTATTTATACTTTTATATATTTATTACTTTCTTTTTTTATAATATCATAATTACTATTAGTTTTTTAAGATAATATAGTTTTTTTCCTTTATACTTTATATATATTCATTAATTTCTTTTTTTATTATATAATAATTATTAACTTTATAAGAAATTTTAAGTTTGCACTCCTGTATTTCTTTATTTGCTTTTACGTTACTTTTTATATTCGTTATATTTATTATTACATTTTAACAGAAAAAAGTTTAAGTCTGAGCTTATATATTTTTATATACACTTCAATATATTTTTACTATATTTTCAAATTATTCTCTATTTTTTTAGAAGGAATTTATATTTATTTTTTATTAATTTTTTTTTTAAAGAGAAAAAGTTTATTATAGGCTTGTATTATTACTTTTATTATATAATATATTTTATTATATATTTTTATATTTAGTATTAACATTTATTATATTTTTTTGAAAATATTTTAGTATTACTTTTATTATTGTAATTTTTCTTACCTTTCCTTTTTAATAAAAAAATATTCAATTTTTTTAAGAGAGAAGTTTAAGTCTGAACTCGAAATCATTATTTCTAATGAACTTTGCGGGATTGTTCAGCGTTTTGATTATGCTGCTTTCCACGCGGATGACGAAAGTTTGCTTATTTTTAGTAATCGACTAAAAGTAAATAAAAGTTACTGTTTTATTTTTTATTATTATTTTGGTTTTTGAAATATTTTTTTAAGTTATTTTTTTATAAATTCGAAGTATTTTGTATACTATTATTATTTTAAAAAAAATTTAGTTTAATAAAGTTTATTATATTTTTAGTTTATTTTGTTTTTGTTTTTTTTTCATATTCTGTATCCTTTTTTTAATATTAAATGATTAATAAAGAGTTTAAGAAGTTTATAATTATATTACATTTTAAAAAGTTTTACAATATTTATTAAAACTTCATTATTTAAATAAGGTTTAGTATTATTCTTTTATTTTGTTTCTGTTTATATATATTTTTTTTATTCTTTTTTTTTATTAGAATAAATGAAAAGGAAAAGTTTATTATATATACGTTTAACTATAAACGGTTCTTTTATATTCTAAAAAAAAGTTTAGTGTAGTAAAGTTTATTATCTTTTTTGGTTTCTTTTTTTTTGTTTATATCTATTTTTTATTCTGATTTTTATAAAAGTAAAGGAGAAGAATAGTTTATAGTTTATTTGTAATATTAAATATTACTGAGTTTACTTTTTATAAAAAATTTTTTTTAATAAAAGTAGTTTTTAAAAGTTTTATTTTTGTATAAAATTTATTAAATCATTAGAAGTTCATAATTTTTTTTATGAATAAATAATTATTATTATTGATTTACGGAATAAAAAAATTAATTGCTCATATAAAAGTTCTTATAAATGTTTATTATTATTTTACTTAAAAACTTTTTAACTTTAGTTTTATATAAAAGCTTCACATTAATTTTTAAAAGAATAAGTTTCATTAATATTATTGCAAAAGATTTTAAATAAATGAAGTTTCGTTATTTTTTTTGTAAAAAGTTATTATGTTACTATAAAAGTTTGCCAATAATTTTTTATCCTAAGGGTTTTTTATTATAACGTTTTCAATAAAGCTTTACTTTTGTCTAAAAATTATTTTTGGTAAAAGTTTACTGTTTCTTGCCTTTTTAAAGTTTACGATTTATCGAAATCAAAAGTTATATAGTTTTTTATAATAAATAAAAAAAGTATAAAGTTTTGTTGTTTAACTTTTTTATATACTTTTTTCAACCATTATAGATACTTAACGAAAACTTTTATTTAATAAATATAAAAAAACTATACTATTAATAGTATATACTTCGTAATTATTATAAGGATTTTAGTCTACCATAAAGGAAAAAAGTTGAGTTTCTATATTTTTCATTGATCTGTGACTTGTTTTTTAAAATTTTGATATTATTATTTTACATAATAAAGTATTTATATTATTGTTTATTTTTATTATTATTATTATTTTTATTATATTTAATAAAAGAAAACTTTACTTTACATAACTATAAAAAATCAGCGTTATACTTATTATTTTTATTTTTTAATGAAAATTTTTATAAGAAACTTTTATTAATGATTACTATTATTATAAAAGTTTATTTTTTTAAAAACTTCTAATATTATTTTTATATAATAAAGTTTATATAAGAAACTTTTATTTTTATATTTATTAGGATTATTTGAGCGTGCAACTTTGCGAGTTACTGAATCGCAGCTGCTTTACTTCGATGAATGAACTTTATTATTCCTTACAAAATAAAATGGTACTAAATAATTCTGCTTAACCAATTATTTTACTCCAAAAGCGTGCATGTTTCCTTTTATAGTGTTACTTGCTACACTAATTTTTTACTAATTTCTTCATTTGTTATATATTTTCTAACTTTTGTATATAATATTTTTAATGAATCGGATACTATTTACGACTTTTATTGGTTGGTGGTGTCGTCGTTTTATCTTTTATAATCTTTTTATTATGTTAAATAAAATTTATTTATTGAATTTTTATTAGTTTGTTGAACTTTTTATAAACTTTTCAATAATATTAGAGATTTCATTATTTTTTCAAGTTTAAAATATTTATTATTTCTTTTTTGTATCATTTAACGCTTGTACTTTCCTTTTTATCAGATTTTTATGAAGATTCATAATTATTATATAAAACAAATATTTTATTTTCATATTATTTTTTGTTTTAACTAAAATTTATTATTTTTTATTATTTTTTTACGTATTATTTTTAGAATATTAATTTATTTGTATAATACAAGTTTCTTTGTTTTTTATGGGTGTACCGTTATTTTTTTTTGTAAAGTTTATTTTCGATTTTTACATTGTAGCTTTTTTTATGAAATACAAAAATATTATGCTTAAAGATTTTAAAGTTTTTTTTTAATTGTATTATTGAAGTTTATAATATTAAATAAATATTTTTTTTAAATAAATAACTGCTATTATTTACTTTTTATTATAATTTAAAGAATGTAAATTTACACGAGATACAAAGAAATGTTTGTAATGTTTTAGGGGTTTTGTTAGTTAATTTTGTGTATATTTTTGTATTATATTTTTCTTGATTGGTTTGTTTTTTAGATTTCACTATTGTATTAAGATTTAGTTGAAATTTTTATCAAAGGTTGTTAAAATTTTTACGTATTATAACTAGTTGTCAAATATTTCACTATTTTTCATGCGTTGTTATCTATTCATTAAAAATTCACTTTTTTTAATCACTGACTTTCATAATTCTTATGTTACTAATTCTTAAATATTTCACTATTACTTGTGCATTGTTATTTACTTACACTAAAAAATTCAGTTGAACTTTTAAACCAATAATTGTTCATCTTTTTAAAGTATTATTGTATATTTATTCACAAAATTTTTTGCACTTGTTTGATACTTATTTAAAAAATTTAATTGAAAACTTTTTAAACCAATAATTGTTCATTATTATACAGTATACAATAATGTATGGATGGTTTATTCACTACTTTACGTGCGCTATCTCATTAATGATTTTATAGGTTGGGCAAGTAGATGGCATCCTCGATGCAAACGCTATTGGCTTTTCACCGTCTCCTTTAAACTTTCATATGCCGACAACCTCCGACAATTTGTCATTTATCCAGCAGGATATTTATTCCGCTTCTGATTCGTCTACTCTGCGATCCCCCATTCACCCAAATTTGTTTTCGCAAGATTTATTGGACGATTTTAAGCCTCATATTGACTTTTCTTTTTCATTGGGTTTCCTTATTATTATTATTTTTTTATTTTTATTAACTTCAAAATTTTATATTTACTATAATAATCTTCTTCATTAATTTTAGTTTTTTTATAAACTATTCTTATTCAGGTTGGCGTTCATTAGCACCACGTTTTCTTGGAACTTCCACTGTGAATTTTGTTGATAACCTTTTATTACTTTCAAAGTCGGATAGAAGAAGAACAATATATAATAATAATGAAAATAATAATCATAATGATCATAATAATCATAATAACTATAATAAACAAATTATGAATACTTATGGAAAGGGAGTTTTAGGAAAAGTTGCCTTTTCACTATTTTCTCCGAGTTCTTTACTTCCTTTTATGACAATGGCAGCCACGCTAACCACGAAACCAACGTATTATCTCTATATAATAAACTTTATAATAATTTTACTAATGAAAATAATAATGACAATACAAAGAAGGCAATCCTTAACAACTGTACACGCTTATAAGTTTTACGCTTATGTATAGTTTTCTACTTTATAAGTATGATTGTATTTGCATTTTCATTAGTTTAATCGATCGTATTAAAATGCACTTTTGTCGGGTTTGTGTACTTAGGGGGCGCTTTGAGGGATTAATTTTGCTTGGTGAAAAAAAAGTTTTATTAACTTCTTATTTGGCGAATAAATATTTATGCGCTAAACATTAAAAAAATAGGGAGCATTACTTTTTTCATGATAATAGAAGCCTCTATAACTTTTTTCGTTACTTTTTTTTTATTAATACTTTTCCTTAAATTGAACCTTTCTTTTATTAAGGTTTTGGAAACTTGGTTTATCTTTTGTTGGGATGTTTTCTTCACTATATTTATGGGAGTTTCTAACATATACAAACTCGTCAAAAGAATTATCTTTTAAGACGCAGTTCGCGCGCCATGCAGGTCGCGTGTATCTTGCAAGAATAGATATTATTGCTTCGAGTAAGTCATATACTATTTCTTTTTATAAACTTTCACTCTTTTTATATATATATCTTTATGAATAACTCAGTTTTAATCCGTTATAATTTTTGATATAAGCTTTTTTATATGTAATAATTTTTTATACGTTTTCACCGTTTCTTTTATTATAAATTTTTAAGTATATAAATAACTTTAATATAAAAATCTATATATATTCACATAATTATTTACTCGTTTGTGGTATATGCTTTATATATTTTCTCTGTTTTTATAAATTTTCTATTAAACTATATTCTTTTTATTTTGTTTATTTAATAAGTATAAACTTTTATAAATAGTAAGTATAGTAATTTTTTATTATTACGTTTTCATTATTTATTAAAATTATTGTCTATCGTAAGAATAATTATTAATATTTCTGCTTTTTACTATAATGTTGTATTTTTATAATAATAAACACCCGATTGCAATTAAGCGTTTTTTTGAAAGTTATTATTTAATACCAGACTACTATAATAGCCCACTTATCTCATAATATTGTTATATTCTACCTATATATGTAAATTGTACAAGAATACTACTTTTATCGCACTTTTTTTATATTAACTATCTATTTAATATATATATATATATATATATATATATATATATATATATATATATATATATATATTATATTCCAAAATTATCATATTGACGTACCGTTTATTATTTATTTAGAATCAGATTACTTTTATTAGCACATTTTAGTACCAATATTTTTATCGTAGGCATCAGTACTTTTTACGCTGGAATTGCTGAATCGAAAATACTTTCTTTGCAGTACGAAATTGATGAGCATAATGGCCAATTACAGAAAGAAATTGGTAGCAACAAGTTTTATTTTACTTTATGTTCTTTTTTTCTTTTTCTATAGAATTTCAAAAAAAAAATTTTTACTTATTTATTTACTTGTTAATATCCTTTTATTTTAAAATTTATAAATTTTTTTTTTCTTTGTGGTTTCTCATTATGTAGAGGAATATTGTTATTATCATTATTATTATTTACTAAACTTAAAAAAACCTTTAACACAATAGAATTTTTATTATTTTTTATAAATTATTATATACCTTTTTATAATTATTTTTAATATTTATTAATTTTTGATTAAAAAATTTTATATTATAATTATATTTGATTTTGCTGTATTTTTTTATTCTTTTTTTTTAGTTTTATTATATTTATCATCAACTTTATTAAATATATATAATAAAACTTTCTATTATTTTTGTTTATTTTCTTATTTAACATTATTTTTTTTAATTTTTTTACTTAAAATAACTTTTAATATAATTTATTTAACAGTATTCTTTTATTATTATCAATTTATTACTTTTTTTTTTCATAAAAAATTTACAAAGTTGTTTATAATTGTATTACTTTTTTTGGTTTTAAAAACTTTTTACATTATTTTAAATATAAGATTTTTTTTGTTTTCATTAGTAAATAAAGTTTTATTCTACTATTTATTAAATTATTAAATTATTTAAAACTTCTTTTAATATATTTTTACTTTTTTATAAAAATTAACTCAATACTCAACTTTTATTTATTATTATTAACTTTTTATTTGCAATGATTTTATTATATATTAATACGCTTGATGGGAATTTTTTAATGAGGACCAAAAGTTATAATATATCAATAAATAATTATTATGGACCCTAAAAAAAGAAAAAACATAAAAAACTATTAATTATTATTATCCAAAATTTCGTAAGAGTTTTAATTATTATTCATTAATATTCGCATGATGAAAACTTTTTTATGGTTTCTATGAAACTTTTAGCCTTAAAAGTTATAATAATCATTAATTATTATGAATCTTTTTAAAGAAAAAATTTATGAAACAATAAATTATTTTTATGCAAACTTTTACAAGTGAATGGATATATTATTTATATAAATATTCTTAATAACAAATTTTTAAGATGTACTTAAAATTTTTGGACTCAAAGTTATAATTATCAATAATTATTATATGATATGCAAACTTTTATAAGTGATGGAAGATCTATCTTAAGTTTTTGGGCTAAATAGTTATACTTATCAATTATTATTGTTATGATATGCAGACTTTTGTAAGTAACGAACTATATTATTAAGCTTTATCATGTTTTGATGAAATTTTTACACTCAAAAGTTATAATAATCAATAATTATTAAGAAATGCAAACTTTTACAAGTGATGGGAATTTTTATTATTATTTATACATTTACTTTTGATAAAACTTTTTAATGATTTATATAAAATTTTTTAGTCAAAAGTAAATATTTTTCATTTATAAATATGAATTTGTTTATAAATAAATTTGTGTATTTTTACTATACAAATTTGATATGATTAAGGATTTTATAATTTTTTTATAAACTTTTTTATACTTTTTTTACACCTATCAAATTTATCTCAAATTTTATTATTTTATTTTTAATACTTCGCATGTTTAAATGTTATAATAATATAAATATTATTATTGTTATTACTTTAACAAGTAAAAATATGCAAAACTTCATAAATATATTATATAAACTTTTTTATCTACATAAAAAATATTTATAACGTTTAAAAAAATTTCCTTCTCAATTTTTTATTATTTTTAATATTAATTTATTATTCTATTGTAGTTTATAAAATAATATTATAATTTATAATTATTTTTTAAATTTGCTCTTTTTTTGTATTTTTATATAAAAAATTTATATTTTTTTTAAAAGTTTTGATTTTGTTTTAAATATACAATATTTTAATGAAAAGCTCAGCGGTTCGCGTTTAGCGTTTTTTGAATAAAGTTTAGTTTAATTTTTATGATTCCACAACTTTATTAGTGCAGTTATTACAAAACACTATAAGTTTTTAGCGATAAATTTTTTTAACGTAAATAATTATTATTATTTATTTGCTTGTCATTTAAACTTTTACTATACATATGAAAATATGTTTTTCATATTATATAAATGATATTTTATATTATTAATATATAAACTAAATTTTGCAGTATGTAAGAAGTTAAGATAAAAAGTGTATTTTTTTTTAAAGTATAATAAAGTTTATAAAAAAGTTTGATAACGATTATTTTTTCATGAAAGTTATATATATATATTTTTATTGTTTCGAATTTTTCCAAAAGTTTTAATAATAATAATTAATAATGAAAAGCTTTGAAATTGATATAAACTTTTTATTTAAAACATTAATTTTTTTTTTAAAAAAAATAAAAAAGTTTTGTAATGATTGGAACAAAACTTTTTATTATTTAATACAATAATGAATAATTTTTTTTAGTGAAATTTTATTAAAAAAAGAATAAAAGAAAATATATAAATAATTATACATTTTTTAATAATAATAATAATAATTATATATAGGAAAAAAGTAGTAAAAATAATTTTCAATTTTTATGGAAAAAACTTTTTGTTTAATAAAATAATAATTTTTTTTAGTAAAAAAAACATAAAATTTAAATATTATTTATTAAGTTTACATTATTTTTTAATAATAAAATAATATTCATTAAAGAAATATATAATTCAATTTTTATTGAAAACAACTTTTTAATCTTTAATAAAATAATGAATAACATTTTTTAGTAAAATTTTATTTATAGTATTCTAATTTTTTAGTGTACATTATATTAATAATGATAATAATTTGTTTGAAAGAAGTAAAGAAATATATATCTCAGTTTATAAAAAAACAACTTTTGTATGGTTTTATAAAATAATGAATATTTTTTATTGTTTAAGTTTTTAGATAAAGAAAGAGTATGAAAAGTTTTTATAAATATATATTTCTTTGTGTATAATAAAAATTTATAAAATTTTATTATTAACATTATTTTACACTAAACTATTAATAATAATAATTTTTTGAAAAAAGTAAAAAAAAGTATTATTCAGTTTTGCATAAAAGCAATATTTTTATTGAAATCTTGACTCGAATTGTGATAAAAACTTTTTGAATTGAAGAATATAAAATAATATTCTTTTACTTAAAAGTATATATATTGTAAATTTTTTATAAATATTATATTTTTTAATAAAAAGTTTAATATAATATTATATTTCTTGAAAGCATATCTTTTTTTGATTTCAGAAGGATTTAAGTAAAAATGTAAAAAACTTAGAAAAACCAATAATAAAAAAGCAATCTAATAATGCTCTATATAAAAAATAAGTTAAAATATTTTTTTATACATATATTTAAAATTATAAATTATTAATTTTTTTATTGAAATATTTTCTATAAACTATTTTTTATGTTTATTACAATTTACTTATAATTTATAAAACATTTATAATATGTTATACATAAATTTATTTTTTCTGTTTCTTATATTATTAAAATTAGCTATTAACTTTGTTATAACTATAAATGAATGTTATTAAGCAACTTGAATTAGGTCGAATATAGTGAAATCTAATAAAATTTTTTAAAATTCAACTAAAACTTTATAATTATTAAGAATTTTGATATAAATTTTATTATTACTAATTAATACAATTTTACACTTATAAGTTTTGTTTATTTTATAATAGTTTAAATTTTCTTTTTAGAATTTAATTTTGTTAAATTATGGAAACTTTTTTGGATTACTAATTACTGAATTATTTTTTTAAAATTCTATATAAATTTTTTAAATTACTCTATTGGTAAATATTATTTATTTATTTATATCATTATTAACAATATAAAAATAACTTGGATTTTTTACGTTTTTTGTTTATTTACTTTTTTAGTTTTATAAAGTTCCTAAGTTTAAAATAATTATAGATTACATAATTATTATAAATTTTAAGTAAAATAATTTAATTTTTATTATGGTTTTTTTTTTAATTTATTCAAAGAAATAGATTTTGACAACCTTCAATATTTAGAAATTTCTATAATTAATTTTTTTTTAAATATTCTTCCTTTGCTTTATTTTATATTAATTTAGTAAATTTAGTATTTCTCTCGGAAATTTATATTATTTCTATATATAAAATTTTTTATAGAATTAAATTTATTCATTTTAATTAGTCATTACAATTTAATATGCCGTATACTTTTTTAAAAATATGAATTTTTTAAAATTATTTTTAAAAACTTTTTTTTTACCAAAAATTTGTGAGTATTTTTATGTTGCTTTTAGTAAACTGTATCAAAAAATTGTTATAATTTTTACATAAAAATTTGAACAAGTTTATAATTATTTTTGGATGGTTACAATAATTTTTAATATTTTTTTAAAATAAATATTTATAAATTTCATTTGAAGGCGCTCTGAAAAGCGAGGAAGAAAGTCTAAGCAGAATATTAAACGAAGCGCAAGCCATAAATGAAAAGTCTAAAGATTGCATTACTTTGCTCAACAAATATTATAACACGTACATCTTAAATAATTTTTCGGATGCTGATGGAAATTTTAACACTGAATTTGGTTGAAGAAAAAAATTATTAATTTTTTTTTACAAAGTTGTTAATAATATACTTTTGAGATCAATTATAAATATTAAAGAGATGAGTGCTAGCTTTTTTTATTACTTTGTTTTGCGTTTTTATTTCCTTAAATCTTTAAATTAAGTTGAAACTAATTAATAATATATATAAAAAATATTATTATTTATATTTTTGTTATATAAGTTTTGAACTTACAAAAAAATCAAGCAATTAAAAACTTTTTATGACTTGTCTTGCATTCTTAAATGTTCAATTTTATAAGCTACTAATAAAAGTTAAACTTTAATCACGACATAACGTAGTGGAATATAGGAAATAATAAAAATGGGTAAGTAAGTAAATTTTTATAATTGAGAAAATTATTAATTGTCGTAAAATTTAGATTTAAATTAACTGGTTATTGATTTTTACATCTTACTAATGTTTTCATGACTGAGAGAAGTTAAAGATTCATATTAAAAATTAAATTATATTAATTAGTTATTTATAAAATAATAGTAAAATTAAAAAAAAAGTGAAGCGTTATCTTTTGGGGTAAAAGTATTGTTCAAAAATAAATCCAAAAATTTAAGGCTTTAAGCTGTTGATTCCGAAGTTGACTCTGCTAAAGCCGGTCTTAAATCATTAAAGTAACTTTTAATTATTAACTATTTTGACATACTACAGTCTCTATGTTTTCTATAAAGAAACGTAAATACAGTGATTTGTTATTAAATTATAAGAATTAATCTTTTTTTTTTAACAATTAATTTATAGACCTTTCTGCGTAAACTGTAGCGGTAATAGCTAATATGTTATATCAGAGAAGAAAACTGGTTTAGTAAACAGATTTACAGTCGCATAGGAGAGTTTTAGATTCTACAAGTATATATAAACTAACTAAAAGCGATGCCTCGCAAAGGATGATTAATCTTGGTCTTATTGCTTATAAGGCTTTTTTGTTCTATGAATTGTGCGGATGCTCGGTAATATCGGGATACTTGTAAGGCTAACCTGCAATATACACTTAAATAGAACAGAACAGGTGTTTTTGATGAGGTTCCCAGTGGTTACCTTTAGAGCCCTTTCTTCGTTGAACCGGCTTAATCTTTTAACCGGTATCGGTCTGCGTACCGCGACTTCAACGAATATGAACGTACCCAATTTATATGCAGCGACTGTGCAGTAGGGCTTTGTATAGATTCCTGTTTTAAAATTTGCCATACTCCAATATATCGAATTAAGTAAAAAACTCTTTTGAAAATAGCCTCTCCAAGCTCACTTTTTTACAAAATGTAGGTATACATTTGTACCTGGTAAAGAGTTCAATACAACCCAATATCCAATTAGCAGTAATACTAGGTCATAACCGATGATATTTATTAAGGTTGGGTACCATTATGATTTTCAGTAAGGTTATATCGGCTACATCAAAGAGCATCAAGTTGAGCGATGTGTGGATTCAAATAATCCAAAAAAAAACTCCATTTTTTTGCCCGGGCTTCCCGAAACACTTGCTATTTTGGATTTTCGCTTGCTGTGTTGCATAAAAAATGTTTTCTATTGAGGCCTCTGCTACTTATGACCAGATTAGGATCGTTAAAATTTTTTCTGAGTACCCGATAAGTTCTTTAATCGGGCGAATTAAAACAGGAAATGATATTCACCGAACCAAAATTTTTTGGTTACTCATGTCACTACAGTGTCACTGACAACACGGTTAAAAATAGTTTAGAAAGAAAGTCAATAATAGAGCTGTAATAAATTTTAGCGTCGTTGCGTAAATGGAGGAAACCACTAACCTTAAACTAGGAATTAATCTTGGTTCTAACTTTAGCCAGAGTCAAAATCGAGTCTCTTCCACCTCTTACAGTTTTATTGACCACTTGTCGAGTTAACAACAAATCACACACGAAACTAACTTGGTTCTTAACTCCTTATTGAATTAATAAATTTATTTAAACTTATAATTGTACAGAATCATAATAATTCAAATATAAATAAAATTTAATTAAACTGATAAAATAAAAAAATATAATGTAATCCAATATAATAGTAACAATAATAATTAACACAAAAAAATTAATAAAATAGAACATAGTAAAGTAAAATAAACAAGTAACTTTAACAGTATTTAGACAATTTCTAAACATGATTCTAACCATGACGCTAACCTAGACCATGCTGCCGCCTTGGAGCAATTTAATGCTAGTTGTATCGCATAAGTAAACACGATCTTGTTTAGTTTTAATTATTAGCCATAACGTGCTTTATAACAGACGCAAATTGAGGAACACATACGGTACTTTTAGTTCTTGGGAAAAGCTAGACTATCCTTTGAAACTGTTAGGGTATTTTGTGCACCCATGCTAGGCCCTATTCTTTGGGCTAAAGTCGACGAAAGTTAACTGAAGTTGACTCAAGTTAACCAAAATAGCTAATACTTAATACTGGCGTTAAAAAAACTGTGATAGATAATTAGTACTGTATATAATATAATATAATATAATATTTTTTTGTTTTGAATGCTCTCAGATCTGAGACGCTGTTACCATTCGGAGCCTTTAATAATGTTATTTTAGTGCTTTTACCTTAGAAAAATGCAAAGATTGGCTCAAAATCTATTAGCATTCTCTAGGTGAGGACACTTTCTTTGGACTTTACGGATCGTTTAGCAAAATTTTCATAATTTAGTGTTGTTATCTACAATATTAAGCACAAGAACCTATAGTATTAGAGATACAAGCTAGTTGTATCTCGCTGCGCGCTTTCTCTTGTGCTCTTAACTTTGTCTTCTTCACCAGCGGACGAGCTTGTGTTGCAGTCAACATTGTGCCTTTTTCACAGCGATCTATGCTATTTCGAAGGTCATAATTTAAAGTTAGGTACATTATACCTCAGCTGTGCAGGTTGGCTCCTTAATGGGGAGACTAGTTTCTGATTTGTATATTTGACTGTTAGTCACGTCTTGAGGCTTTCGTACTTTGCTGTACATTCATCATTGACCGTAAAGATCCCTGTTCAATCTTTAGGCTTAATATTGTAAATGCGCACGAATAAGAACGTGCCTATATAAAAAATAGCGTCAGCCGGCGATTTAGCCCTGGCGGCTTCCAGGTGGTTTCGATCTATGGAGTTAACAGGTTTCCTTCCGTAGGTGGGAGCCGTATCCAAGCGGACTTATCTTAATCGGGTTATGTTACCCTCTACTTTCGACAGGGTCCACTTGACTGTTACTGTAAACAAACTATTCATACTCTACTCTAACATCATCTTAACACGAGCGGCTCATTAACTGTGAAACCCTTAGGACGTGAATATGGTACCTCCCTGAAAGAGCTCTCAGTTAAGAGGTTTACGGTACTACGGAGAGTTGTACAGTTGCTAGAAATAACTAACATAACCATGTTATTGACGCACGTATCGAAAGGTATGCTCTTAAAACGGGTAAAAACTCGTCGGCTGCATTAGTCCTTTAGTAGGTTCTCCCTTACCTGTAACATGAAGGCAAACATTATGGTTAGTAACATGCCTTTTGCCTGGTGCCTTTGTGTTCACTGATAAGAGTTGTTCTGTACCTTATGCCTACTCTTGTTGGTTAAACCTAATAATAAACACAAACGGCCAACTACTGTTTACCATTGTTGGGAAATCTTAAGCTATGTATACTGGCGTTGCCTTTTGAAGCAATTTTCAACGTAATCTGCCTAGAAAGATCTTGGAAAGCCTTGGTGGATACACGCTAAGTTATACTGAACACTACTGTTATCCGAGTTATAAGTTGCGGAACGAAAGTCATAGCAGCAACAACAACATAATGAGTAACGACAGATAGCACTGCTTCCTGGGCCGCTGGTGGCGGTTAGACTTCCTTGTTGTAGTCTGGTCGGCGCGGGTGTGTAATGGCACTTGTAGCATATACCCTGTGTATATGCTATGAGTACTGCTGCTATATCGAGCTATTTACCAGTATATTCTATATATAAGCTCGCCATCCCTGTGCTCACTCATACAATGTATACAGTTGGCCTTCTCTCACTAAGGGTTAGGGAGAAATCAGGGCTACTTTTCTGCAAATTTAATACGTTTACATGGCGGAGTACGCTAAAAAAAATGCCAACTAAAAATATTGGCCACGTCCATCCTTTTTTTAAAAAAAGTGCATAGAAACGGAAATTCATTCATTGTTTTTAACTTTGATTGTATTACTTCTGTTTAGGTACTTTACTAATAAGGAAGACAGTAATATTCTGATTTGACCATATTTTCACATACGTATCACTGACTCTCAACTCTGTCTTAACTTACTATACATTTGTAATTAAAAAAATACCCCAAAAAACGAGAGTCCTTTTTCGGAAGGGAGGCGAAAAGTAAACGTCTGTAGTCTTGTTCACTAGGCGTTGATCCTGTTTCTTTGTATCTAGTTCTTTGCTTTAAAGATCTTGTATTTTTGATTTAATAGTATAGTTTGCTCCAGTCGTTCTTATTAATATTATTTGTGTTATTAACTTTGTTAACATCCTTATAATTATTATTGCTATTACTGTTTTTATTACTAATTCCATTATTAGCACTGTTACTATTATTGCATTTACTTTTCTTATATTTTTAGAGCTTATCAGTTTACAAGTTAGATTCCTTACTATTACTAATGCTCTGCACATTAAAGTTTTCCTTTTTTGTTAGAAGTAACGTTTATAATAATAGTGTCTATAACGACATTTTGTACGGTTTTGGTCTTTCAATTTGGGAGAACGGAATATGAGAATAAACTGTTAATATCTTTGTTATATATAAATTAATAGATTCAATTTATTTAAAATTACTTTCATTTAAAAAAATTTTAACTTTTTTTCTTCATTAGATTGCCGTACTCTTGTTTTTAAAGCTTTTAGCTCCTTACTAAGTTTTATATCCGCGGCGAACAAAGTAACGATAAGTATATTACTAAATTTTATGAGACCAAAGTTTTGGTCAAAAGAAAACGATTAAGTACTAAAAACTGCTAAAAAAAACCTCTATTATTATTAACACTTACTAATTACATAGAGCTGAGTATCTAAAAATTGGAGCAATTGCTAGTTAATTGAGTTAGACGAAATATAGTTTCAATAAAAAATATATATGAACAAAGTTTATTTTTAAAAGGTGACAAGGATGAAGTAGAAGCCACAACGAACCAATTTTTTTTATTTTAGTGTAAAGTAACTAGGACAAATAAAAGGTTTAGTGAAACAACTTATTACCTTTGTACATAAGATAAAAATAAAGTGGAATTTTCCAAAGAAAAATTTTATAATTTTGTTTTTGGTTCGTTTGCACGGGTTGTTAAATAAAAGAATTTTCGAGCATTGTGGAGTTGTGTAGTTTGTAAAAACATTTTACGCGAACAAAATAAAGATCCTTAGTTTGTGCTAATTATATAAGAACACACCGCCAAATAAAGGCTATTTTTGAGGGGGGGAAATGATAAAGGAGAAAACTCAATATTAAAACGTTGCAATAAGAGTTACAAATGCAAACAGCATAATATTGAATAGGCAAATTCTTTAAGGTATACTATCCTCAACAGAATTTTAGCTTCAGTAAAAATTGACAACTTTTTTAATACTTGAGATGGGTTCATGGCTTTACCTAAAACAGAGGTTTTAAAGATTATGAATATATGAATTGCAACTGGATTTTATGACTAAAGGGCAGGATCATGTAAGTTTCTCTTTAATAAAACAGACTTATATAGCAGTCATTGTTTACCTATGGTTTACACTATTAATTAGAACTTAGAGTACATCCAAAGGTAAAGAGATTAAACTTTTTTGCAAATGCTAGTCAAAAAAAATACTATCCTACCTGAATGATTGAAAATCATAACAAGTGTTATACACAAAAAATATGAGAAATTTTTAGTTACAACTGTACTTAAAGAAATACAAAGTTAGTATCAAGTAATATAATTTGAACAATATAAGCACACAGTCGCCCTTTAGGGTGAATGAAATTAACCTTTATTCAAACACACTAACTTCATGCATTAACAAACCGCTCCCTTATGTGTGCCGCTCCTACCTTAGGGTACAAGCATGCGCTACAATCCGAAGTTAACTAAGTACTCGTAGTTTATAATCAACTCTTAACTACAGAATTAATTTCAGGATTTTCCTAAAAAGAGTTCACTCCTAATATAGAGGGGATCATATTTTTAAAAGAAAGAATAATTATTAGTTAAAAAGTTTCTTAAGGCTTCAGTAACTGTGTAGAGATAACTTGTTTATGCAAGATCACCGCGCTAACTTAAGCCACTATGATAGAATTACTTAAGGTTGTGCTGTATATTTTTAAAAAAAACAAGTATAATTATGATTTTTTATAATGTGGGCGCCCTTTTTGTAAACTTTATCTAGCGAAGTGTAAAGCTTCAGCTGTTTACCTATGAGAGGAAGTTTGCCGGGGTCAAAGTTAAAGTTTACCCTCCAAAAATGTTGATAGAGGCACAATGTAAACTGTTTACATTAAAAGAATACTAAGTGATGTGTATTTGAAAGTTTGTAAAAAATATATGTGACAAAAAAAACTTAGTTCGTTAGGCAGGACTATTTTAACACTGCATTAAGTAAAGCTTGTTCGGTTTACTAATCACTTTACCATTAGGGCTTCTTTTTTTCTCACACCTCACTCTAAAACTCTTTCAAAATTCTTTTTTTCACTCTGAGCAAAATTAAACCCTTTTTTAACTATCAATACTTTTTTATATTTGATCTTTCCTTTATTTAGAGTGTATTAGTTTCTAATACCCTCTATTTTTTCACTATATAACCTTGATTTTAACTACTTATGCTATCTTTAAACCTTATCGAAAAAACACAAAAATATCATGTGGTCACTTTACTGTAGAAATGTAAACCAAAAAATTACTTCAGGAAGTAACATCGAAATTTTAATTAAATTCTAATTTATTCTGCATTATTAATTTCTATTTTATTAATCTTTTATAAATATTATTTAATACGGTAGCCACCTACTATAATTATGTCATCTTTTTTTAATGCATGACGTATATAGCCATCTGCTGGTAGTGGTCTTCCGTCTACGTGGGCCACATAGTTGTAATCCTCCGAATTCATTCCGTTTTTTGGTGCTTCTTTGATTTCGTAGTTACTTATGCAAAAGTTCGTAATGTCCTGTATTCTCGCTTGCAACGGAAAATGCTGAACATAATGTTCTTCGTTAAAGATTACATGTAAACGGACGGATTCTTTTTTTCTCGTTCGGTCACTTAGTGATTTTTTATTAATTTTAACTTTTTCGTATTTATTTATTCCCTCTTTTAAAAAAATTGGATAATTTTCTTTCGATTCAGAAGATTTTTGTCGCCCAAAAGATCGACGGAGTGGGAAAAAATGTAAAGACATACGAAAATAGTTTTTTTTACAAGTTTCACTTGAACTCTTTTTTTTAATTTTTTTTATGGTTCCGTTTTCTATGCTTTGGAAAGGGGTATTAATATTATTGTCGATACTGTTACCGTCATAATCATCGGCGTGGACTACCTCTTGTTCATGATTTTGGATCTTATAATAATTGTTGTCTTGTTCTTCTTTACATGTATCTAAGTTAGAACTCTTAGCTTCACTGAATAGACCAAGACAGGAAGCTTTGCTTGACCCTTTTTTTTCCTTCATTTTTAAAGAGAAAAAAAAATTATTCGTGGTATTATTCTTGTAGCTTTTGGCACAACCCTTGCGCTCTTTTGAATTTTTATGGTCGGGCAAAGTTTGCAACTGGAAACTAGAGGAAAAGAGTCGGTGTAAAGATCTTAACTTATAGAAAAAGTTAATTAAAAATAAAACTAATAAATAATAATTAACGAGTAAATTATTTTGCTTGCTGGTGATCCGGTTTCTAGTTGGCAAGGCTCGGCGTAATTGTTAGCAACAAGTATCTTGAGCAAAAGTTCAGCTTTGTCTGAGTTTTCACAACCTGTTACTTGAAAATTTTTTACCTAATTTAAAAGAATTATTAAATTACCTTAAGCTTCTGTGCCAATTTTTATTATCACAGTTGAGTGATATAGTACACTTCATTATTTACATAAAAATTGCCTTTCTACGTACATTACCATCCACTGAAGAATTGCAGTCTTGTTTATGTTTAAAACTAGACAGTCTTCCAGCACCAGTGGTTCCTGTTTCTTTGTAAAATCCTCGATTAATAAAGTGCGCACGAGACAGAAGTCAATTTTACTTTTAACAGTGTTGCACTTATAAAATAAAAGCTTATTCATTTGGAAACTTTAAAAAAGTAATTTTAGGTTTCATTAATAAATTTATAAGTATTTTTGCTAGGATTCTTCATTTAAAATATTGTTCATTAAGCGATTAAAAAGATTAAATTTTTCTACTACATATTATGTACACCGACTATAACTTCGTAGGTTTAATTTTGAAAGTAACCCTATGTGGCTTTTATATTTATTTCTTAATTACAATTACCAATGAATACCTCAAAAATTTTTCTCATCCAAAAAAAAATTGAGCTGATAGCCTATTAGTTTTTATATGCTTCACAAAAAGTTTTGGTGTTTTCTTTGAGAATCCAGCAACCAATAATTATCTGATATAATAGATGCGTTTAATTTTTAATGATTGTAATAGCCCTCCTCCACTTAAATGTACGTATTTATATGTTTTGCCCTATAAGAATATACTTATAAGTATTATGTTTTAGCTGACAGCCTAAATGCGTATAACTACTTTACTAAACGATTTCTCAAGCTGAAGACTTGTTTCATAAACTTCCTTCGATGCTTGATAAAATTATTATAATAATTAAACTAAATTTAATGACTAATTTATATCTTTCATAAATTTATATGTATACCGAGGTTAGTCTAATTTTTTTATGGCAATATGTCTTCCACTTAAATTTAATGTGATGATTTACCAAGACTTTTGTATATTGCTCTTGCAAGGATAATACTTGCAATATTATGTTTTGGCTAGTATAATAAAACAATCAATGATATATTTGCAACAAAGTTAAATGTGTATCAATGTTTTCAAGCTAAATGAAACTGCATATAGAATTGGCAACTATAATTCGTCATTAAAAAGAAAGGACAAGCTTTGAAGTTTAAAACTTTAGGGCTTCCTCACTTTCTGTACACAGAAAGAAGAGATTGAGATACCGTACAATTACCGTGCTCTTTTTAAAACGTTTAAAGCTTAATATATGAATCAGGTTTAATGCTAAAAATAGTATCAATTAACAATTAACGAAAAAATCTGCTTATTATGATTATGTTTTCTTCTTTATATCTAGATATCAGCTATCAGAAGATATAATAGTAAGAATAGTCTTAGTTTCTTCTATGCGCCCTGCTAAGAAGGGGAAAAAATTAGTAAAGAATTTAAGTAACATTTTTTTTTAAAGCGTAATGTTCCTTAAAAAGTTAGAAGACTAACTTTTGGGAAAATTACATTTAAAAAGATTGGTTTTGAAACTACCAACCTAATGTATCGTCAGAGAAGCACAAAAATTCAAACTGCTTGGCTTTTTAAGGCAGTTGTTTAGAAAAAAGCTTTCAAGCTTTTTGAAAGAAGAAAATGTTTATAAAAACACAAAAATGACTTATTTAATTTATTTAAAGTGATATTTAGTAAAACACAATTGTATATAGTAAAACGCTTTCATGCTTATGCAAGGTGAACAGTAGTCTTGATGAAGTGTGATAAGACAAAGGAAACTCATAATCCAGTTTTAAGGCTAACGAAAGTGTACTATTTATTAGATTTACAAAATATTAGGAAAACAATCAAAAAAGTAAGTTTTTTTTAAAATGTGGGATAAAATCGTAATTTGGAGCACATTTTTACAATGTCACTTGCTAATAAACAAAGCTCTATTTAAAAAATTCACAATTATGTTTAACATTACATTACGGTACTATTAATCGTAATAAAATTTTAGGCTGTTATGTAAATAGAAGAAGGAAGAGAAAAGTTTTTAATATTTTACAACTGCTTAATAGGGACGATGTTACGAGCTGAAGTTCGTAAATGAAATTTTTAAAATCTACAGTTTGTTAACACAATTTTGTACTCGTCCACAATTTTAAACATTAATTAATTGATACTTTCGGATAACAAATAACAATAAAATCGCTTTAGAGGCAGTACAAAAAGCGTTATAACAAGAGCAACATAAGGAACTAAGAATAGAGCTGAGCTCATACATAAGAAAAATTATGAAGTTAAATAGAAAACGGTATCGAAAAAAAACTAAGATTAGAACACGGAACTAAAAGACACTTTACTACAAAGAAATGTAACAAAGTTAACTTGTTTATTCCAAATGCACTCTCCTTTGATGTACGTGTTTGTGGGTAAAGCACAATCGGGTCAAAACTAAAACTAAGTGTGAGTATGAATAAGGCAGAGGTGCAAACATTGGATATACGGTAACTCAGTTTAGATAACGTATGGTAATAATAATCAATAAGAAGCAGAAATGAAAAAGAAGAAATTAAGAATAGTAGAACGAAAACAACTAAATTCTATAGGCAACGGTCAGTATAGTACGCGTAAGAATCAAGAATGAGAATGAATGCTAAAGACGCCATAGCAATTATAAATCTAACGCCAGTTACCAACTAGTTTAGTTGTAGATATAATCTAGCGGTTTTCAATAAGAGCGGTTCAACCGGATCTGCTTGTTCGCCTTGACGCATACCAGTACGGGGCACCCTTTCGAGCTAGGACGCTTGCAGAGTGGTACATAAACAATGCTATTCGTATCGCTTCAAGATACTTTCGTAATAAACTGGTTTTAAAATAGCATCGTACTGGTAAAGTATTGTATATATATAGAGTTGTTTACTAGTATATACTATAATAAACCGCTCTTAATAAGTTTAATCAGATGATCACTAAAAATAAAAACTGAATGAAATGGAATTCCATTCGTTTTATGGTTTAAAATTTGCTTTTTTAATGTTAACCTTCATTAGAAATATTGAGTAATAAAAATATTTTCTTGTAAAAGTAACTTATACGAAAGAACTAACTTCAATAAAATCTCGGCTTAATGGGACCAAAAAAAGTTTTTACAAATTCTTTTTAAAATTTAACCTAAGTACGGCTATAGAAAATTAATATTTTTTGAAGGAAATAACGTCGTCCCTTATAAATTAAGCTGCTTTAGTATTAAAACTGGTTGAAGTGTGAAAAATTTACTAAAAAGATACTATAAAAATTACTTTATTGGCGAATACTATACTTTAAAAAAACCGGTGCTTAAAATCCGATTTTAGGTTGCACCTCCCCATACCTTGAGAAGATTATATGGGAACCATAGTTTAGGGCATCCTTTTATTAAATTTAGAAACTAATATTAATTATGAAACTTATTAAAACTATATTTTGTGGGTCAAAGCGTTATAAGAAGTTTTTAAGAAATATATTCCATGAAAAGCACTAAATTCACAAAGCTTTATAAAACGCATTACCAAAACTAAGCAAACTGAATTAGCTATTAACCCTATAGTTTTTGAAAAAGATATTAAGCACTACTTTCATTCTGTATTTTCACTTAATATACAACTTAATTAAAATCAGACTTATTAAAATCCAGTATAACCTAATATACTATATTTGCACACGGCATGAAAAGACGAAAGACTGGTTATTCCTATAATAAAAATCCAGTCATTAAATAATTTTTTTGAAAACTTCATAGTTTCGTTATAAATGTAAGAGACTTTTTGATTGTTATAAATTGGCTCTCATTAAAGTTTACTGTTTATATAAGGTATGCTATTACTCTATAAACTTGCAACATGGTCGATATGCGTAATTGATTACACGGCCATAATTCATATGCTTTGGCTAAATAGTTTTTTATAGGTGCAAGTATTTGTCTTCGAAACATCTTTTGGGTTTAATTAGGAAATGTGCTTAACATGGCTCTATAAAACTTTATAAATAACATGTTTTAGCAATAAAATATTAACTTAATACAAAAATTAAAATAAGATTACATTCCCATCGAGTTCAACCGCAATCTTTTGATGGGATAGTCCCATTAATTAGATTATTCACTTAGTTCTTCCAATACATTAAGTGTTTGTAGGTTATCAACATAGAAAATAACTTATATGTAAACTGAAGAGTTAAAAAAGTTAAAAACATAGGATTTTAAGTTAGATTGTTTAAAACCGACTTCCAACTTCTGGTAAGTAGATCAAAATACATTATGCTGTAGCGCCAATGAGAGGTTTGTTCAACAGTAGGCCTTTGTTTTTGACATCACCCCACTATAAGGCAGATGGAATTCTGTAGGAATTTTAACCTTTTGACTAAAAGTAAGTTACCATCAGATTGAGTACCTTTGATGTCCTTTGATGTTACAGATCTTGTTAATTCATATTAATTAAGAACGTATATATTCATGAATTCTGTAAAACATAATCTAGCTGTACAAGTGCCAGCTTCTTTCACTTTAAAATATCCTTCAAGTATTCACACTTCTTAACATTGGTTATTCACGTAGTATTAGAGTTTAAGGTTTTCCAGTTATTGTTTCAAGTCTGTACGCCAATCTTTACTATTTAACGCTCCCAGGGTATTTGATGGTATTCCGTTTGTAATACTATCGTGGGTACGGGCCTCCTTCTTTGACGTCGTTATAAACTCATCGCCTTCAAATATTACCAGAAAGCCCTCACTCATGGTCTACGTTTTGGTGCCGTCGTTAGATACGGCTATGGTCTTCCTTAAACACGTTAATTTTGTTTGTGGTCACGGATGTTAAAAAGGGTGAAACCTTTGTCTTAAAAATTTTTTTTAGCTTGCCCTTTTTCTATAATTTGGTTGTTTGTCCGTTTCACGAAATTTATTAATTCCTTCGTAATCAAGTCCACTTAAATTGTGAGATTCATCGCAATCAGAGTTAGAGTTACCTGCCCCCTTCTCATGGATTCTGATATCCTTTTGCGTAAATTCAACTTCGATAATTTTACTCTTTAAAAGCCCATTTATTGACCGATAGCAAATTTTTAAAAAATTTTACATGCATTTGGGGTGGGTCCTAATAATAAACTCTTAAACCATTGATGGTAAGTTTCTCTGGAAAGAGGATAGTGGAATATTACTCTTGTTCCAAATCTTTTGAGATCGTTCTTTTATTTTGAAACTCACTTCATAATAAACAAGCTACTAGTTAACACTGTCTACCAGAGCAGCATCCCATTAGTGTCTTTTCTTTTGTATTGCTAAACATAGAAGACATCCACTGCCCGTTAAGCTCTGACGCGAACAAACCAATTAGGACAGACCTCAAAATCTTTGGGGTTTTTTATCCCTAATCTTGTTCTCAAAGCCCACTTCGCGTGGTTCTTACAATTTAACTATAGAGCCTTAAAACTATTTAAAAAAGGAAGGTAGAAGTAGGAATTTTTATTAAATCGCTTAGCACAACGCTAGAAAGGTTTTAATTTAACAAGCATGTACGTTATTTTATAATTTCAAACTCTGCTAAACGTCTATAAGTGCTATCATTGGTTTTTATATGGTATGTCTACGCAATCTTTAAATCCAACCTTTAATTGGATTCGCATTATCCGTAATGTACCATTAGAATCAAAGTTAAACACTTACAGCTAACGCTGTAACTATTTTATAAAATTGTTATTCCTAACTTAAGCGGTAGAAAGAAGAACTCAATCCCTTATAAATTTTTTTTCAATTACTTTCATTTTTTTGACCCTTACAGTCGTTTTAACAGCAGAAAGACAGAGAGGTAAAAAATTTACTTAAGTTTTAAAGATATTGAAGCTATTTGACTACTAGAGTTAATGGCATTAACAGTGTTAAAAGTTATACTATATTTATTATATTAAAAGGTTATAAAAATGTCTACACAATAATGGTAAAAAATAGTTCGCAAAACCAAATGGCTAAAGAACGATATGCAGACGCGCTATGGGGAGTCATCCCATCCCATATAATTTCGAATAGTAAATTGATTATTATACTTCATAATAAAGCTTTTTTATAGTTTCAAATTCAAATATAAGCAATTTCAATGGGGTGAACCAGGTCTACTCCTTTTTTTTTTCAATTTATATACTAGAACTATTTATAGCAATAATTTTATAGAATTTGAATGTGCTATGAGTATGTCCTATTCACATTCCGTGCAGCACTACACAATTAAGGTTCCATGATTAGTAATGTGGCATTAACTGCTGCCCTTAACATAAGCACCTTTTAACTATCAGTCTAGCGAGTTTGTATTTTTTATTTACCAAGATGCTAAAATACAGTGACTTTTGTGAGAAGGTGTAACCGAAAGCTTAAACCTGAGTAATAGTAGCCTAGAATGTCTTCAATAGTTGCACTCTTCATCCTTTTAACGAGTATTTAAAGTATCTTGTTAGTATCATGGTAAATTTCGCGAGGGAGGTGAAAAAACTTGGTTCTTACCTGCATATGTAACATAAACTCCGAGTTCTGCCTCGGTTTAAGAGGTGGCTTTAATAAAGACCACCTCTTTCAAAGCAAACTAGGGCCTTAAGTTTCCTGGTGTGTCTAGTAAGTATTAAATCTTTAGGTAGGGACTAATGTTTAATTTCCTCTGTACAAGTGCAATTCTTTTGGAGCTATTTTGTACATGTTTGCACCCCACACACACACACACATGTTTGGAAAAACTGCTCTTTACATTGATAAAACTGGCTACATAAAACTTAATATTTGAAAGGATTCTGTTTTGCCTTGCGCTTTAATAGTAAAAAACTTATAATTCTATACGCTAAAAGAATAATAATAGCTATAATATTTATAAATAATAAAAAATAATAATTAAAAACAAGTTTTGTTAGTATCATGGTACATAAGTAAAATACTAATAACCTAATAAAGAATAATATAAGTTTTATTAATATATAATATCAGCTATGATAGCCGAAAAAGAAAAACAGCTGTAGAACGGCGTTATAGGAACAATTTTCTTGTCTTTATTATATAATTTTTAAATTCTATACTTTTTATATATTTTGATTAGATAGGCGGTGAAAATTGGGCCGCCAATTGATCAGCAAAAAATTTTGCTTTATCTCCGTCGCTCCGAGCTACGGTATTTATGTAGCGAAATGGTGGTTGGAGTATACACCGGTGAATTTTGAGTCATTTGACGAATTTCCGGAGCAGACGCGGCGGTCTTTAGATTACTTAAATAAATTTAACTGAAAATCTGAAGTAAATCTTTTAACTATTAAAAATATTAATTTCTATAAAGCTCTACAGGACACCTATCTGTTTACTTAGTTCTTTAATAAATTTAATAAGGTTTGAAATTTTAAGGGAATAATCTTTTTTTTCTAGAGTGGATCCCTTTTTCTTGAATAACATAAGCTTCAAGATGAATGAATTATTTTAGGTTACTATCATACTAAAAGTAGAATACCCACCTTAAGAAAGCTAATATCATTATAAATGATAAAAATTGGTTCAAGAATTAAAACATTTCGAGTTTAAAAGTGAAGTGAAGAAGCTTTGGAAATTTAGAGATGGTTTCGAATATAATAAAATTAATATTATAATTATGGGATTCATGAAATTGAAGCATACCAATTTTAAATGTTTTTGATAATAATAATAGCTTTATTATAACTATAACAAAAAAACTAAAAAACAATTGTGTTGAGCATTGTTCCGAGACATTGGCTAATGTTGGCACTCATAAGAACATCGATCTTTTAATAATAATAATAATAATAATAATAATAATAATAATAATAATAATAATAATAATAATAATAATAATAATAATAATAATAATAATAATAATAATAATAATGATAATGATAATAACAACAATAATAAATCACAACCTGTTCTTCTAGATGGCGTTTCGGATCGCGCTTTCCAACGTTTCTTATGTTAAGCTGTTTTTTAGATAAAACTTGTTCTTCTTCAACAGACTTAGATAATAAATGAATTAATAATCAAAAAAAAACTTAAAAAGGTAAGAATAAAATTTTAAAGAAAATTCAAAAAATCATTAATAAAAACGATAAAGTTGATATTTATTCGTTGTTGTTACTTTATTATATAATTTTGTTAAGTCGAGAATTTTCTTAAAAGCAGCTTCATTTATTTTGCTGTGATCGTCGAAGCTGAGAAGCTCGAGGCCTTCCATCCACGACTATAATAATAATAGTATTATATAATAATAATAACTAATAATAATATCAGTAATAATAAACTTTTTTATGGAGTTTTAGTAACATTTTCTGTTCTAATTCGTTTTTGCGATAGTTTATAGCAAGACTATAATAGTGGCGGTTTAGCCCGTGGATCAACGCCTATTAAGAAATTCTTATTATTATTATTATTATCTTTAGTATTATGTATACTATAATAAATGCATATAAAAAAATAAATTTAAAAAATTATTATAATTTAGAATAAAACGCAGAAACTTTTATAGTATTTTGCGAAAATAACAATAATAATCGCTATTATTGTAGTCTCCAAGTGAAAACAAAATTCATTCCAATTTAAAAAAATTTAAAATACCAAAAATTAATTAGGAATTAAAAAAAATTAGTCATAAAATATTTTTATTTTTCATTAAATTATAAAAATAATTATTTTAAGGCTTAATTATAATAACTACTATTTTTATATTTTCATTCTAAAATATACATCTTAAGAAATTTTAAATTTACAAAATAAAAAAAAATAAAACTAAAAAGTTATTAAAATAATAAAAACTAAATAATATGGATAAAAATAAAAAAAGTTTATAAAAAGAAATCATGAAAATATTTAATATTTGAAAATTTTTCTAACTCTACAGCTTTATAATTAATGACTAATAATTATTATAATAAAACAACGCTATTTTGTTGGCTGCTCCTTAAGTACCGATAATAATGAAATAAAAAAATATATAAAATTGCTTGAATGCTCGGCTTGTTTAAGTGGCCAATATTCGAAGTGGTCTGGCGCGGCTCCTGACCAGTCACGTGGCCCATCATCAGCGTTTGGGGGCTGATTAAACGAAAGGCATCAATTACTACTTTTCCTGGTAGAAAAAAAATTATATATTAGTTACTTTTAGTCAAGAAAATAAAAAATATATAAAAATTCTCTATACAATTTTTCTTACAGCGCAAACAAAAACATATTAGTTATTAAATAAGAAGAGTTGAAGTAAAGATATATTTATTAATTATAATTAAATTAATAAAAAAAAAATTATTGTAATAATAATATCAACTATGAGAATAAATCTAAAGAAAGTGAATTACAATAATTATATATAAAAAATAAGAACTTTTAAAATAATAAAAGCTACTAAAAAAATTCAGAAAGTCGCTCTATCAATAATAAAAAGTTGAGAAATAATAAATAACGTTTTTAAATTTATAATAACAAACTTTCAGTAAAATATATAATAAATAAACAAAATTTTAAAATTGTGTTTATAATAATTATTATAATTATAATAATACGATAATAATAATGAAATACTCACTAAAACTTTTAAATAAACAAAACGTTAAAAAAAACTTGTAAAAACAAAAAAATATATAAAAATAAATTTTTTTTCTATTTTTTTAAAAAAGTTAAATTCAATGTAAAATAAGAAAAACTGTTATAAGAAAAAAATAAAACTCAAGAGTAAATTTTAATGTAATATAAAAGGAAAATTTTTCTTTATAAAAATTATCATCTTTTTTGCTTAACATATTATAACTTATCATTTTTATTTATGTTAAGTAATAATAATAAATTTATTTAATTCATTATCGTAGTAAATATTATTTATACAGAAAATTTTATAATTTGTATTAGTAAAAAAAATAAAAAAATTCAAGTTTTTTATAAAAACAAATGAAAGTTTACTATATAAATTCTTTTTTAAAAACTAACAGAAGATTTTCTTATATGCAAAAGCAAAGGATAAAATTTCAAGTTTTTTAGATAAAAAAATAGAAATAATACTAAATAAAATATAAATTTCTTTAAAGAAAACGTGCGTCCAAGCTGGAAAATTTGATGCAATTAAAAATAAAATCTCACAAAACAATAATTAAGTACTGATTGACAAAAACTTAACTTTACACGGACCAATTGATGAAATAGTGTATTTATAGGAAGATATAATTAAAACTTCGAAATTTTAATTAAAAAAAGTTTTTTTTCAAATTTGTAATATATTTTTTTAATTTGTATAAACATCGAAAGTTATAAATATAATAATATAATAAAATAGTTTTAAATGAAATAAATATACAGCAAAAAAACTTATTACATATTATTTACGTTTTTATCATTATTAGTTTGGCAAAAAAATGCAGCATCATTTTTACTAATTTATTTTATTATTGTTAAAGTTAAAAATATATATAGTCCAAAAACTTTTTTTTTTTTACTTATTATTTATATATTTATACATATTAAAATTATTGTAAACACTTTTTATATTTATTTAGTTTTATGAAAAATATGCAGCAAAAAACTTTTTTAACTTAGATTATTTTTTATATATATTAAAGTTTAACACGTTCTATAGTTATTTTAGTTTATAAAGAAATATATAAAAAAAAACCTTTTTCTATCTTATTATTAATATTTATAAATATTATAGTTACTTTAAATACATATTTATTTTAATTTTATGAAAAAATATTCAGCAAAAACTTTTTTTTGTACTTATTAAAATTATAAAAATGTTTTATATATTATTTTAATAGAAATTACAAAAACTTTTTTATTTATTTTACTTAAATAAATGTTGAAAAGTAATTTTGTAAACTTTTCATATTTATTAAAGTTTTATAAAAAATGATACAGCAGAAATTTTATTTGTTTTATTAATCTCTTTTATAAAATTTTTAAAAAAATAAAATTAAATTATTATTTTATATTTTTATTTTAATAACAATTTACTATATTTATATTATTTTTATGCATTATTGGATATTTTATATTATTTTCCTTATAATCATTAAATAAAAATATAATATAAATTTTATTTATAATTATTTTTAATAAAGAAATATAAATTTTAAAAAAAATTTAAAACAGTTTATTATAAGTATTTTTATAAATATTTTTATTTATTATAGCAAACTTTATCTATTTATTTTATAAAAAGTTATTTTTGGTGCTAGTACACTTTTTTTTTGGATTTTTATGATTGAAATTTAAATATAACTTTTCTAAAGAAACTTTTCTGTAATAAAATATTATGTTAATAATATAATAAAAATTTCAAAATAATCAAGATTTTTAATTTCAAATTTTATTAATTAAAAAAAAAATTAATAAAAAAATATTCAAAAAGTTTGGAAGTACTAGAACTATTTTTTTAAAAAAGAAATCCAAAAAAAATTTATAAAGATTTTTCTTTTTCTTAATTAATTATTTAAAGTAAATTTTTTGGCTTATTAAAGTTAATTAGTTTCAATGCTTTTCATAATTCAGCTGAATTTAATTTTTATATTAGAAATTATAATAAATCCTCTAGATTATATTATTTTACTTTCTAATTTAAAGTAATTCTTGAAAAATAATCTTTTTGAGATGAACTATTATTGAAACAAAAAAGCTGTTAAAAAATAAATTTGCAGAAAACTTTAAAAATAATAGTAATCCGTAAAAATTTTTAATTGTGCAATTTAATTGCTTTAATAAAATTTAATCAAATTTTCTTGGAAATAATTAAATTATAAAAAAGTAAACCTGAAAATTCTTTGAAAAATTCGCTATAAAAAAGTTTTACAATTTATTTTTTTTATTATAAATTCAAAAAATTTATTATATCAATTCAAAAATTTAATAGAAGTATATAATTCAGTAAATCTTAAAATTCATAAATATATTATTTACTATAAAATAAGTTTTAAAATTAATTTTTTTAAGAATTATTTCACAAAATTATTATAAAATTTGAAAACTTAAGAAAGTATATAGTTAAGTAGAGCTTAAAATTTATTAATTCTATTAAGATTTGCTAGAAAAAAAGTTGCAATTTAATTTTTTTTTTAATTTCACAAATTTATTATAATTTACAATATAGAAAAAAGTATATAGTTAGGTAAATCTTAAATTTATTAATAATTTTAAGTTTTGCTATAAACAAGTTTTACTAATTAGTATTATTAAAAATTTCACAAAATTTTTAAATAAATTAAAAAATTTAAAAGTATATAATTATATAAAACTTAGAATTCAGTAATTATATTAAGATTTTCTAAGAAAAAGTTTTACAGATATATTTTTTTTAAAATTTCACAAATTTATTATAAATACTCATAATTTTAGAAATAGTATTTGATATTAGCAGTAAAAAAAGTAAAAAAAGTGAACCAAAAATAGATATATATAGTAATTTCATTATTAAATTTATGATAATTCTAAAAAAATATATTAAAATTTAATCAGAAGATCTTAGAAATAAAATTTATGTAAACTTCTAATAAAATAAACAAAAAATATAATTTATAAATTATAATAACAATTAAATTTTATTTATAAGAATTATTATAATTTGAATTTAAATCTAACTTTATTTAAAATATTTTTATAGAAAACTTAAAAAAATTAATATTTTAAACAATACTGTAGAAAAAACTTTAAATAAAGAAAGTTTTAGTTAAAGTTTATGAATTATAAAAGTGAAAATTAAAATAATTTTTGTCAATTAAAAAAAAATTTTAAATCTTGAAAAAAAAATTCGCATCTCCAAATAAAACTAATAATATGATAAAATAATAAGTTATTAAGTAATTTCAAACAATTTATTAAAATTATTAAGCACTAGAATTCTTTAAAACTAATTATATATTATAAATTATAAAATATAAATTAATAAAAAAATAAAAAAAATAAAATAACTTATTTAAGTAAAGTTTAAGAAGTTTTCTTAATTTTTATATAAAGATAAGAAATATATAAATGAAACTACTTTTAGTAATAATAATTATTTAGTATAGTATACAGCGCTTAACTAGTTATGTACTATTCATAAAATACTATTGCCTTTACTTAAATAAAAGTTTTATAGTAAAAATGATATTAATAAAGTCTAAATATTATCTTTTTTATTAATATATTACTTTCATTGTTTATTTGAGTATTATTAAAGTTTAGTATACTTCCAAGTAAAACTAATTATATATTACAAAATAAAATATAAATTAATAATTAAAAAAAAATTAAAAAGTATATTCGGCTAATATATAATAAATAAAATAATTTTTTACCACAAAGTAATTTAACAAAAGTTTTTTTAACCAATTTTTATAAAAAATTACGAACTTTTAAGTAAAACTAATTACATATTATATTATAATAAAAAATTTATAACAAATTATATATATAAATTAACTTATTATTATTAAAGTAAATTCTAAATAAATTCTTTAAAATAATCAAATATGTGAACCATAAAAAATAATTTTAAATTTTTTTAAAAAAATTCAAACTTCTAAGGAAAACTAATTATTTATTATAAACTATAAAAAATAAATTTTTAACTTCGAAAAAATTAGAAAAATATATGATAAATAATTACAAAAAATAAATTAACTTATAATTAATATAAATTTCAAACAATTTCTTAAAACTAATTAATTTTTGTTAATTATAAAAATAAATTGATAAAAAATTGAAAAATTTGTAAATAAGAAAAATAATTTTAAATTTAAAAAGAAATTAGGATCTCCAAGTAAAACTAATTATATTACAATTTATATAAAAAAATTCATAACAAATCGAAAAAAAATAAATTAATTTGTTATTATTAAAGTAAATTTTAAACAATTTTTGAATCTAATTAATTTGTAAACTATAAAAATACTCTAAACAAAATTTTAAAAAAAAAGTTTTCAAACCTCCAAATGAAGCTAATTATATACTATAACATAAATAGAGAATTTTTAAAATAATATAAATAAATTTATTATTATAAAAATAAAATCTAAACAATTTATAACAATAAATAATTTGTAAATTAAAAAATATTTTGACCTAATTTTAAAAAATTATGATTTCTTTTTATTATTAAAGTCAAATTCTTAAACAATCTATCGAAACTAATTAACTCTGTGATTAAAAAAAATTATTTTTCAGATAATTATAATTAAATTAAAATTAAACCTTTAACAGATTGAATCGGATCGACCACGACTGCAACTGCTCTGGAATTCAAAGCCTCAAAACTTTGCTGCGTATTAATGTCGACACCAGAAAGCCAACAGCCAAATCCAGGATGGGAGTGGTACCAGCCAACCACCATCTCAGATCTTTATAATTATTTTTATTCAAAATGCACAACAATTATTTATATTTAAAATTTAATGTATTAACAAAGTATAAATATAAAAAGTATAAACTAAATTCGAAGCTTATTGATAAATATAAGTAAAAAATATATATATTTTTAAAAGTTTATAAATAAATATAAACAAAAAAAATTTAATTAATTAAAAATTTATTGAAGTTTTAAAAAAATAATTTATAACAAAGTTTATTAATTAATATGAATAAATAAATATTATAATTAAAGGTTTATAAATAAATATTAATAAAAAAATTTAATTTATAAAAAATTTATAAATATGAATAAAGATAATTAAGTTTTTTTATTAAACGTAAATAAATTTTTATAAAAGATTTAAACAAATTAAATTAGTCTCGGAAATTAAATTTGTTTATTTTTTTTAATAAATAAAAAAAGTAAAGCAAATTAAATATATATTAAAATAAAGAAGAAATAAAAATAAAAATAATACTACAAAGTGTAGAAAGAAAAATATATATACAGTCAAATTAAATTCTTTTTTATCCAAAAAAAATAATTTTTAAATTATAAAATTTATTTAAAGAAATCATAAAAAAAGAATGTAGAGAAGAGTTCTTTTAATTATATAATTAAAGGATATAATAGAAAAAAAATTTATAGGATGAACCTTCCCGTAAGGCGAAGCATATCAAGCATGTTTGTTTGAAAAACGGGATCTACCGCTTCAACGCTGACACCTAAAAAGTTTTAAGAAATACACTTTAATTAAAATTTTATTTGTAATTAAGCAAATAGTTTATTATAATTAATAATTAATACAAAGTCCGGAAAAAATTAATTATAAATTAATTTATATTAAGCACATAACATTTGTTAAAATTAAAAATTAAATCAAAATTAAGCAGATAACATTTATTTGTTGAAAAGATTAAAAAATAAGGATAAGCCAATTAAGCTTATTAAAAAGGGAAATTAAAGCAAGATGAGCTAATGAAATTTATAATAATTAAAAGTTATAGAAATTATTACAATTGAAAATGATATGTAATAAAGTAAAAAATGTTAGTTATGATTGAAAATTAATTTACAATGTAGCAAATAGAATTTATTATAATTAAAAATGAAATAAAGATAAGCGAAAAGAATTATTTTAATTGAATATAAAATTGTAAATTATATTATAATTAGGCCAATATTTATAGATTACCGGTTCCGCTTTGAGGCATTGCAAAAACATCCACAACGCGAACCGTATAGTCATCAATAAATTCGCCTAGCATAAGGCCCATGACTTCCATGGGAACTCCAGCACGGCCTAGGAAAAAATTACATTAATAAAAGTTAAAAAAAAAACCAAAAAAAGAAAGTTTGTATTAACCATGTTTAAGCATTTTTAGAAGAGCCAAAGAAGAAATGTGAACCATTTCAGCAGTATCAGAAACCGGAACATCCTGAGGGGCAACTTTTTTTGTTTATTAAAAAAAAAAAAAAAAAAATGAAAAAGAGTTAATAAACAAAATATAGAAGAAACTTACTTGGTTGCTTATAAAGTTGATGAAAATTCATGTAAATAGTCTTTTAAATAAAACTAAAAACTTTAAAATAAATTATAAAAAATAGGAAAAATTTTAGTTTAAGTTTATTTTAGTTAATAACGAATGTCGGTTTCTGAAAGGAAGGACTAGGTGATGATTTAGTTATCGGTAAAACAAAATATTTATGCGCTCTAGTAAAAAACGACTAATTTACTTTTATAAAAAAATCCTAAGTAGAGATTTAATAAAACAGTTAAACAAAACTTTTAAATTTTAAATACAAATAAACAGAAAAAAAAACTGGTGTGGGTTCATGAAAAGATGCTCCTTTGTTTTTTTAAGGGTTTATAGAAGTCCTCTCACGAGCTTGAAACAGGTATTGGTTTTAAGTATTTATAAAAGGTTAGTATTATAATATATAATTTTATATATATAAAAAAAATTATACATGAGGTATATAAATTGTCTAACTTAAAAAACAGTAACAATTACATTTTTATAGTAAATTTTATTAAAAGTTATGGTTATATAAACTTTATTATTGTATATATTTATAGATCAATATTATAATATTTTGTACATAGCGGAAAACATATAGGCAATATATACAATAATACATAATTTGTTTAACTATATTAGGTTATTATAAAAAATTATATTTAAAGCTATTTCTCTGGTGCTTTATTTCCGACAAATATAAGTTGAAGCAAAATTATGGAACACCTTTTACGAGCATAAGTATTCACTGCATTAAAAATTTAAAGAAAATTATATATTAACGTTTTATAAAAACGAAAATAAAAGCGATACACATGATATATTTAAAGTGGGCATCTATAAAACAGTTCCAATTAGATTTTATAGTATATTTTGTATAAAGTTACGGTTACTTGAAGCTTTAGCCCCAACAAATATTAGAAGTATAATTTTTACTTTTATAAAAGTATCAATTTTAATTGGTTATAAGACTATTTATTAATACTTTTTAATTTTTATCATATGAAAATAGTAATAATTGTTTTACGAGCTAAAAATTATTATAATTATTGTTTTTAAGTATAAAAATAGTTTTATAATTTAGAATTTGCTTTATTAGAAGAAAAAATGAAGAGATGATTAACTTAAGACAGAAGAGTCATCAACTTTATTAAGCTATTTATTCGTCTAGAGCATTAACCCCCGATAAAAGATGAAGCCAACATAAAAAAAAGTTTTAAAAGATACTGTTTACTGATTATAGAATTCTTTCTTATATCGTTTGTTTTATTTATTTGTATTAAAGTTATTTTTTTATTTAGTAAATCGTTAGAAGATGAGAATTATTAGTTATTTAAAAAGACATTATATAATATTTCTATTTGCGCTGTTGTCGGCATTTATATTTTACAATTCTTACTTTCTTTATTTTAATTTACATGAATTTATATGTCCGGAAAGACTTGGAGTTAAAAAAAGGTAAAGAGGCAATGAACTTAATATTTTCTCTTTTAATATATTCAACTTAGAGAAAAGATAGAAATAAATTTAAATTGTATACATATTAAATCTCAGCATTGTTCATTTATTATTTAAAACCTTAATGACAATTTCTTAATAATTAGTTAAGTTAACCTACACTCATTTACCATATATATATATATATTTAACTGTTACCAACTTTGTGGCTTTTAAGAAATAAATTTATCTTTAACTATCACTAACTATTGAAGTAAAATTTTAAATTACAGATACCTTTGCTATTATTCTGAACAAGCTTTTTACTATTCTTATTACAAAAAGTTTATGAAAGCTTCCAATCTTTCAATGCTTTATAAATTCATAACTAAGGATGTTCAGGTTGAGCATCCTGCTACAATTAACCCTTTTCATAGGTAAACGTGGATTATTTTAAAACTGTATAGTTCTCTGTTTTAATTTTAATTTTTTATAACTTAATAATTTTTCAGATTTAATCTTCTCCCCGAAGTTTTAGCTACGCTTACAAATAAATATATAATTCAAAATTTTTTTTCTTTGGGTTTAATATTTTCTTAATTTTCTTTTCAGTAATTTAATTCTTTACCTCTAAAGGATTATCAGAAGAATCTTTTAATTTGCAATTTTTTTTGAATATTGTTTTCTGTTGTTTTGGTCTTCTTATGGTTTCTATATTTACTGTTTCTTCTGTTGCTACGAAATCACTAGCAGGTTAGTTGATTTTTTTTAAAATTAAATATAAAAATTAGTTTGTAGTAACAAAAATTTATATTTTTTTTTTCGCCTTTTGGATTATTTTAATAGAAAATAAATTAATTTTATCTCATGTAAAGTAAAAAATTAAATTAATTAAAGGTAAATTAAAAAATTATATCTTTCTAGTTTTTTTTAAATTTATTTAATTATTTTATTTGAAACTGTACATATTATTTATTACGTATATTAATTTTTAATTAAAATTAATAAATAAAAGTTTCAATAATTAGAATTTATATAATTTTTAATTAAACTTATAAGAAAATAACATTGCAAATGCGTTATTTATATATTATAATCTATTTAGGCTTCTTAATTATTGGCATTTTTACTTTTTATAATTTTATATTAACAATTATAACATTTTTAATTTTTTTTAAATAATTATAATTTTCATGTGTATTATATAATTATATTACTATTTTGTGATTATTTTATAAATAATATTAACCTTAAAAATTAATAAAAATTTATATATATATTTTTTTCAACTACGTTAAATTTTGTAAAGTTAAATAAAATAAAAAAAAGTATATCGTTTCAGCCCAATTGTAAATATTATGGTAATCGTAATAGTTTTTATATTATATTAAGTTATCAACTAAAATTTTTACTAATTTAATTCATATTAATTAAATTTTTTTTTAATTGCTATAATATGTACAATTAATTTTTTTATTAGTACTAAAATTTAGTTTTACTTTTTAATTTTTTAATTACTACTTTTTTTTTTTTTAAGTTTTTAATTTTGATTAAATTCAATTTTAAATTTTAATTTTATACTCGACTTTTTACTTTTAATCGTGTTTGATCTTTTATAAAATTTTTAGATTATAATTAATTTTAAATTATTTCCTTTTTTTAACTGATAAGGAGAAATAAAAGCCCCCGTGACTTTTGCTACTTTCATTATTATTATATATGTTAAGTGCAGAATTCTTTTTAAGAGGTTTAATTTTGAAAATTTTAGTACTTTTTTTTTAATTTTTTAAAATTAATTAAAATTAATTTTAATTTCAACTTTTTACTGCATCAGGAGAACTAGCAGCCTCGTGTCTTTTGCTACTTATTATTTTTTCTGAGCGCCGCATAATTATTATTTTTAAAAATAATTCCAAAGATTTTTATTTTATCTAAATTTTCTTAACTTTTATTATTTTAAAAAGTTTTAAAATTTAATTTCTTAATCGACTTTGTACTTTTAATTTTTTTTCCATTTTAAAATAATTTTTGTTTTAATTTATTTTTTTATTTTTTTTTTTAAATTGTTTTTTTTTAAACTGCATAAAGTATAGTAGCCTCGTAAATTTGCTACTTTTACTTTGTTATTAATCTTGAGCGCAAAATTTTACTTTTTTATAAAATTATTTTTAGGCAATACTGAATTAATATATGTTTTCGGACTTTTATTAAATCTAATTTTTAAATCAATTTTATAATTTTAATTGATTTTGATTTTAGTTAAGTTTATGGTTTAAATAATTTTATAATGAATGTTATTTATAACTGCATTAGAAGAAATAACAGTCTGGTGATTTTGCTACTTTTACTTTTATTATTTATCCTGAAGGCATATTTCTTCTATTTGAAAGATTTATTTTTTAGAGATAAATAAATTTTCTTTAATTTCCAACTTTTATAAAATCTAATTTTTAAATCAACTTTTAATTTATTTGTTTTTTAAATTTTATTTAAATTTTTATTTATGGATTTATTGTAATTTAAGTTACTATTTTTCTATAACTGCAACAGGGGGAATAGTAGCCGCGTGGCTTTGCTATTTTCACTTTTATTATTTATCTCGAGCGCAGAATCATCCTTTTCTTAGAGAAAACTTTGCAATGCCATTTCTTTATTTCCAAACTGCTCTACTTTGCTATATTTTACGCCAAAAAATATTGAGACTAACAAATTTTGGTACTGAAATTATTAAATTCTACAATAATTTTTTATTATGTGATAAAGAGATACAGAAATATAAAAAATATATAAATGAAAAATATTATAATGGGTAATATAAATAAATAATATATATATGAGTATTAGAAGCAAAAAAATATATTTATAATGATAATAACATAATTATAATAATAATTATTATTTTATAATAATATATACAATAAATTATTTCTTCATATTATTATTAGAAATATAATATAAAATTATATAATAATAACAAATAAAGGATTAATATATTTTATTTAAAATAATAGAATAATAATATTAGTAGTATTAATAATAGAATACGCCAAAAAGTTTAAAGTTATGCAAATTTTACTACTGAACTTTAAAGAATTCTACAATAATTTCTCAATTTTATTAAAAAAATTTTATAATTTATAGTTTTTTTTAAATATAAAAAATTATTTATAATGAAATTTATAAAATTAAAAAATTTATTTAATATTATTTTTTTTACGGAAAATAAAAATTATTATTTATAATAATTATAAAATTAAAACGTTTAGTTCTTTAAAATTTATTTAATTTGTTTTCTTTAGGGAAAAGGAAAATTATTATTTATAATATACTTTTAAAAATTTTATTCAATTTTTTTACTTTATGAATAGAAAATTCTAATATTAATATTAATTCTTATAAGTTCAGAAGTTTTCTATATAAGAATTTTTAATTTTACTTTTATTCATACAATATTATTTTTTATTTTTTTACCAATAATACTTATTATTAATAATAATAACTTTGTTATCTCTAAATTTAACTATTTTTTATTTCCTACATTCTAAAAATTTTTTAAATTATTTTTTAATTTTATGTACAAATTTTTTTTTAAGACTATTTACTATTTACTATTATGTTTTTTCTATAAAATTTTATTAAAACTTTTTATTAATAACTATAATACTATTATTTAATATTAAATTTTACGTTAATATAAATTTTTACTTTTTACAATTATTTCCTACGGATAATTATTAAAAGAAATTTATTTATTAATTATAAAATTAGATAATTCTAAATTACTTTTATTTTTTATTATTCATTTTTTTTTACTTATCATTACCATATTATCATTATTACTCTATTTCTAAGTAAAATAAAATTGTATTAATATTTCTAATATATATATTATTCTTATAAACTTTACTTGCTCATAATAACAGTAATAATTTTTTTAAAATTAATAAACGATAACTTTGAAACGCTTTACTTATAAATAATTAAGTCTGATAAACGTACAATAACAATAATAATTATAATAATAAATATTATATATTCTTATTTATAAAACTTTCTGGTCGTAATAATATAATAATAATCTTAAAAAATATAATAAAATTTATTATATATGGAAAACCTTTTTTTCATTTTATAATTATTATTTAAATATTATAAAAAAAAGTATTTATTGAACTTTTTTTTTAAAATCTCATTTTAGTATATTGTTAACTAAAATATATTATTTCATTTAATTTTTTAAATTTTAGAAAATTTTTATAGCAAATACTTAAAAGATATTAAAAAATAACCTTTTTTACTATAAACTATCTATAATAATTTTTTATATCTGTAGAAAAAGATATATCTATATCCTTTTTGTAAAAATTATTATTAAATACTTATTAATAACTCTAATAAAAAAATTATGTTATTTTTTTTATCTATAAAGTTTTTCTTTTTTTCCTCCAAACCACGTGGCTTCTTTTATGGCAGTTTTCACAGTTTCCTTCTTTCCTTCAAGTGATGTCTTTGCTTGTAGCTTATTTGCTCGGGTATTCATTATTTTTCTACTATTATAACTCTTAATTTTCTTAACTTTTTAATAAATTATTATTATTTATTAGAATTTTTTCTTTTTTTTTTTTTATATATTTATTACTATTCTTTTATTTTTTATTTTCTATTTACTATTTATTCAGTTTTATCTTTATTTTTTATTATTTTTATAACTTTTATTAAAATTTTATTTATTTAAATAATTTTTTTAGGGTATTCATTATTTTTCTAAGTAATATTTTTCTATATATTTAACTTTTATAATAAATACTTTATTATTATATTTTTAATATGACTTTGTGTTATTATAATATTTACTACAAAAATATTTTTATATTCTTTTCTTTAATAAATGCTTATTATTTTATATTTTTTAACTAGTTTATTATAACTTTTTTATCTTTTCTAAGTTTTATCTTTATTTTTTTAAAAAGTTTTAAAAATTTTCTTAATAATTGAGTTTTTATTATACTTTTGCGTAATAATTTTATATTATTTATTATGCTTTTACTAATTAATACTTTTATCTTTTTATTCACCTAAATTTGTATACTTTCCTTTATTATAACGAATTTTTTTTAACTTCTTAAAAGTTTCATAATTTTTCAATTTTTTTTTTAAATTTTACTTTTTTTCCATATTTCATTATTAATTTATTATTTTAAAAGTTTTTGTAGCTTATTATTATTATTTCGTTCATTATTGTATTTATTTTTATAAATTGCTTTATCATTACAATAATTTTTTTTACTTGTTACAAATTTTTATTAACAATTTTATATTATTTTCTATATTTTCGTTATTTATTATTATATTGAAAGTTTTTATAACTACTTAAAATTTTCTTTCATGTTTATTATTATTAATATACTTTTAAGCATTTTTTTACTTCTTGTACTTATATTATAGATTATGAATATTTATATATTTATTATAATACTTTTATATTTTCTAATATAATAAAGTTTACTTTCATTATAATTTTACAAAAACTTTTTGAAAGTTAATTTTTTTTTTTAACTCGTATTATTTATTTTTTTACATTTTATGAAAAGTTTTGTATATTGTTCTTTACATCATAAATTTTTTATATTTATTTATTATACTTTTTATATCATGTTAATGATTTCAACTTTTTATTATACTATTTATAAAGTTTATTTATATATAAACTTTTTTTAACTTGTATTATTTGTATTTATACTTTTTTATATAAAGTTTGTTGAATAAATTTTTTTGAAAAATAAATAAATATATTTGGCATAGAGAAAAACTAGAAGAAAAATAAAAAGTTTAATAAAAACAGTAATAATTATATTATATGTATAAAAAAACTACTTTTTCTATTTAACATTTAAGATAAATATATATTATATATTATTTTTGTAAATGCTTTTATATTTATTTTTTTTAACTTTTCTTATATTATATAAAAATTATTTATTACCCATTATGTAAAATATATTAAAATATATTTATTAATACTTTTTATATATACTTTTTTTCTACTTTTCTTATGTAATAAAAATGTTTGTTTTTCTGTTTATTATTTAAAATTTATTATTAAAGTTTCATACATTTATATATATTTTTTAACTTTTCTTTTAATATATAGAAGTTTACTTTTCTTAGAATTATTATATTAATATTGTTTATATATTTATATACTATATTTTTATTAATACTTTATATATAAAGTTTTTTATTAACTTTATTATTTGTTTTTCTATTTATTATATATACTTTATTACTAAGTTTGTATATTTTTATTATTTTTTTTAACTTCTTCTGTTATTATATAAAAGTTTATAACTTTTTTTATTATATACAATTTTTTATTATATTATTTTTTTTAAGGTACACGCCTTCCCGCCTGCTACGAAAAGTTTTACTTGTGTATATGCTTTCGGTCATTTGCGCTTCTCTTATAATGTTTGGGTGAATTTCTTTATTGTAGATATAAAATTTTATTTTTTTTTTATATTATTTTTTATATAAATAAATATATTTTTTGTAATAAAACAAATTTTCTACATTTTTATTGTAGTTTCTATACTTTTTTATTTCTTTTTGCGAATAGTTAAACATTTTTGTTATGATTTGTTGGAAAGAGCTTTTGATAAATTGTTACTATTAAATTTTAGTTTATATATATAAATAATAATATATTAATAACTTTTTTATATCAGGGCTTTAACAAAAAAATATTTATTTATATTTATTATTTTTCTTATTAATTATTCTATAATTTTTATAATAATGATATTTCTTTTGAATGTTTACTTAATCATTATATATTTTGAAACAAAAAGTTGTATATTTAAGAATTATCTCGAGAAGGTCCCGAACCCAAACAGGAATTTATGAGCTTCGATTAGTTAGTTTTTGAGTCTATCATGGAAGCAGCTTGGGGTCACGTAGTCCCTCGTGTCCAGCTTTACACAGATATTTCTACTATTCTGTAGAATGGAAAATTTTTTACAAGTTTTCGTTTCTATTTAATTTTATATCATAAAAAAAGTCGATATACCTTAACTTTTAGTTTCTAATATTTTATATTATATTATTTTTTATTATTTTTTATTAAAAAACTAAATTATTTAGTAATTTTATTTTTAGTTTCTAAAGTTCATATATTGTGGTTTTTCTATATTATTTACTTTTTATAATATTTTTAATCTTTTTTTTAATAGTTTATTAAAATAAGTAAAGTTTTCTAATTTATTTTAAAATATAAATTTCCTTTGTAAAAGCTTTTCTACACCATAAAAGATTCTTTATTTATATTTAAAAAAATTTTTCTCTTTGATTTGTTTCTTCTGAAATTATAATTTTTTAATGGGTTATTCATTATTTTTTTTCACCAATAGAAATGTTTTTAAATATATATAGCAAATGTACTTTGGTATTTATTAAATTGTTAAAGAAATTTTTCCACCGATAAACTGGTTTTAATATCTTCCATTTTTTTAAGTAAATTACTTCACCAATAAAATTGTATTGTTTATTTTTTATAAAAATTTATTATATTACTAATAGGAAAGAAAAAAAAATAAATATTTTCCTATATTATTATTTTATCAGTCTGGAAAAACTTTTTTTGTCAAATTTTATAAGTAGAAACTTATTTATATATAAAAATATTTTAATTGTTAAGATGATTATATAAATTTTACAAAATTAAAGGAAAAATAAGAATTAAAAAAAAATAGAACTATTTACTTTTACATATACTTTACTTATAAATAATACTTCTATATATTTTTATACGTTAATAATAATAAACTTTACAATAATCATAAAATAAAAAGAAAAAAAAGAGAAAATATAAAATAAAACTATATATTATAATTACTATTATTTATTAAACTTTTTTATGGTTTATTTACATTCTTATAGCAATTTTTTTTTTAATTTTTTAGCAAAAGTATTATTATATATAATAATTTAAGTTATATTTATAAAGTAAAAAAAATTTTCTTTATAAGTAGAATTATATATCTATATTTTATTTTTTTATTTTTTTTATTTTTAATATTATATTATTTTACTTTATGTAACTTTATTTTAAATATGTTTTTTAATTGAACTTCATAGCAGAAAAAATACATTGTTTTTACTTTTTACTTTTAGTATAATAGTTATTATATATATATATTTAATATAAATATTAAGAACATCGATTATTACGTATATTTAGTATAGATTATTTATATCTGTTTCATTTATTATTTTTTATGTAATTATTACTTAGAAATATTTTTTTTAAAGTGTTCTAAAACTTGATATTATTTTTTATTTTATTATTATTGAAAATCTCTTATTATTCTCTTTATATGTATTTATTATAAATATTTATACTCTCTTTTTTTTATTATTATTATTTCTATTACAGTTTTATTTATTTATTATAAATATTTATCTTATATTTATTTTCTTATTATTTTAGTTTTATTTCTTGTTATTCTCATATTTATTATTATTTATTATATATATATATTACTATCAAAAAAACCCTTTTCTTAAAAAAAGTTTTTTGCTTTAATTTATTTATTGTTATTATAATATTGTAATATTTTTTATCTACATTTATTTTATATTATAATAATTTTTTTCTTGTTATTGTTTTCTTTATTATTTTTTCATTTATCTTTAGTATAAATATTTATATTTTAATATTTTTATTATCTTTATTTCTTGTTATTTTATAATTTATTATTTATTATTTTATTAAGTTATTTTCCTTTACTTTATTTATTAATATTTAGAATCTTCTGATATTCTTATTTACATATTTATTATTTTATTTTCTTATTATAGTCTTTATTTCTAATTACTATTCAATTTTTTAACTTGATATTATTTTGATATAAATAATTTATAATAGTCTTCTTTTATTTTCTTATGATTATTATTTTTTTATTTATTATCTATTTTCTTATATTATTTAAAATTTACTAATATTTCTTTTTTTATATATTTATAGTAAATATTTATATTATAATATTTTATTATTTCTTGTTGTTCTTTTATTTATTGTATATTATTATGAAAACTTCTTTTTTTAACAAAAATTTATTTTTTACTTTATTTTATTTATTATTATTATTTTTTAAAATTCTTTAATATTCTTGTTCATACAATTATAATAAATATCTTTTTTTTGTTATTTTATTTATTATATATTATTATTAATAAAAAAAACTTCATTTCCTTAAATAAAAAAAGGGGTTATTTGCTTTATTTATTTATTATTATTATTTTTTATAGAAACGAAATGCTTTTCAACTCAATTCTTCTTCATTCGTTGCTTGTCTGCTTTGCTATAACTTTTTTGTTTGAGAATCTTCAAGCAGTTTTCTATAATAAGACTGGTGCTCTCCATAGTTTTTCTTATTTATTATGTATAAAAGTTTTTTGTATTATAACTTTATTTATATTTTGTATACTGCATATTATAGAAAGTTTATTTTTATTAAATATTATCATTTTCATATTTTTATTATTTAAAGACTATTTTTATGTTTTTTATATATATTATGGAAAGTTTATTACTAGCAAAACTTGTTGTTTAAAAGGTTTTATTATTATTAACATTATTACTCATAACTTTGTTCATTACAAAAAGTTTATTACTAACAACTTTTTTTATACGTTTAAGTTTTTATTTTATAAAAATTATTATTACTATTATTTATTAACTTTATTTATATATTTTTATATTAATAAAAAAAAAATTTATAGAAGTTTTTTATTATTTACTAATTTTATTACTCAAAACTTTTATTTATTTTTTATTTAAATATAATTAAAGTTTATTACTAAAAAAAAAACTTTTTTTTAATAAGTTTTTTCTATATAGAAATAATATTACTACTATTTATTAACTTTATTTTTTTTTAAATATTGAAAAATTTATTTTTATTAAACTTTTTTTTATTTTTAATAGTTTTTTATTATGTATTAATATTCTTAATATTCATAAATTTTATTTACTATTATTTTATTTCTTTATTTATATGTTATGAAAAGCTTATTGCTAACTAAACTTTTTTTTCTTTGTTTTTTATTTTACTTATATATTTTATTATTAATAATAAATTTTTATATTTATTTAACTCTTTTTATTTATATATTTCTAAAGTATTTTTTACTTGTACATTTTTTATAATATTTTTTTTTTATTTATTTTAATAGTAGGTTATTTTATAACTTTTTTTATATTTATTTATTTTTAAATTTATTATTTATAAAGAACTGTTCTTAACATTTTTTATATTTTTTTGAAGTATTTTTACTTATTAATATTTTTATTTTATATGATATTTATATTTATTTATATTCAGTTATTTATATAATTTTTCAAAATTTATTTTATTACTTAAAAAAAAATGCATGCAACAATTTTTTTTTTTAAATTTTCATATTTATTTATCTTTTACTTATTTATATTTTTCTTTTTATAAATTTTTATATTTATTTAACTTAAAGTACTTTATTATTTATAAAAAAAACTGTTTTTAACATTTCTTATAACTTTATTTATTATAAAAGTCTTTTTTACTTAATAATAGTTTCCTTCAAAAGAATTATCATATTATTAAAGTATTTTGTTTATTTATAAAAACTTTTGATATTGTTTATTATAATTTTTCAATATTTAAATTGATATATAAAAATATTTTTCACTTGTATTTTTTAAAACTTCATCATTATTGTTTATACATAAAGTTTTTTTCTTTAGATATTCATAACTTTTTTATTATTGTTTTCATTATTTTTAAGTAAATGAGCTTTTTTTAAGGATTTCTTTATTTTTTTATCAATATTGGATTCTCCGCACTCACTTTTTTGGCGGCCATTCTGTTGAGTTTTGGTAATTTTTTTTATTATTCTTTTAGCACAATAATCCTTCTGATTGGTTTATAGCATTCATAGTTTTTTAAAATTTATATTTTTTCATTTATTTGCATGAATTAAGCATCATGCCTCCTTTTTTGGCTTATTATTCGGGATCTTTATTTATAATTGCTTATTAGTTTCTGTAAAAACTGTATTAACTATGCGCGGGAAATGCCTTTTTATCTACGTGCTCTATTTTATGTAATTTTATTGGTTAAAGTAATTATATTAATGCTAATTTAATAATTCTATTTTTCTATATAAACGTAACTTTTTTCTTATTCTCTGTTAATATTTCTACACCCCGTTAGAAGGAGTACATAAAAGTTTTTATATCAACTTCTGTAGTGAATGAAGCAGAGGGCCTGGCGCTGATTGGCCACAGTGTTTTTTAAAGAAGTGTTTTCACACACGCGCTATCGAACCTCTTGACTGGTTAATCACAGATACCATTTCCACGTGAGAAACGCAACATTTAATGCCCAATGTAAATTTGTTAAACAACATCGCGTTTCATAAAGACTAGCCTACGTGGACAGACCATTTTCAGGTCCACGTGCCATTTAAACCAGTCAATTAGCTCATGGCTCTCTATAGAGTAAAGAAAAAAAGTGAATGATGGCCTTCTGGCTGTTTTTAGCTTTCTTTTTGTTTTCATTATATTTCCAAATTCTACACGTACTTTTTTTAAGGATCCAAATACTTTTTTACGAATTACGCACTACCAAAATTCGGTTTCCATTGGTCATCCGATGCTCATATTGCCGCTATATTTTATCATAAATTTAAGCGATTGATCAATTACTTTCCTTTTTTCCTACGCTCTTTATGTTGGCGTTTCCTTAAAAAATTTGAAAAAGGTTTTTTCTTAATTAACTTTTTTTTTATTAATAATTTATATATATATATATATATATGTAAGATATTAACCACTTTGACTCTTCGCTTTACGACTGCGGAGGCCAATACCAATTTCTACCTTTGTAGTGTTGATAATTCTGCTTTTCATAATTATTTTTTTAAAGTTTTCCTTATAATTCTTGCATTACACTCTTGAAGTTTCGATTAGTTTAACTTAAAATTTATTTATCATGTATGATTCGTTTATAGAATTATTTTTCATTATTTAGATTTATATATATTTTTATTTATTCATTAAATAGTGTTTTTCTTATAATCCGTGTAAATTATAAGCCCTGAAAATTATGACTATTACATTTTTCATTATTTATTTATAATTTTAAAATCTTATTTTTTTTTCAAGTTTTTCTTAAAATTCATGTATTATACGCCTTAAAGGTTCGACTATTTCATTTTTTTTATTTATTTATTACTTTAAATATATATATATATACTTAAAGTGAATATTTAATCACTATTCTTGTATCATTCGATTTAGCATTCTCTCCTTACTTTTTTAATGAAGTTTTAAATAACAATTCATTTATTATATGCATGAAAATTTGCGACTTTATTACTAATATTTACTTTTTATATAAATTTACTTTTTAACTTTCAATAATTATAACAAATACATTTATTAAAACTTTATTTTTTTTTTGTTATAAAATTTATATAACTTTAAGTTTGTTACTGCAGTTTTATACTAAATGAGATGAAAAGCACGTGGTTGCTCTATTTAAGCGTTCTGGGATTGGTGCTATCGCTCATTAAAATATTCTGGGATTGGTGGTTTCTTTTTTCTAACAAGAAGAGAGCACCGTTACAAGCACATAAAAAGTTTGCATGTTTTTTTTGTTGGGCATTTATTTGGTTAATTACCTTTAATGTTTTAGAGTCTTCGATCCGGCGCTTCCGTTTCTTGTGTCGCAAAGTGCCGCCTTCATAATGTTGGGGCTGTTTATTATGCGCATGCTTCCATTTTTTACGCCAAGCCTCGCTTTTTTGGCGGGTTATTTGTTTACTCACCACGTGGACTTTCTTCTTCCCTTCGCGCTGCATAAGCACAGTTTTTTAAAGGAAAAGCGTATAACCTGTACGATTTGTTTTGGAAACAACACTGACCAATTACGTGAACGTAAAAAGGAGAGAAACACCAATAAAAATACAGATACGCTGGCTCGTCAGCGCAGACCTAATAAATTTAGAAACATTTTGTTAACCAATAAAAACGAGCTACAACTAAAGCGTCCTAATTTGAGCTCCTTTATTGGTTCTTTATCACCTTCCGCAAATTATTATAAATTTGCTTGAATTTTATTTAATTTCTTTAATAAAATTTCTAACACGTGCCAGTTTTTTCCTATGTTTTTTTTCCAATAGACAAGCTTCCCGCCTTATTCTTTATTTTATTGGTAATTGGGATATTTGTTGTATTGAAGCGTGCTTATAAAGTTCTTTATGTGATTAAACTGAGCAACCACAAGTACTTTTAAACTCAGAATTTTTTTTTTCACTATAATTATATTATTTTTTTCAGCCAACGGCATTTTAGTACCGATGATGAAATGCTCCAATTAATGAAGTGGATCAACGTTAATGCAGACCATCGATTGGACTCTATAACAGTTCTTTTCACTATAAATAATTATTTTTATATCATATTTTAAAAATAGATTTTTTATGTATACAAGAAGAATTTTTTCTTGTTCATTTATATTAATTTTATAAATATGTGAATAGTATTATTCAGTATACATTATTATTAATGTTTTAATAAAAAAAGTGATTATTGCGTTTAATTATATTATCTCTTATATAACAGTAAAATTTGTTGAGTTAATCTATTAAACAAAAAAGTACAAAGCACTACAAAACGCGTCTTTTAAAAAACTCTAGGCACCAAAAAGGGTACCAAATTTTAGTGGGTTTTTATACCTAACGGTAGCAAAGAACTGAAAGGGAAACCAAATAATTTTATTAATGCGGAGTAAAAAGTTTATACATTTAAGTGTGCTGGAATTTTAAAGTTAAAAGACGCCAAAATAATGTGTACTATCTTGAAATGGTGACCAAATTTTGTTAGATGCGCCAGAATAATATTATCATTACAATTAAATATCACGTATGCGTGGAGAAAGAAATGAATAGTCGAAGTATGCACGGTAAACACAAATTTTACTGTTTTTATAAAATTTTCAGCGCGATATAAATTAAAAATTTTAAAAAATATATTAAAAAAAACTTGAAGTCTTCGAAAACTTAAAAAAAAAATCTAAATACATCATAAAAACATAGAATATTGAAGTTTTTAAAAAATATTATGAATTATTTCAATAAATTTAAAATAATGATATACTAAAATATATAATATTTGCTTGTTACTAGTAAATGCTACTAATAATATAGTGTTTTCTATAATATTTACTGTACATTCTAAAAACTCGTGCTTTAAATGTTCCGGAACATTCTTAAGTTTAATGTTATTGTTATTATAAAGTTTGGCTTTTGATCATTTATTTATTGTGTTGGTATACTAAAACCTTTAAAAGTATCGCTTAATTACTTATCATTAACTGAAATAATTAATTATAAAAGTGAAATAATAAATAAAAAGTATAATTAATTAAATTTTTAATAGTTGAAAAAAATACAAAAATAATAGAATCGTAAATTTTTTAGTAATCAATAGTAAAAAAAATATATAAAAAAATTATTAAACTAAAAATAAGTAAACAGTTAATAATTAGTTAAAAAAATATAAAAATATATAAACAGTTTAATAATTAATAGTATAAAAAATATATTAAAATAATGAAAAGTAAAACAGTTTATTATAAAATAAAATAAAATAAGAAAATATAAAAACATTTTAATAATAGCATTTAAAATACTACATAATATATAAAACTGATAAAAAGTAAAACAATTAAAAAATAAATTATAAATAAATAAAATATATATACAATTTAATAATTTATAAAAAATACTATAAAAATTATAAAATTAATATAAAAGAAAAAATAATGAAAATATATAAAAAGTATATATCAAAATAAAAAATTTCTTAATTATAGCATTAAAAGTAATACAAACATATAAAACTATTAGAAAAGTAAAACAAAAAATAAAATAATAAAAAGTTTTATACTAATTTTCATAGAAAATAATATAAATTTAATAATAATAATAAAAAATTAATGGTAATATAAAAAAATTAAAATAATAAATAATAAAGTGTATTAAAAGTTGATTAAATACATAAACATTTCAATCATTATTATAATAATTAGGCAATTTTTTTTACTAATTAAAAAGATTTAATTCATAGAATAATGGATTTTCTTAACTACTCGGGTGCAAGAAAAACTTGATTCTGTATAAAATTAAAGCCAATGTCCTATTAAAAGAGTTTTTACAAGGAGTTTAAATTATTAAAAAAGTAAATTAAGGTTGCATCTTGCAAAGATATAAGTGAAGTGTGATTGTGTAGAAAATTTTAGTATAGTTTTCATATAATATTTAGCTTATTTTAAAAAGCTGTCTTTTTTTAACAAGTGAAAGTAAATAAAAAAATTAATTGAAAAAATCACAAGTTGTAAAGAATATATTGCAAATGTATATGAAATTTAGTCAAAGTTTTTATTAGGGTTAGGGTTAGGGTTAGGTTAAGGTAAGATTATTATATAATCTGTTTTTTTTATGTCACATGGAAACTAAGAAAATCTTTTTTTAACAAGTGATATATAAAAATTAGAAAAAAAAATTCAAAAATGTAAGGAAATTTATTGAAATTGGATATAAAATTTATTCAAATTTATTAGAAAGATAGTTAGTATTAAAGTTTTACCTGTTTGACCTGCTTTAAAAGCAACTTTAAAAATTTAATTTAAATTATTTTATTTATTTAATTAATTTTTCATATAAATTCTTTTTAAAATCTTCAAGACTTCTTTTTACGAGTTCTTCATAGTCAGTATACATAAGTTATAAAAACTTGTACATCATTTTGCACTTTTGAAAAATAAAAAAAAACAATTTTAAATTTACATTCAATTTTAGTTTTATTTTCAATAGAGTTATGTTTACTTTTTGATTGCCAAAAAAAAAAATTTAAATATAACTTAAAGGCAAATCTTGTTGCATCCTCGCAAATTTTACTTCATACAAAAGTTAAAATAACTATTCATCCTCACGCGGAAAGTAGTGGTAATAGTTTTAATCTTTTTGAAAATTATTAAATTTATTATTTCAGAATTATTTATATTATATAAAATTCGTTTTATTATTATCTTGGATTATAAAAATTCTAAGCTTGAATGGTCTTGTAGTTAAGCAATTTTACTGAAATTTTTATTAAATAAAAGTCGTTTTAAGGATTTTAGTTTTTTTTTACTAAACATATTTATGCTTTCGTAGTGCAATTATTTAAAACTTTTAAGAGAATTCAAAAAACTTACCAGATTTGGACCTTTACATGTTTACAAGTTTACAGAAAATTCAAATATTTTGTAAAATTATTTTCCTCGCAAATTTTATTTTATGTAAAGAAATCAATTGTTTAGATTATTAACTTTATAAATTTCTAAATAAATTTTGTTTTTTAATTTTTTTAGAGAAAATTTTTGTTAATAACTTTATTTTCTGTTTATAATTTTTTTAGTTATTGTTTAATAAAATTTATAGTAATATGTCTAAATTGCATATGATATGAAATAAATTTTTTTTTAATTACTTAAAAATATTGTTTATTACATCTCCTATTTCTATGAAATTTTGTTTAAGTTTTTTAAACGCGTGCCTGCCATAAAAATTATCAACCAAATAAACTTTTTTATTAATGACTTTTTAATTCTGTTTCTGACTTTTATATATATTTTAATTCAAATCTTAATTATTTGAATTTCGGGCTCGCTATAAAAATTATAAAGCATTAAGTATGATCTAAAATATTTTTGTGTTGAATACTTTTTTTATTCAATTTAAATTTTATTTAAAAATTAAAATCGCAAACTTGCTATTTAAATTATTACGCATTTAAGTATTAATTTCCTATTTTTTGATAAATTTTTTCTAAATCTTTTTAGTAAATTAAATTTTAAATTTATCGCTATGGAAATTTTTATGCAACTAGATATATTTTTTAAAATCTTATTTTAATTGCTGTTAATTACTTACTTTATGAAATCTGAATTTTGTATATAAATTTTTAGAAATGCGTGCTCGCTACAGAAATTATTATGCGATTTACGCTAAAGTTTCTGACTACACAGTTTATAAAGAGATTAAAAAATTGAACACAACGTATTTAGTAATTTCAAACTGCAATGCGCACTGCACTTCAACTACGTAAATTTTTATATATCTTTTAAAAATTTAAAAAAAGATTTTTTTCATTGTAATAATTTTTTTTATTTCTTTTTAAAAATTTATTTTTTTAGTAAATTTTTTTTATCTGTTAGATTTATTTATAGATTTATTATTTTCTATTTAACTTCATTTCCATTTATTATTATATTTTAAATTTGTTTAAGAACTTTATCGGATGTAGTTAAGTTTAGCGATCTAAAAAAGAAATGGTCTGAAAATTTGAAGCCTTTTTGCTTGCGAGTATTAGAGGGAAGCTGGGATTCTGCCTTTTTTAAATATTCTTGGGCCTCTTCAAAATTTTCATATGTTGTATTGAAAATTGTGTAACTTCTACTGTTAACTTAAAAGCCTTAAGGTAATAAAGATTGCGTTTTTTGTTCGTCTATTCTGTTTAAAATTTTTTTATAGATCTATTAAAAAATTTGAAAGAAAAATAATTTTTTTTATTGCACAAAACTGAATTACTATAACTTCTGTCATAAAGCAGAAAACTGGTTTAGCGGAATTTTTTAAAACCAATATTTACAATAAAAAAAGGAGAATTTTAACTGAAATAACTAAATTTTTAGTAAAAAACTTTTAACAGGGGTATAAGTTTAGGAGTAGTTTTGGGTATGAAGCAAATCTGCAGAAATGAAGCCTTGAGAGTATTTTGGTAAAATTAATTATCAGGCTAAAAAAAAATTAAACAGACGAGAGCTCCCTTTAGACTTCTACCAAGTTTAAAGAAAATTTATTACAAACGTTTTAATTTTAAAATTAATTTTAAACTTTTATGATTTGTTACGTAATCAACATGGATGCTTCCATTACATTTTCGCATTGATCAACTATTTTTTTCATTTACATTGTGCGGACTAACTTAGCTTGTTACCTTATTTTACTTTGTTTGCTAGGAAAAATGGTAATTAAGAAGTTTACTTATAAAATTAAATCTTTATAATCAGAGTTCACCGAAGATGAAAATAATATTTAGAAAAAATAATAGTTGAAATAAAAATGATAGTAAAAGTAATGTTATTCCGCTACTTCATTCTCACTAAACAATTGAACTATTTTTAATTATAAAAAACAGAAAGGTATAAAAGTAGTGATAGAGAAATCTAATAAGCCTACACTTTTCTAACTTAATAGAATGAGTATGGCTGCCCCTATATTTAAAGTAGATAGAATAGGCAGTATAAGAAGAATCACGTTTAAAGTAGAAAACAAAAAATTACAAAAAAAAAAATTAAAATTTCACATTTTATTTTTATAAAAAATTGGCTAAATAAAGGTGCACTTTCATTTAAGTTTTTAAATTAACTTGTTGACTAGAATTTTAGCTGGAAAGCAAAGTCTAATTTCGAAAAGTAATTAGTGTCAAGCTCAAAAATTCTTGAGCAAATTTTTAAAGGAAAACGTTGGTCTAGTTTTATTTTAAAATATATATACTACCCATTTTAATATTTAAAGAATGATTTAAGAATATATATATAAACCTTGACCCCAATTTTTTGCATAAAATTCTATAAAAAAAAAGTTAGTATTTCCAATTGTCAAAGTACGACTAGTTTTTGTGAATTTTGCATATATTTATAAATATAAAGTAATCTATATAATGAAATAAATTTTTTATGACATAATAAGTATGCGTTTTACTCTAAACTGTGAACTTTTTTGTCCCATTCTAATAATTTAAACATTTACCTGAATTATTTTACAAATGTAATTAATGAAGAAGCTACGAAATCCAAATTTAACTATTTGCTTAATGTGTGCCTCTAATTTTAGATCGTTTAAATAATAATATTGTAAAATTGCAAAGTTTCTAGTATACTTACTAACAAGCGGAGCTTTGGAAGACAATACCTGTATCCCACCAAGTAAAAAATTTTAAATACTTTATTTTTATAATTTGACAGTGCTAAAATAATACTTACTTACAGTGAAATGGCTCAGAATTTTTTTGAATTAAAAAAGTTTTTTTTGTGGCCGCTTTTGTAAAAGATTAATTTTTAATATTTTTTAGCCTGTATTTCCTTTCTGTCAGAACCTTGAATTTTCGAATATATTTTACTAAAGATTCTTATTTTTTAATATTATAAGGGTTTAACTAACTGCATTGTATCAAAATTTACCTAAACAATTGATAAAAAAAAGTCGAAAAAGAAAGGTACTGATAAAGGTAAAACTCTAAGTTTTTATTAATATTGAAACCTGATCATTATTTAAAAAGTAAACAAACTGAATGTCATAAAATTCTTCTTTTTTTTTTTTAAAACTACGCTGCTCTTAATAAATACACAATCCTTTTTTTAAAACACTCCTCGCTGAGTATCTTCTTTGGTATTTAATAAAAAATTAAAAATTTACATAAGTGCAGAAAGTTCAAAGAAATGATTATTACCTGTGCATATCTATGATAGCATTAACAATAGCTGATCTTTAGTTGCATGGTCTTGTTGTTTAGTCATATAAGCTTCGATAATTATTACTTTCTGATAAATAGGATGGTTAGCTCTTACTTTGTTTAGCTCTCTATATATTTTGTATAGCAGTATTATAAACATACTAGCTACTTGGAAAACTACACACGCCAAGTATACTAGAAAAATAGTAAACGTAAACTTTTATTTTGAGGCAAATATAATATTGAAAACCACGAGCTTTCGTGGGTTATGACAGTTATAAAAAAATTAATAATAAAAATTAAGAGTAGATAAATTAAAAGTAGGGTACCGGGCGTTTATAAATATATACTATTTAATAAAGTATTAAAGACCTTGAGAAACGCTACTCAAATTTAGCTTATTAAAAAAACCTTAAATCAATTGTTGCTAGAAGGCAAGTAGCACTTGTATAGTACGCCAAACAAAGCTTGGCGTTAAGGTTATAGTTACATTTCTTGTAACCTTCATCCTCAGAAAGATACTGAAGCGCACTTACTCTTTTTAAAACCTTTTAGTTAAGTGTAACTGGAGATTTAAAAAGCTTTAAGCACTGTAATAAAGTAAACTATTGTTAAATGTATACCATATTTATTGTTAGAAAAATATAAAAAAAAACTGTTAAGAATCACGATAAAAAATTGTTCAAAGGAGCAACTTTTTCTTTATTAACTACTAAACTCTAATAATAGTTTACAGTGTTGCCAAGAAAGGCCAAAGTGAAAGATTTGTTAGAGCTTAATTTTTTTGTTTTTTAAGCCTAAACAACGAAGAATCTCTGAAGTATACGGTTTCAAAATTTTACTTCTCCCTGGTTTAAAGGTCTTTTTTTTGTTTGTAAAAATCACTCTTTCGCAACAAATAGAACATGATAAAAAAAGGTTTGGTTATTTCCACTTTCAGTTCACAAAACGCAATATATGGTTATCGGCTAATCTTTTTTTATTTATTTAATCCAGAATAAATATATTAAAAATGAACTGAGGTTCTTTTTCTGTCTTTTTTTTTATGTTAACCACTAGATGAAAATTAATCTTTAGTTAGTTTAATCTTAAAAATAAAGTTAAAATCAGTGGTTATTGCTGGTCACCACCTCCCTGATCCAGGATTATTTAATTTGCGGACCTGCTGCCCATCGTAGAAATGTGGTCATTTCTTAGGCTCTTTCCTCTCCAGAATCGGACCCAAATTCCCCGTCACCCGTTGTCACCCTAGTACCATTTTTAAAGCTAATTGATACGGCAAGTGAGTTGTTACGCACTCCTTAGCCAATTCCGATTCCATGGCACTCTCCTGCTGTCTTACCCAATTAACACCTTTTGTGGTTTCTCGTGAGCGTATATTTGGTCACTTTAACTTCACGTTCGTCTCATCTCCTACGACCAGTTCTGCTTACCAAAAATGGCCCACTTGAAACTGTTAGCATCCTGATTGCTTTGTTTGTTTGTTATTTTTCCCAATTCCTTTCTCCGCCTTTACTTAATAAAGTGGTGAATCACCTAGTTAGAGTATGAGAATAGGTTGAGAGCGCCTAGGCTCCCAAAGATTAACTTTAAAAGGGAAGGGTCTCCCCCATCTCCAAGGTGTCCTCTAATCATTCACTTTACTTGATAAAACTGTCTTTACGAATTTCCCGCCATCTTAAGGGAACTTCGAAGAATACCAGCTAGAAGGTGGTTCCATTAGTTTTTCGCCTGTATGACCAACTTCAAAGAAAATAATTTGCATGTCAAAATCACTACGAGCTCCCACTTGAGTTTCCTCTGGCTTTACCCTATTTAGGCATAGTTCACTATCTTTCGGGTCCTAGCGGATACACTCTAACTTAAATCCTGCAGCTAGAAAGGAGAGTAAAAAGAAAGTCTCTTCCCCTTTCTTATTCTGATCTGTCGAAGATGCAGGGAAGGATGGGATGTGGGGAATTAATTCCCTTCTCATTTTCGTCTCCCACCCTATACCTTCCACATTCTCACCTTTTGTAGTTTATCTTTAATAAAATAAAGATAAAAAAAAATCACTTTCATTGGGCCCTTGGGTACGCCAGTCAGAACCTCGCGCATACGTTAGATTCCTTGTTCCATGTTTAAGACGCGTCAGTTGAAAAAAAGGCTCTTCCTGCCAACAGTCCAAGCGGCTTATGCCCTTCTCCCCACCCTATACGATATCATCTATCTTCCAATATTAGCATATTGACACCTCGATAGAGGTAGTCCGCAATGTGGGACGCATGCTGTGTTCCTTTAAAATTTTTTCGTTTCCCATTCCCTTACTCCGTCGAAGATGAAGCTATGCGCACATATTAAATCGCTGGTGGCTCTTTTAGTATATAAAACCAACTTAAAAAGAGACTAGTAGGAATACTAAGCTTACATTAAAACAGTGATAAAATAGAAATAACTAAAGAGGTTAAAACAAAATTGCTGGAGGTCCTATTAGTATATAAAACTTAAATAGAGGCTATTAGGAATACTAATTCCACATTAAAACAGTGATAAAATAGAAAGTATAACAAAAATAAGAGGAGGAAAAAAAGACCCATATATTTCTTTTTTTATCGCTGGCACACTTCAGTGGATCTCATGAAGGCCTTCTACGAATAATCTGCAGATCCCACTTCTGTAGGCCTAGAGAGCACACCAATGGGCGCCCCGATATATTAAAGGTAGGGCTTCGATTCTTATGACTAAGTCCAGTGTTAAGGCCTTGATTGCTGAAGATTATATGTACATAGTTGAGGCTATGATCACTTAAATTTCTAAGTTTTTCTCTTTAAAAATGCGTAAACTTGTGAAAAATTAAAAATAAATAAACTGACATGTATTACGAATGAAAAGAGCGGAGTAAAGATACCAGAAACACTGTTTACAATTGGATGTGCTATAAACTTCACGAGACCACTCTTAAATTAAAAAACATTAAAATTCTTAGAAAATTTGTTATGAATATGTTGTGCAGTATTATTGCGAAAAGTTAAAGGAAGTTGATAAAAGTTATGTAAATATAGTGGTTTATAAGTTGCAAATATTCGTCGCTTAAGTAAGCTAGTAAATTTTATTCGGTTATTTAAATACTTTCTTATAACTAACCATGTTGTTTTAAAGGCATAACATTTACTTTATATAAATATTTGATTATATCGTGGTACGTTCACCCTCCCCGTTACTCTTATTATAAGGCGATCGACAAACTCACAATTCTAAATTAATGAAGAACTTATTTTTTAACCATGACATTAGCTTTAAAAAATGTTTCTGACCTTTTTGTTGTTGAAAAACTGTTAAATGCACTTGAGTAAATTTTTTTTTTTAAATAGAGATGGTTTCTTCTTTTTTTTTGTCTGTCTCTAGCTGGAATTTTTTTAAAATTGACGTCCAGCAAAAGCTATTAATAGGCGAAGCTGATGTTGTAGCAAAAACCCAAAGAATTTTATACCTTATATAATAAAGATTATAATTTTTTAATAAATTTGAATGACGTTTGTTTTTTGCTTAACAGTGCTCTTAAGATCGGATACAGCCTTAAATAAACAAAACAAATTGGGCCGTTTTTGTTATTTATAAGTATTATAATGTATGCATACAATACATGGCTTGTTTAACAAAATCGAAAATTTATAAATTCATACAGTAGTCGAGTCTTTCTAACATTTTAAAAAATACCTAATACATATAATTAAATAACTTCAACAACAGTCAGCCTGCCATATATTTCCGGTTAAACAATATTTAATTAGGTTGGAAGAGAGAAAAACTTGTTAGGTCTATCTATTGCCTAAAATACTAATCAATATTAGTAAAAGTAAATTTACGTAAATATAGTCAGTTGGCATATTTAGTAAAGCAGGTACTTACAAAATTTTAGCTTGTCAGGATGTTTCCTTCCTAGAGAAAAATTACGGTATTAAACAATTATTATTACCTAAAAACCTCAATTATCTCTTTTGCAACTTTATAATTTATATACATATAAAATATGGTAATTAAAGCGTAGGTCGGTTTATCAAATTAAACAAACTTTTAATCTTCCCTTCCATAACAATGTTAAATAAAATAAGTGACTTTTCAAAACATATAGTATTAAAGACCTTTAAAAATATGGGATTATATGCAATTTAACTATTAAGCCTAACATAGCGATAGAAAAATACACGTGCTTCCAGTAGTATAAGAAAAAAAGAGAATTAAGCATTTAACAAGTTTAATATTAATATTACATAAACCCATTTAATAAATTATCCGTTTTAGAGTTTAAAAGATCTATCGAATTATTCGGGGAAACTCTATTAATAGAATGCGAATTTTGTATCTTAAAAGAAGAAGAATAGTTAGAATTTTGTTGTTGCGAGTAACTCCACTGATTTGGATAATTCTGCAACTGAGAAGAAAGCTCAAAGTGAGTTTGCTGCAATTGTAAAGGAGACGAGGCAAAACTTTGCTGTTGGGAATTAAGCATATACTCTTCAGGTCGCCGGCCCAAAAGTTGATTCATAGCAGAAGGCTGACGTTGCATTGGCATTGAGGATTGGGACGATTGCAATAATTGAGGCGTTTGTGTAGTTTCATAAGTGGTTGGAACTCCGGATTCGTTCTTATAAGATAAATAAGGTTGATTATTATATTGGTTATACCCCCCTATCTGTATATACGTTGAGCTTGTAGAAATGGGCTTTATTGACTGAAATGAGGTGTTCTGACTTATAGAAGGATTCTCATGGCCGTCCTCTCCATCTTGAGGGGGGTTTTGGTTTATAAAATCTTTTTGTATAGGTGTATCAGTTTTACCAAACGAATATTTAGCCTGACAAGGAGCATCATTAGAATGCTCAGGCCGTTGAAAAGAATACTGGTGAAAAACTAAAGGTTGAGGAGAGTGCCGATTTGGAGTAACATTGGTTTTATCATAGTTCTGTAAATTCTGAGTGCGTTGAGAAAATTGAGGTTGGCGTGGATATAAGGGGGCTTGAGGTCGTTCATCATTTGTTAAAAAGCGAGGTTGCAGTGCCGATTGGTATTGATTAACAAGTGTCGACTGGTAAGGTAAAGAATAGCCCTGTTGAATTGGGGTATTTTGATTAAGCTTAGAAGCATTTATTAGATAAGGAGCTTGATTAATGGGTTGAGATTGGCGCCCAGAATTTAAATTGCAATAAGTAGGTGGTTGAAGATATATTTGTCCTGCGAGGGGGAGAGGAAGAAAATGGTCTTGTCTTTGCGAAAAATATGCATCGTTCAACGCTTTATCATGATCTTTAATATTTTTGTCAGCAGGAACTAAACTATTTACTTTTGCGGGGTTAATTGGAACTTTATAACCAATTCCAGGAAGAAGAAAAGTCCCCCCTTCCAAAGCTTTAGATTTCTTAAGCTTTCTGTTGTTGATGTAGTCCCCCTCCTTAGTAAAATGGTACAAAGAGTCGGGATTAATGCTCCAATAAACGGTAACTTTATTACCAGGGCTAAGTTTTTTTGACTTTAAAAAACATTTGTTTAAAGAAAGGTTATGCCTGATACAGTTCTTCCAACTGCTCGACCCACAGTTTCTATAATATGGAAAATTGTTGGATATCCACTCATAAATACCAGACAGCGTTTGAAACTTATAAGGAGATGACACAATGCTTTTAGCTATAAGAGATGCATAACTGTGAGGGGGGCGTCGCTGCTTATGACTCAAAGCAAGTGGACTGCAGATTTCATCTTCTTTTTGGCCTAAATTATTATAGGAGCCCTGTGGGTAAACTTCATTAGAACCTTTACTTGCGCTTTCAATAATACCGGCATTGGGAGAGAGACTAATATCATTTAATCCAATACTTTTGCGAACGGTACCATCTCCTTGGGTAGCATTAGGTAAACGATCTCTGAGTCTACCAGATTCACGGAGCTTCATGGAAACCCTGGGTTGTAAGCTTTGTTGATTGTACAACACGTTATCATTATAAGTATTTGGTATTTCCGAAACGTTAACGGAAGAAGTAAGCTCGTCATTCTTGTAAGTAGAAGAGAAGTGCCCATTAGTTTTTTTTCTGCGGGTATGCTTTTTTGAAGGCATTAAATAATCAGTGTGCGCGGTTATAGTCATAGCGCCTCCAGCTTCGCCCTTTAACGCGGCCTGTCGAGATAACACAAAACCTCAAATGAAACAGAGGAAAATAAACCGAAAGCGTTCTTTAAATAAGGCGCTCCTTAGTATTTTTAAAAAAAAAATTTAAAAGATGCGACTTTAACTTACAATAAAATTGATTCGTTAAAAAAAACCAAAAATGCAAAAATTAAACCAATAGTATTATCAACGAATACCAAAAATTAATGCTTGCTCTAATAATAAATATGATTAGTTGTTATTGTATTTTTGCACGTGAAAAAAAAACTGATTATTGAAAAAAGCAGTTCATTAAGCACATGTATATATACATTTACGCATCGTAGAGTTTCTAAGTTGATAGTTTTGTGACTGCTAACGGGAATAATATGTAAAAAAGGATTTTTTAATTATAGTAATTAATGAAATTTAAATATGACTAATAATTTTTTTGATTGCTGAGCTCGCAATTTATTTCCCTTCATTAACATTATTAGGACACGTGGTACAAACGTTTAAAAGCAAATTTAATTAAAAGAAAACTGCGTTAGCTATAGTCAAGTTCGAACATTACGCGATATCAGTTAAAAAATAATATAAGTCGTTATAGTTATGTTAGAAATACTTATAAATATTGAAAAAATTAAGTTATTTTTTATTTTACCCGTCATGCTTTTACTAATTAATTTTTTTAATACGAAAACAAGTATTATAATAATACACAAATATACTATGTATCTCAAAAAAACTAGCAAACTAATCTATTTAGGATTTACCTGTTAGCTACTTATAGTATGCATCTGAAAATATGCCAATGTCTTATCTTTTTTTTTTTAACAGTGAAATGTTATAAGTTTTCTTTATGAAAAACGATTACATATAAGGCGTTTAACTAGAAAACTAAAATAGATTATAAATATGATATAACTGAGCACTAACTTTAACGAAAATTTAGTAGAGTTTGGTTTTTTTGCTTTATTTCTGAAACTATATAAATTGAAGCATAATAGAAGGAATTAAAATGTTTTTTATGTAACTTGCATAATTTTAACTGAAAATATTGATATAAAAAGAAGTGTAAATTTTTAAAACCATAGGTTATCACATCTAACATATATAAAATAATTTTTAGTAATTGTGTACGTAAAATGCATAATGCATTTTTAATTTATAAATTTCGCGTTACTAAAAATACCACCATGAGGGTCTTTGTTAACAAACTTTTTGTGTTATCTCATATACAATTCGTTAAACAAGACGCATATATGCTTTAATAGCTCAGTAAAAGTAATGTATAATTTTTTTTAGTAACATTACCGAAAATTTTAAATTAATTAAAGAGTATGTATTTTTTTAGCATGCCTAACTAGAACTTTCTACATAAGTTAACTTACCTATTGCTAACAACGTCTTTTTACTGTAGTCAACTTTAGTTAAGGGAATAGAATACTTTAACAAATTCTCTACCTTCCGAGCTAGCCCTGTGTCTGGCACGTTGATACCTGACTATCACCTCTCTCTTTCTTCCTATCTTTGAATTTGATATAGCTAAAAATATGTAGATGTTAAAAATTCCCAATTTCAATATAAGAAATCACAATTAAAATTTTAGATATTTCAAAAAAGTATATATATGATTTGAAATTGTGTTTAAGGCTAAAGACGATGCGTGGAGTACTCAAATATTATAGCTTTTAGCACAAAAAATCAGATGAAATTTATAATTCATCAAAGGCATATGACACCCACATTTAGTGTTAAATTTAAATCTAAGTTTTTAAAAATCGCTAACGTAATGAATATAATAATTAAAATTTGTTAACCTGTTTTTATAATTATTTTTAACTTTCAGAGATGGACAAATTATATTTTTAACTTTTTCGTTTTATATTAAAAACAATATTGCTGATAAATAACTAACAAGTAAATATGTTAAAACTTTAAAACTCGTTTATGGCTAGGTTGTAGTGAACTTAAATTACATGTAAGCAGTCGCTTGGGAATAATTCGTTGCTTACAAGGTAATCTTTGTAATTACATAATACTGCTTTGAGTTATTTTTAAAAAATTAGGCTTAAAATGTTTATTAACAGACTTATTATTTTTTTAAACCATTAGGTTTTAAGCTTAGCACCTTTATTATTATTTTGACTTTCATTGATGTATGCCTTAGCCTAGAATTCTGACCCTTTTACGGGTGCATGCACCACATCCCTCTTTTAAAAACCGCTTTCCCAGCAAACTATTAATTTGTAATGGTATGCTTTTAAGGTAAAGGTGTTGATCTCATATATCATTTTAGTACTTTTTAGTTGTGAATATATTTAGCAGCTTTAATGTAGTAACTTATTTAATTAAGTTTCCATTCTCATATAAGGAATCTCTAAAATCAATAACTATAGTACATTCTTTTTGATCTCTATTTACTATCTTTTTCGTCGAATTCTGAGTACTTTGGACTGACATTTAATAAAAGTAATGGGTTAGCCTTACAAAAGGCTTATATTGAGGAGTAGAAATATGTTTTTTCAAATTTTTATTTCTTGGTTTTCGGATTTTTAGGGGCTCAGCTATATTCGAGTAGTACAAAGACTTCGGTGCTATAAAACAAATTTTGAGAAAAATTGCCCTATTCACTTTACTAAATTCATTTTCCTGCCTATTATTACCTTCCTCGCGAATTCTATATTTATTGCCTTAATTAAGTCAACTAATTTTTTTCAGTTTTTTACAGGCTAGTAAACTTTAATTTCAAAAGTGGCTTGTTGTAACCAGATCGGTTGAGGTAAAGATATAAAAAAAAACTAATCAAGAGATAGCAATAATTTGAAACCATATATTCTCTTTTCTAGATGGATTTTTACAAAAAAGATGAGTATAATGGATTCATCGTAATTAAAAATAGTTTTCCCAGACGAAAGAATTGAAAGTGAAGAGTAAGCTTACTTGAAAACTTTTTTTTATTTTAAATAATGATAAAGAAATAAATGAAAGTATTCAAAGTTTAATTTGTTGAAAATAATTTTCGTCTCCTGGAGAGCTGCGTAGTAATTCAATAATTTCTGTAGTGGATTTGCTAAAAAGAATTTTAAGAATATTTTTTGGTTGAGTTTATAAATTATAATTCATATTACGTTATAAACAAAACAAGTTGATTTATTAATACTTTTTATAAAAATTTTTTTGTATAATTCAATTTTTTTTTTCTTTACTTTGTATAAATTATTTTATTAATAATTAAGGTATACAATTAATGTCTACTGAAAGTTATCAGTGGTTCTGTTATTATTTTTAAATGGTGTTAGCATTTATAATATGTTATTGTTATTATTGTTACTGTATATATTATCCTCGTAAACGACCATGCGGTCATATCCTGTTAAATCAAACGGACAACTGAGAAAATTTTTAAATTCGTATAAAAAGTGAGTAGTATGAGATCCTGTTAATAAAAGAAATTGCTTAGATAACTACAAATTTTTTTACCAAATATTATTTATGGAAAAAAAAAATTCTACCTAGAAAAGAATATAATTCTTGGACAAATTCTTTTGAATCTAGGCCCACTTTTTCGGTCATAGTTAAAATAAGTTCAGTTAAAAAATCTACATTGTCAATTTTTAAGATTGCCTTTAGTTCTCTCTCTAACCATGGTCTTATAATTTGAAAGGTATATTTATATTTTTTAAAAGTTCTAGGCCCTTGAAAAAAAAAAGTTTATGAGACATTTTTACTTTTGTAAAAGAAAAAACCACCAAATTGCTGAAATTTAGAGTGACTGCTCGGGTGAATAAATTTTGACCATAAATTTAGTTCATATATAAGAGCTCTTTTAATTAGCTTCTGTTTTTGCCTTATTTCTGCTTGAGTAAAAGAGCGTATAAGCGCTTCTGGCTGTTCAGCAGAGATTGTGAGTTCTTGGCTAGAACTAGCAGTAGGTTCAAAAGAGAACTTTGTATATATTTAGTAGAAATATAAGTATTTTGCTAAATAAAAAATTTGACTATTATAAAAAAAATTTAAAAACCTTTTTATATATATATTTGTCTATGACATCATAGATTATAAATTTCAAGTCAGACTTGCACAAAGGACAACTACGAGAAAAATTAGACCAAGTTAATATACAAGAAGTACAAAAGCAGTGAAAGCAGAAGCCTACGAAAGCCATTTTTCTAATATCAATAAACTCTTCTAAACATATTGAACATTGTAAACACATTAATTTAAGTTATTCAAGCATCAGCTCCTCGAATATATTTATGAGATGACAGGGTTAGCAGAATAGTGCCCTTAACCGCGGATGCATTGGTATATTTCTTAATAACCTATATATGAATTACTTCAACGAACTAAAAGGATAATATATAGGAACTATTATACCTATGAAATGTAATGGTAAAAAATTAGACGGTAATTATAATAGTTGCACTTGTTAAAAAATTAACTTTTTAATTGCGCTATGTAGATGCTCAAAGGCTCAAAATGTATTATTATAAGTTTGAGCTTAAATTTAGGACCAGTACCTATACTTCCTATCTAAAAATTTAAATCGTTAGAGATTTGTTATAATTTTCAATAAAATTAACTTAAAACTTAAGATATAATTTTATTTATAAATAAAATTCATTTTTAAACTTGGCTAATAAATTACGAACGAAAGGAGTTTAAAAAGTCAAGAAGTACGAAGATATTAAAAAAAAATTCTATATAGTGTTATTTATCAATAACGTTTTAGAAAACAGTTATTTATTTATTAATTTATCATGTTTAAAAAGGGATTATACTACTACTATTACTCGAGCTTATACTAAAAGATTAGTATCAGTAACTGATTTGTCTAGAGATGTGCACGCGTTAAAATGCTTAAATAAGTTAAGCTTTGGTATTAAGTAAAGAGTTTATCAGTACTTTCTTTGCTCAGTTTTGCAAATTTTACGTTAAACTTTTTAATTTGTATGATTTACAATGAGAAAAGGTTTTGTTGCATTAAAAATATTATAAGAATAGTTGAATTGTTATATTGGGAGTTTATAAACTTTTTTTATCTTTTATTTAATCAGTGGTTCTCACAATTTTGTTTCTGGTTTGCTCCCCTCTTATCAGAAAGGGTTGAGTTTTTTTACTAACGTCAATAAGTAAACTGTTATATATGATTTTAGAGTTGCTTCCTATATAAATAGAACAAATATTTTATGAATTATCCAATTGGTTTCTGTTGTGCTTAAAGGTTTTTAATCATATATATTTTTGTTAAGAAAATAATTATTAGTAGCAGTAATTATTTTAATTAGAACTTGAATTTTTTACAACTTGAAAATTAAGAAACTTATATACTACCAGTTTCAGGTATTTCTCGCCCGTCGCCTGCCTTGCTTACTTGTATAAAAAACATTAGGTTGCTTTTGACTGCTTGAATTTCTTTTAATATGTAATAAATATCTTTAATCTATGTAATAAATGGGATTGTAAGTATTTTTATCCGACGTTTTTCTTTAGAGATTCTACTGCTAATTAGGGGTGCGCAGTTATATTAGGTTACAACAAAACTTGTCGGCTCTCCAGTTTAGCTTCAATGATAAATAAATTTATTATAAAAATTACGTCAGAGTTCAAGCGCGAATTCTAGAGGGTGCCAGCGTTATTTAATTGCAAGTCTTTCTAGCTTTTAGGTGATAATAAATTTTTTTAACTTTTTTATTGCAAATTGTTATTATAAGTGGCAATCGCTATTTATTTCTTATAGAATTACTTGACTTAAAGGTGTAACTCGTATCTTATTTGTTAAATTATAGCATTTTTCTATTTTTATACTTCGTTTTAATTACTTAAATTGAAAAGTAAATAAATTAAAGATACAAAATTTATTTGAAATTAGCCTTCAGCCTTTTTTTGTTTCCTATTAAAATTTTCTATAAACAAAGCTCACAAATAAATTCGAATATTAGAACTTATAACAGGAAACCTTTTAAACAAAAATTGAAATTCTATTCATATTCTACCGCTCTATCACTATTATATTTTCAGATAGTCTCTTAAAAAACCGCAGGTTCACTCTTATGAGCTATTTTATACTTCCACACCTTTTTCCCCTTGCTGGCTGTAATGACGTATTTATACATTCTCCCCTTCCCTTCCCTGCCGCCAGCCCTTCTTTACCGTACAGCTGCCTCTGACGCTAATTTTTTTTTATTATTATATAAAAAAAAGTTTCGGCTTGCTTATTTTTTTTTTGTTATTAATAACTTTTATTCACGCTCGAACCCTCGTTGAGGCTTAATCATACAATCTGGTGGCCTATAGCCTGATATTTTTATTTGCATAAAAAAAAAGACACTATTATCTTTTTTTTTTTACACTCATCTTAATTTATATATTGTTAACTCGGTGAATTAGAACTTAGATAGCGCAAATTTCTCATCTCTTTGCGGTTACAATGAAAACGTGTAGCCTTTTGTCCTTGAATGATCCTTATGTTTTTAGACCGATTGAAAATTGTATAGACAGCAAGGAGACAGGCAAAGATATTCATGAATCTACTAATTTTACAAACCATAATTATTGTATTGGTGTTATAAATAGAGATAAAAATAATTCTGTTGTAAGGGGGTCACCTATGAGAGATATGACGTACGAAACCGCTTTTTTTGATGACGTAGATTGCCATTTCAATAGTTGTGGCAGTGCCGTCAATTCCGTTTACTATAACAATGAATTAAAAAATCACGAAGTTAATTTTTTGGAAGATGCAAAAAAAATTAATTGTAGTTCTAATTCTACTTTTCAAAGTGATGTTTCTGGTTTTAATATTCTCGTAAATGGGAAATTGAATAAACATCAAAATCTGCTTTTTAATAATTCTTTAGCTCAAGACTTATCTAAAATTAACACTGTGGTGTCTGATGGTTTAGATGTTAATAAAGAAGATACCCCATTAGAAATTATTTCTGGAGTAGATTATTCGGAGAAAAATGGCACCCTTTTTTTTACCAGTACCAAACGTAATATATATTTAGTTGAAAAAATAAAGCAAGAGAAAGCGATGATTTGCTTTTGTAACAATGATCCGGGTAATTTTTTAATTTTTATTTATAGAAATGATAGCCTTTAATTAATTTAGAACTTCTCTTAGAACTTTGTTTTTTTAATACTAAAATCATTTTTTTTCCACCCAGATGATGAAGAGAGCGGTATGTGCGGAAGCAATTGCATAAACAGAATGATGTTTATAGAATGCAATCCTCGTTACTGCCCTTGTGGGCTTACCTGTACTAATCAGCAGCTTCAAAGAGTTGCGGATCTTTACTTTTTCAATATTATTATAAAATTTCTTTAAGTAAAGTTTTATCTTAAGAGTGAAGAAGCTGAAGATCTCGCGGAAGTCTTTCAGACTAAATTAAAAGGAAAAGGTCTACGTGCAAAAGTTGATCTTGATAGGTACGTCTTTGTTCTTTTTTAATTACAAAGTTATAGTTCATATACCTATTTTTTTGTATTGTATTTTTTTTTAAAAAAAATTGATTTCTTTTTTTTTCCTATTGTTTTGTTAGGGGACAATTAGTTTATGAATATGTCGGTGAAGTAATTGATTATAATATGTTTCAAGAACGATTAGAACATTATAATAATATTGGATTGCAGCATTACTACTTTATGTCTCTTTGCAGTGATCAGGTTAAAATTAGAAAAATACAAGTAAAAATAACTTCATAATAAGTTTAAAATTTCAATTTTTTTTGTTTTAAGTATTTTAAAAAATAAATAAATCTTAATATAAGAAAAAAAAAGTTTGAAATTTTTTGTTTAAAATTTAAAAATAAAAAAAATAATGTTTAAAACAAAAAATTTTAAGTAAAAGTAAAAAAGGATGTAAGTTTAAATTTTTCTTAATAAAATTAGATAAATATAAATGAGATTAATTTTAAAGTTAAAAATAAATTTTTATTAAAAAAAGAAAAAATTTATAAATTAAAAAGAAATACAATCAAATTTAATTTAAATTTAAATTTAAATTTAATAATAACTTTATCAACTTTTACTACCAATTAGATTAAATATTGTTTTTAGAAATTCTTTCATGTTTTTATATTAATACTTAAAAAAATTTGCAAAATTAATTTTTTTTTGTATTTTCTAAAAATTAATTTTATCATATTACTAAAGATGATTGACGCTACGCGTAAAGGTAATTTCTCACGCTATCTAAATCATAGCTGCTCTCCTAATTGCGAAACGCAAAAGTGGCTTGTGAATGGTGATTTATTTTTTTAAAATAAAATAAAAAATTAATTTAAATTTATTAATTATAATTAATATTTTAGGCGAAACTCGAATCGGATTGTTTACTATTCGACCCGTAAAGGCTTTAGAAGAGTTGACTTTTGATTATAAATTTGAGCGTTACGGGTCAATTTTTTTTTAATTTTTTTATTTGAATATTTTTAATTTCTAATATTATTGTTGTACTTCTATAAACTTTAAAATTTTAATTTATAATTAATTATGATTTAAATTTTTTGTGGAATCCTTAATCTTTTCAATATATAAAAGTTTATTTAAGTTTTAAATTTATTGTAAAGATAAATTTAAGCTTTTTTTAGTTATTATTATATTATATTTGTAAACTCCAAAATTTTTATTTATATAGAATTTTGTTATTTTTAATTATTTATAGCATGGGATTTTATTTATGATTTAAATTTTTTTATTGGGTGTTTTAATTTTGTTATACAAAAAAGAGTTTCTATAAGTTTTTAGTTTATAATAATAAGATGTAAATTTATATTCTTAGTTAACCCAATCATTTAGTATATTTTTTTATAATTAATCTTTAATCTTAATTGTAATTTTTAGTGATGTCCTTTTGAAGATTTAATTATTTTTATTTTGAAATTTTGTAATCATTTTTTTAGATATCAACTTTAAAATTTTTTATAAGCTGGATTAGAAATTTAGTATGCCAAAAACAAATTAACTTAACATTTTTTTGTGAAGCCGTGCAGAAAGATTTTGAGAAGTGTTAAACGATATTTTAATTTATACTTTAATTTTTTTTTCATATTATTTTATTAGACATCTTTATATTATAATTCCTTTTTATTTTTATTATAATTCTTAAAAGATTTAAGTATTTTAGAGTTTTCTATTTTTAATATAGTTTACTACTATTTTGCTTAAATTATTTTACTTACATATTATTTGTATTAATATTAAAATTTTTTTGATTATAGAAGTTTTATTAATTATACATTTTTAAACTTTTTCGAATAATTTTTATTTTTTTAAAAAAATTCTCATAATTTTTTTTAATTTTTTTAGTGATAGCGTGCAAAAGTGTTACTGCGATTCCACTAATTGCCGAGGCACGTTATCCGGAAGCGCCAGAATTTCGAGTAGCTTTTGTTTAATAATGATTTATTATTATTATTATTATTATACTCAATTTTTTTAATTAATTATTTATTATTTCGTTATTAAAAAGTTTAACTGTTTATGTTTTTATTATTTTATTATTTAATTTGTTTCATAGTGAATTTCTATATATTATTTTAATTTTTATCTTTTTCTTATTATTATTACTTTTTTTATTTATTATAATTTAATTTGTTTTATAATTTTAATTTTTTTATGAATAAATTTCTTTTCAATGTGAATTTTATTTAATATAATGAAATTTATTTCTATTATTTATATATTAAAATTTAATTTGTTTTATATTTTTATTTTTTTATAATTAAATATCGTAATAATTTTTTAATGCTTACTATTTTTTGTTATAAATTTTATTATATTTCAATTTAATTTTAATATTATTAATTAAATTTTAATTAGTTTTCTTATAATTTTAACTTTTTTATGATTAATTGTTTTAATTGTGGGTTTATATTAGCTTTTAATGTTTTACATTTTTATTATAAATTTATTATATAAGTTATTTTTATTTGAACTGGAAAATCATAATTTTATATTTTAATTACTTTATTGTTTATTTTGTTTTATTTATGAAAATTATTTGAATTTTTTTTGTTTATTTTTATTATTATACTTTTATTTTTATTATGTTTTTTACTTTTTTTAATTTTAAAATAAATTGTTTTATATCTTTATTAATTATACTATTAAATTTTGTTTCAAATTTTATCAAATATATATTATTATTACCCTTTTACTTTTCTTTTTTTACAACTTAATTTTAATTCAATAAAATTTTATTTATTGTGATAAGAAATTTTAAAATTATTACTATTATTATTATCATAATTATATTTATTTTTATAATTTATCATTATAATTGTATTATTATTATAATACTTTTACTTATTTGATTTTAAAAAGAAAAAGTTTTATAATTTCAATTTTTTTTTAAAAAAATTGTTTTAATTGTGATGAATTTTTTTGAAGTTTTTAATTTTTATTGATTATTATTACATTTTTATTTAATTATTATTATTTTCATTAAATTGTGAAATTATTTTTAAATTTTTTTACCGTTGACTATTATTATTTGTTTGGGTTAAAAAAAATAGTTTTATCATTTTAATAATTTCTTTTATTAAATTTTTTTAATGTTCATTATTATTATTATACTTTTATATATTTATTCTTTTAATTATTTATTAAAAATGATTTTCATTATATTAATTGGTTTAATTTTGAATATTTTTTAACCTTTTATTATATATTATTATAATATTTTTTAATTTATTTATTTTAATAAAAATATTATATTTACTTTTAATTTTCCTTATTAAACTTTTTGTTTGTTAAAATTTTTTAAATTTTATTATTAATTATTATTTATCTGTTATTTCTTTTTTGTTATTCTTTATTGAAAAATAATATATTTTTAATTATTTTTTATTATTAAAATCATTTTACTTTGATGAAATATCTATAAATTATTATAATGTTTATCATAATTATTCTATAATTTATAATTATTTTTATTTAATTTTATTTTGATTGTGATGAATTTTTCAATATTATTATTATTGTTATACTATTATTTACTTTTTATAAAATTTTTATTTGTTTAAATAAATTTAAAAATTATAGATTTCCAATTTTTTGTTTCTTAATTTTTATTATTCTTTTTTTATATTTTCTTATGGAAATATTCTATTTTAAATTATAATTATGTATTATATTAATATTAATTATGACTTCACTATTGAAATTAATTTTTTCCACCTTTATGTATTTTTATTTTTTTTTGGAAAATTTTTGAATTTCTAATTAGATTGATAATAAATTTTTTTTCCTTAATAATTTTTTTAAAATATTTTTTATGTTTTTAAAGTTTATAAATTTTGTTGCTGTTATTATTACTTTAATATTTATTTTCACTTTTATTAGAAAATTATAGATTCCTAATTATTAAAATTTTCTTATAAGAACATGTTTATATTTATTACAGACTATTCTGTTTATTTATTTTTTATTATCAATTTGATAACTTAGCAATTTTTTTTATAGAAATATATAAATCAACTCTTATTTTTTTAATTATTTTAGGCAAACGGGCGGCGAACAACTCGCGACGTTTACCTCTTTTTAAAGTTTATTAATTTTTTTTTTAATGTTTAAATTCTAAAAAAATTTTTGTAGGTGGAATCCCTTTTTAAGGGCACTTTTATTGATAAAGAAAAAGTAAAACTTTTTGTTCAGCAAATGCATCTCGCAAAAGTTTTGCCGGAGCGAAGAAGAATTCTTGAAAATATAAAAGTTTTAATATTATTATCTATAAATTACAATTTTTTTTTAGAATTTAAATAAATTTTTTTTCTGTATAATTATATTATTAATATTCTCTTTTCACATTTTGCGTTATTATTATAATTAATAAATAATTATACTTTTTATATATAAACGTTAATTTTTTTTAGATTTCGTTATAGATTTTTTTTATATTTATATTATTATATTTTCTTCTATTTTTGCTTATTATTATATTTAAAAAGTAATAATAAATCTCTATACCTTTTTTATATTAAGTAAATTTATTTTTTATATAATTTCATTAATTTTATATCTTTTTATTAAATGTATTATTTTTTATAAACATTTTTTTTCACGTTTACTTTTTTGGAATTTATTAATAATTAATTTATTTTATAATTTTATTATTCTTATAAAATTTTTGCTTATTATTTTTTAAAATTAATAAATTTTTATACTCGTCTATATTTTTAGTTTTTATAAATAGTAAATTTAATTTTTATTATTATTTTATTATCATTATTTTTCTATTAATTTTTTGCTTATTATTTTTTATAATATTTCATACACTTATTTTTATAAATTTTATTAATATTTTGTACAAATAGAAAAATAATAATATAATTTAACTATTTTGAATACAAATAATTATTCTATTTTATTATTTTCTTTATTAATTATAAATGGTTATACCAACTCTTTATTCAATATTATTATTATTTTTTATTACATATTCTTTTTATTTATTAATAAAAACGTTATGGTGATTCTTTAAATGTTTTTTAAATTATTTATTATCATAAATTACTGTAATTTTTCTGTATATTATTGTTATTATTATTATTATTTATTATTAATAAAACAATTTTATTATTGGTCATTGATTAATAACTGTTGACGATGTTAGTAAACTGATTATTATAATTTTATTTTTATTATTACTTGTTATCAAGTATTATTGAATATTATATTTATCATATTATTATATTATAGTAATTGTTATATATTAAATAATTATTTATTATTATTATTTTTATTAATATTTTATTGATATTTAATGTCATTATCATTAATTATTACTATTTTTAATACTATTATTAATAATATTTTATTACTAATTAGTATTATATTTAATATTAATATTATTTTTATTATATGATTAATAATTTATTATTAATTAGTATTGTGTTTCTTATTATTTTTATTTTATAATTAATTATTATTACATATTTTATTGTATTATATTATTATGATTATTAAAATATTTTTATTTTTATTTTTATTTTTTTCAATTTATATTATTTTTATTATGATTATTAAATTATCAATAATTATTATTATATGCCAATCTTATTTTTTTTCAGCTCCTTCCGAACGGCGTTCTTTTCAATGCGTTTGTGCATTTTAACGGACTCTCTTTTTTGCTGATGTGGCTAGAAAGCGCGGTAGCCGATGAAAATCTCACCACTTTCGAACTGGATTCGTTTATTCTCGAAATACTGAACGTTATTTCATCAAAAAACTTCTCAAACAAAACGCGGATCTGCCAATCAGGGCTCTACAGTTTTGTTGAGCGTCTGCTCTCGTGCGCCAATCAGCAGATTGGTATAAAAAACTTAACCAATAATCTTTGATAATTATTATTAGTTATAGTGAATACTAAATTTTTTTTTTACTTTTTTTTTGTAGGTTTAATATAATTCTAAATATATATATATTTATTTTTAACTTAATAATATTTTATTATGACTTAGATGAATTTTGATTTAATTTATATTTTTTTAGTATATATTAAATTTTATTAAAAAATTTTATAAATAGTAAATAATAAGTGAATATTTAGTATATATAAATAAAATATTGATTACTATTATATTAATTTTTTTTGATTCATAAATTTTTAATATAACATAATAATAATAACGATTTTAAATAAAGTAATTATACATAATATATTTAAATTTACTAATAATAAAAAGTATAACCTTAGAATTATATAAAATATATACATTATTTATTATACTATATTTCAGTGTAAAATAAAAAAATAATTTTCATGGAATAAATATTTATATTTTTTTTACTTTCTTAAATAGTTTTCTTTTGATTGTTATTTATATGAATATGGAAAGTACTTTACTTTTTAATTAATAATTATATAATATAATAAATTTTTTTTTAATTCTAAATTAGTGGCACTTTGCGAGCAGCTTCTTTCCTACTGGGAAACTCTCACCGAAGAACTGCGCATCCCCCGCAAGCAGCATGCGCCTTCCTCCCTTGCTGAACACGAGGATCAGCCGGCATCGGCTCCCGATCAAAGTCGCGCTCGTCTGCGCTATAATATCCCTCAGCGATTTGCCAAGAAACTTTTACTTGCTAAAGATACTCGTAAGGATTTTTTTATAATATTTTTGATTTGAATTTTAATTTTGGTCAGTAATTAGATTTAATTTTTTTTTTAAGTTTTTTATTTATTCAGTTTAATTTTTTTATAAAGTTTAAGTTTTCTATTGATATCATTGTTTATTTTAGTAAAATTATTTACTTTGATCTATAAATTGCGTATAAATAAATAACTAAATTTTAAGAATATACTTTAATTTAGTTTTAATTTTTTTTCTTTTTATTTAATAAAAAAATTCTCTGAATAAATTTCTTTATTATAAATTTACATAAAAAATAAAATGTAAAAGTTTATCAATTTGAGTTTTTTTTTCAGTAGTGAACTTTGAAGAACTCCCTTCGCGCTCTGCGTCTTCCCCACCGCCGCCGCCGCCGCCGTCCACCTTGAAGCTCAGCGATCTTCCAAGCCGGCCGTCTTTGCCGGGATTGATTTCTTGCGATTCGCCTAAAAGCGCATCTTTTCTTCCCGTTTCGCGCTCTTTTGTACGCTCTTCTCCTGAAAGTCCTCCGCCCGTATTTTTTTTTTTTTATATTTATAATAATGTTTGGTTTTATTTTTATTTACGCATACCTAATATCAACGTTGATTTTTTTACAGGTTTGTTATTAAAAAGTAGTCAAGTTTAAAATTTTTTTTTACCTTTTTACTTTTTATTTTATTAGTTTATATAAATTATTATTGATTGAGTCTAAGTAACAATTATTTTTATTTTGTTATAACACGAGTAAGTAATTAATAAAATTTTGTAAATTTTTATAATAAATATTTTATTAATTATTATTATTATTTTAATATATTTATTTCCGTTTGTGCAATCTAAATAAATTTTGTTATTTTTATATTTATTACTTTTTATTGAAAAGATTTCTACACGAGTAAATTTATTTGTTAATTTTATAAACTTTTTTTTTATGCTTTTTTTTATTATTCGAAAATTTAGTTAGATTTTATTTTTATTTTGTTTGTGCGCGCGTAACAAAATTTATTGAAAATTTCTTATTATTTTTTTTATTTTCGATTCTTTAATTATTTTTTTTTACTTCAATAATTTTTTACTTGTATTGAAAATTTATTTTTACTTTTTTTTCTTTAAATAGCTTTCCAAAGATAAAGAATTCAGTATTGAAGCGAGAAAGTACGTAGTAAAGTTACTCGTTCCGTATATAAGCGATTCTTGTAAAAAAGGAAAAATTACTTCTAAAGAAGATTTCAAGCATCTTGCTAGGAAGGTGTCGATTTTATATTTTTGTTGTTAACTTTATCTCTAATTTTTAAAAAAACTAAATTATTTTTTTCTTAGTTGAAAAAAGTTTTAAAATTATATATATTTTTTTCTTATTGAAGTGATTCTTATAAGTTACAACTTGACTTTAATATAAAATTTAATTTAAAAAAAAAAAATTCTAATTTATATCACATTTTAACCATTTAATTTTTTAAAATTTTTATATATAATTTAAATAAAAGAATCATTAAATATATATATAACTAATTTATTTTTTTAATTTGCATTAATAATAATATAAAAAATGCGAAAAAAATTTACTTTTTATAATTTGATCTTATTTTTATATAAATCTTAGCATTAATATTTTTAACTTGAATAAATATACGTATTTATATATAATTTATATTTATATAAAGAATTTATTTTTTTTTTACCTTGCATGATTGTTTAATTTTAAAATTTAAAAAATATTTTTTATGTAATTTAATTAATTTATTTATAAATTTATATGAAAATTAGTTTTAGTTTTATTTATCTTGAATAATTTATAAATATAATTTTAAAAAAGAGTATAATTAAAGAAATTAATTTTTTTACATATTTTAGTAAGTAATTTATATTAACACAAAAAATATTTACAGGCAAGGAAGTATTCCTTAATTTTATTTTACCTTTTAATTTATTTAATTATAAATTTTATATGTTTTATATCAACATTTATTTATAAATTTTTTTTTATTTTTTTTACATTTAATTATAAATTTTGTATATTTCTGCATTTCAATTTAATTTATCTAAATTTCAATTTTATTTCATATTATTTATAAATTTATTTATTTTCTACATTTTATTTTATTTTATATACAATTATTATATATCTTTATTACAATTTAATTTAATTTCTTTAAAATTTATCAATTTTTTTAGTTTAATTTCGTTATTTATAACTTTTTAAATTTTTTTCAGCTCGCGCATGTTGTTATTGAAAAGCACAGCAGAACGTCTTTGTCTTACATTTTAAACGAAAGCGCAAAGCAGAAGATCAAAGCATTTATAAAAGATTATATGTCTAAAGTTGGTGATGTGTACGTCAGAAGGAATAATAAAGATTTCATATCATTATTATAAAACTATACAATCTGCATAAATAAATTTGTTTTGTAAAATTTTTTTTAGTAATAAATTGTATTTAAATTTTATTTTTATTAAAAATCTTTATATATAAGAAATTTGGGAGTTTTTAATTAAATGGCATCCTATAAAGAAAAAATTATTCATCCTAACACCGCGAAAGCTTCGGTTAACCTCGAAAAAATTCCTGGGTTGTGCATGAGACCATTTTAGTTCTAACATTCATAAAAGTTGACTTTTTAGTTAGGGAAAAAAATATATATCCATTTGGTATAACCAGACTACTATCGTAAAGCTGTGAACAAGATTGCTTTTATTTAAACAATATGCGTTTACTACCGACGTATTTTGATAGAAGAAAGACATCCAAAGATGGAGTAGATGACAAATGTAAGCTAGTCGTTTATTACCACTTAACTCTGTGATGGGAGGCTCCCTCTGAAGTATCGGCTATTGCAGTTTGACCTACCATTGGAATGCGCAATTTGTGCCCCTACACGCTTTGGAAACCTAAACTTGGTAGTGGTCAGTAGCTAGTATCCTAAGATAGGTGCCATATTTTTTTCTTAATAAAGCGGTTACGCGAAATTCTTTTAACACATTCAGCTTTATGTTTACTGGTTCAGACTTCTCTTCTAACTAGCTACGACGTCTTGGCAGAACAGTAGAACTCACCAACTTGGGTTCTGTTGGTTGATTTATGCAAGCAATACGAATGCGACTAGAAACTCCGCATGTACAAACTACCTTGGGCTAAAAGGCTTGCCTAAGTAATGACAAATAACACTATTCACTTGTTCCTGTGACTTTAATGGCCCTAGACTCATGTTATTGTTAAGCAGTGGTAAATTACTATAAAAAATTCCACTTATGGTTATTATTAACCCCTGTCTGGGCCGGGAACCTAAAAAGCACTTGAATCCAGTGAAGTAGCTAAAAATGGGTGGATGGATGATTTAAATAAAATTTTATAACTTTGTATAAGTACTTGCTGCTGAGAGCAAATTCGACGAGTAACAAAAACGCTTGCAAGTACTGTGTCTAGAACTAACACCCTCCAGACATAGCTTTTTCGCTTTTAATGCTAGTCAACAGTGGCCTGGTCAAAGTTTGCGCAAATGAAGAGGTTTTAGGTTAATCGACCACAATCATCTATCACTAGGGCCGCCCACTTGAGGCACTATGAACTGTAAGTTCTCGTTATTGTTTGGACAAAAAAAATATATAATAGAGAAGGAAGTATAAATACATAAATATTATAAAAAAAAATTTTATAATTAAACTAAGCATTATTTTGTAAGTTACTAATCAAGTCGATCAAGCACTAGTAGGAACAGATTACATATATGTGCTACATGTATTTGGTATTCGCGTTATCACTAGATCACAAGTGAATGATGAATGTGTAATAAAAATTATTTAACACTATATATATTATATATTAAATTTTCTCGGTATACTACTGCACACAGGGAAGGCCTATTCGCACCCAACGATTAACCTAGACGAAGAAAAGAGAGAGGAAAGTGAAAATATGCATCCTCCATGTGTTATTTTATATTCCTGCTCTCCCTCAGCGTTTACTCTCCGATAGTTACAAATTTATAACAAGCAAGCACCGAGGGTAAAAAAAGGGAGAACTTAGGTGATATTTGCAGGCACCACACGGGTTAAGAGCTTAAAAATTCGTTGTTTATTTGGGAGATACCATTTTTAAATAAATTGTATTTGTTCAAAAGGTGACGCCTCTCGAATGTTATCTATAATTAAATAGCACTCACAAAGGGTAAAACGAATATATAACTATATAACACCTGTAAAGTTGCTAAGAAATTTCCCTCAGCATCAATACAGACACATTTAGATATATTTCCCCTTTTTCTGGTTCTATTGAGTAAAGGGTATGGATAACATTTAAAGTTAAATAAAATACTAATAATAATAAACTAAGATATGTATACACAGTATTTATTCCTTAACTATTATTTCTTAATGAAATATTAAAAGGGTAACAGTATTTTTTTTTAATATTTCTTTTTTAAATTTGTTAGCTGTACATTTTCAGCTATATGAACCCCTCTGTGCACCCTACTGAAATAATAGGTTAAACCTTGATTCACGTACTCGTGCGAGAGATTAAGACCTGTCGGGTGTAATGACAAGTATTCAATAAAAGAGCTCTATTCTGCCTTTTCCTTTATTATTTTTAATTTGGGCCCTTAGTAAATTATAAGAACTACGCGAAGAGGGTTAAAAATCAACACATTCCAAAAATTTGATTAAAAAATAATTTAAACTTCTAATAATTTAATAATAATTTTTATAATAATTATTTAGTTGCTAATTTCCCGCCGCTCTTGAAGTAACACCTCCGTTGTTTAATTTTCAAAGTATTCTGGTTATGCTTTATAAATGAGAAACGAAAACTTAAATGTGTAAATAGTTGAAGAGCCCTCTCAAGTTAGGGCTTATTTATAACTCTGTTAAAGGGGTGTGTCGCAATGTTACTTTTATGAGAAATAATAGCTACATTTACTTAACTTTAAAAATATTTTAATTATCCGATTTTAAATTTATATTTAGAACACATATTTACAAACTGAGCCTTTGTTAAAGTAACAATATGTGTAGTTTCTTGTTACCAGAGGATATTTAAAAACGGTTAACAGTCTATATTTGCGCTAAAGGGTAATGCTTAAGCTGCGGATCATTATAATACGCTTAGTAAAATGGAGGATGGCATGAAATCTAAACAATTTAAAAAACGCAAGGTTCTTTTCCAATAATTTTATAATGCAATCTTATTTTCCCTAATGACAGGATATGCCACAATAACATGCTAATCAAAAAATTTAGCTTATCACCTGTTAATTAGTTGTAATGACTTTGAGTATAACCAGTAATTTAATCTCTCCTTTCTTGTTTAAATATTTTAGTCTTACATTAAACCCAAAAGCTATTTTAAATGAGTTACTACGGAACCACGGTTTTAATTAAGCTCTGAAGGTTAGAGCTGGTTTATTATTACCCCTAACTAAAGTGTGTGATAATTTAATCTCAAATTCAATTATTTACATAGTAAAACTAAGGCAGGTATGTTTGATAGTTAAACACTGGAATATCTAAACTCGAAAACTAGTTCATAGTACGAAATAAATTCAAAGAAAGATTTTAAAATTTTATTAATTATATAACTCGCGTTCCAAAATTGTAAAGTTAGGTGAAAAATGGAGTGGCAGGTTGATGTCAAAAAAATTGTGGTTTCTAAGTGAATAGTTCCATTAACTTTGCGAAATGTTAGTTTTTTAATAAAGTAGAGACCACCCCAAACAGCTGTTCCAGCTTTTCCCTTTTTTCCTTAAATTTAAAACAACTTATTACATGAGAAAATTTTAAGGTCTTTTTGCCCGTTCTAAACCTCATGCAGACCTTTAGCAAAGCTTGATGTTTATAATTATTTAAAAGCTTTCTTAATATACCGAACCATAAATAATTTGTTAAAATTATAATATGCGAATATCGAGGAATTCCAACAGATTGCTTAAAGAAAGTTAGGTTTGGGTCAATAATGATCAGAAGCACCGGATATTAAGCTTTTTAGAAAAAGCCTTCCATTATTTTCCTGGTAACTTGTATATTTTCATTAGTTTCATTTATTAGCGCACCTTTTTTGCTGTAAAGTAATAAAGAGAATGAACGGTCTAACTTATTGTCCCATAGAGGAAGGGACTTTAAAACTTCAGGAAAAGTAAAAGTGGAAAGGAGCACGCAAGCGTACGGTCACGTGTTTCACCACCAAGCACGTGGTACAAACATATAATATATTCACGAAATAATTGTAATAGGATATTAATATAAATACATAAGATAACCATGTAGGCAATAATTACTTATTTTTAAAATTTAGGCAAGTGAACAATTAAAGGGGTATTATTCGCACAGTTTATGTCAGTAAGGATGACGTCGGCAACAATTAAATTATTTATGCTAATAAGCGCTTCCCTATTTAACCATATATTATGCCTAATATCGTTAATGTACTCCGTCACATGATTCTGGTAGTAATGTTAAAAAAAGGTTGAGTACTTTTTAATGTTCGTAGACAGTCAAGAGGGCTCTAATTTAATTACGCAGAAAGAACTCTGGGTAAGCATTTTTTAATAAAATAGGTCATTTTCTAGTTTGGTGTGTGAGCAAGTGGTCCAGGAACTTTAATATAAAAACCTCCGACAACTATAAAAAAAATGGAATTTAAAGTAACAACTCTACCACGATAAGGGGGACTAGTAATTATAAGGAGGTAGTATTTTAAAAATCTTAATTTTTTATAGCATAAAATAACCGAAATTTATTTCGTTGCGGTAAAATAAATTCAGGAACAAAATAAGTAATAAACTTTTCCCCCTTGAGTAGTATTATATTTTTGTCACACACGCCACAGATTAATTTTTTAAACTGTACGATAACCTAGAATTAACAGAGCGGAGGTTGAAGTTAACTGATTAGTGGCCGACTCATAGCACGTGTTATAAAAGCCACGCGCCACACTTGCCCGCGTTATTTTCTGTATCACATTTTTTGTAACCTCTTATACTCTCCGTTAAAGTACAAAAATTTAGCAAGCGTTAACAACAACAGTTATCTCTTCCTTTTATTTTCAAGCGATAAAAGATACCTGATTAGTTTTAGTTTTACGCTAATATCGTTTATGTCTTTAGTTAAGTTTTCATAATTACTAGTTTTGTAAGAGCATAGTGTCACCAATGCCCAACAATAGGAGGATATATACCGGGTTTCTTTTTCATTTCTTTCTGTAATAATAATCTTTTCTTTAACTTGAAAAAGCTTTAAATTAACTTCTTCAATTAAAGATTTTGTTTCTGCGAGTGTAGAAGAACAGCGAAATGCCACCCCTTCTATCCTGCTCGCATTGTGAGAAGCAGTTAAAACTAACTGCTGAAGGGTTTGAAGCTCCTCGTCCAGTTTAGCATAGCGAACAAGCTTTTTTTCTAAATTCTGAACCTCAAAATTTTTAGCAAAAGTTGCAAAACCCTTTAAAGTTCCTAACACGAAGCAAATTATGAAAATACTGTAGAGAATCATTCTATAATAGGAATTAAAAGTTTCCTCGTGCTTAAATCTATCCTGGCAATCTTTTAGCATGTGCTTATAAGTTTGCGAGGCTTTAATGTGGATTTCCACGAGGCTGTCGGTCATGCCGCTGAATGTGTAGAGGTCCCTAACAAGTTTATTATTTCTTATACGGTCGAGTTTAGAATTCAGCTCTTCATTTGCTCTTATTTCACGCACTTGTCTTTTTTTAAGATCCTCTAGCTCTGCATCGTAGGAGTTTTTCACTGCGCACAAAAGGCTGCATTGTTCCAATTCTTGGCTTTTAAGTCGCTTTTTAAGGAGGTCTATTTCCTGAAGAAGGTTATTTACTTTCTCTTTTGACAACTTCATGGCTTTATCTTCAATTGACACCTATATAAATTATAATTTCGCAGAGCTTTATAGATCTTTAAATAATAAAAATATAACTGTTTTGGCCTAACAAATAACAAAAATACATAATGTTTATAAGTTTTAGTGAAGAGCTCTTCTTGAAATTTTTTTTTCAAGTCTAATATTTCAGCTTCTTTATTTAAAAGTTTTTCCTAAATATAATAACGCAAAAATATTCTATTTAATATTAATCTATTTACAATAGCTTTCGTGCTTACAAAAAAAAAATTTATATTGTTCTACGATTTTTAAGTTAGATAAAGGGTAATACACTCTCGTTTATAAAAGTTTGATTCTAAGTACGATGTTATTAATGTGAGAATATTGTTGCTCTCTACAACTATTTTTTTATTGAAATTCTATTTCCTAGTAGAACGGACTTAGGCCGGTGCGAATGATTTTTAGTTGTGAATCCTTATTAACCATGGGCTAAAGAAGAGAGGCGAATGCTTGTGAAAAAAATACTAATGTCATGCCAAATATTCATTGGCATCATAATAACTTTTGTGTGAACCCTTATTGTTGATAATATATAATAAGCCTGAAAATAGCTAAGTAGCTCTAAATAATTAGCATGTGGTCAAGTAACATAGAAGACACGAACTAACATAGTATTCTTATATACCTGCCCTTCTCTTTTTTCTTTAAGAATCGCATCCTTGTGTGCCGCTTCATCCATTTTTATTTTTACCTCTAAAGTTATTCTGTGTTGTTGTTCTTGATAATAATTGCTCTTGGCAGCGTTAAGTTGGTCAACTAAAGCAACTATCTTTTGTCTTGCATTACTCAGTTGACTAGTTATAACTGTAGTATATATTTACAACACAGAATTTATAAATATTAAAACAAAGCTACTTTTGCTCTGCACGTCTTGCAACTTAGCTTCTTTTTGAACGTCCTCTATAGCGTAAAGCTCATAACTGCTAAAGATGTCAGTATAATTGGTCTTTTCGTTATTTGATAAAAGAGCTGGCGATTTTTTTACTATATCTGCGATGGATGTTTGTTCTAATTCAGTGTTGAAGCTTTCTTTCTCTAAAGCTATGTTAAAATGAAAATTGTTAATGCTAAATAATTATAACCTAAAAAGGGCATTTCTTTAGTAATATACTCTTTCCTTGCAAAATTATCTGTCTTTAATAAACTTTAGCGTTTGGCAGGTATTAATAGCAGAGTTAAAAAAAAACTTTTATCAAATTGCAAGATAAATTACAGGAGCCATCTTCCATTAAGACAATAAAGGCAGAAAACTACGGATTTTACGTGGTCTTTATACTGCTATGATATAGGCTGGTAGTCTCGATTTATGATACATATTTTTTGGCGGTATCTTGTAAAATTTTACCCAACATTACAGAATGACGGAAATTTAAGTTAACTGTTAATTATATATTTTTTACAATAGCGGGTCGAGGTCAGCCGTGTTGCAACGTAAATTATGTTTGTTACTTACATAATGTCAAAACTTTCAATTTGCTAAATGGTCGCAAGAAAAAAATTAGTCCCACCACCTTCGTATACTTTTACCTTCTTGTTAGCGTATCTTTTACTGCACCTCTCTAATCCATTTTATGCTTCAAATTTTACTGAAGACCAAATATAGTTAAAGAGCTGAAGTTAAGGTTTGTATTATAACATGCTTATAATTTTAAATAAGCATAAAGTACACAACAAAAAAAATTCATAATGGAAAGCATATCTCGAAAAAGATAGTTAAAAAGTGAGGTTCTTCAGTTGACTTAATGCGGACAAACGTGAATACCAGAGATAACTGGATTTGTATCAATTTTTGTTAATAATAGCAATTGCCAGAAAAAAAAATTTAGTCACGCTTTCTAAATAGGTGGTATTAAGTGAGCAATAGTTTATTCATACGTATAAACAAGAGCAAAAATCCGTTCATAAATTCCCATATGTTTGGCTATTTAGATGCGTGAGTGTTGATACAAAATCTTCAACGAAAAAAATTAAAAACAATATAAAGTAACTTGTATATCGTTATTTTTCACTAAGAATTTGAGTGCTTTTCCTTTTATATTTGAAATTATAACAGCTTAGTTCTAAAATTTTTAACTTTAAATTTATAATAGTTTACTATTAGAAAACTAAAGTAACAAATATTTTTTTAACGTTATTTAAAAGACTCACAAGCCAGGAATTCTATCAAAGTGATCATATTTCTGCGGTTTAAAAATTACTAGTTAAATAATAGAAAGCAATTTTCTCTATTTAATTTAATTAAAGTTGCCTACTCCGAATATTTTGTATATGCTTTAAAGAGTATTCCTTTTTTAAGAATGAAGCATGTGCCTTACTAAGATAAACAAAAAAAAAATTATTAAGAAATCCTTGAAGTTAGTATAATGTTACTTTTCTGGGGTTATCTGAGGAGTGGTCTTTGTGACCATCACAGTCGGTTTACATAATAGTTGTCTGTTTTTGGTGTTGGTAAAGCAGTTTGATTGGGTAGTGCAGGGCTACGCGGTAATGTTTGCAGTCACGACAATTGGCAGTGTGCGCTTCACCGCAATTAGTAGGGCTCCGTTGTGCTTTTGTATACTCTGAGTCAAGTGACCCTCGCCACATTTAACGCATGTGGGTGCAGAAACTTGCGCCTGTGTCCAAATACTTGACAGCGGTGGCACTGTCCGGCTCGATTTACTCTTTCCAGCTAACCTGAAAGCCTGAAGAGAGTGTTAGATTTCCTACCACGTCAAAAAGTGGACGCCTACCTTAAGGGGTTATCATTTATTAAGGATCGAGTCCTAACAGATGGAAGAGCATCTTCAATTCCTATAGCTTTCGTCGATTACACCTCGGTATATGCACTAACGGCAATGGTAAAGATCCTTCGCGCGTTTTAATATATTTATAGACGTGGTTTTATCAAGAATTTTTACCAAGAGCACCATTAAAACTGGTACTGTACACCACCCGTTAAAAGACGAAAAGTTTTCAAACTTTTTATAACCTTCTCGGCTGTTCCTTGACTTCACAGCACTTTTTTAAAATTTTATTTTATTTAAAACATAAGAGGGACTTCAATTCAAAAAAATACTTTTTTTACAATAAACTTTCGCATAAATTTTTGCTCATTACTCAGATTTTAAATTTTGTGGACAGTAATTTTCTATTAAATTCATTATGCGAAAGTAGGTAAATAAATTTCACAAAAAGAGAGAAGACTTCTCTTCTAGTTTTAAAGTTCCACTGACGTAACTGCAGTTATATATATATTGTTATTAAGTTGTAATTCTATGAGCAAAAAAGCAAGCACTTGACTTTTATAAATTAAATAATAAATATTATCTCTTCAAAAAATATAACTGCTTATCAAAAAGTTCAAAGGTCAAATATTAAATAACTTCTAAGGTACTTGAACACAATCTAAAGTTGAAAATACTTCTTTTTTGTGCTCCGTTAACAAAAATGTTCAAATGTAAAATTAAATCCTTTTTTGTCTGCTTACGCTTATTTTAACTTGAAAGTGGAAGTTTATTCCGTTTTAAAAATGAAAAGGGGACAGTTTTCTTATAGAAGACTTATAATAAGAATTCGAATAACACATACTTCGTTTTTCGTAAGAGAACTAAAAACTGCCATAAACTTGTAACACGAAGTGTGCCTGACAAAGTTGAATGTAACGTCAATAATAAATAATATTTGTGCTTTAGGCTTTTACTTTATACTAAAATCTAGATCTAAAAAATTTGGTAAGAAAGCTTTTGCATAATTGCGTTATTACTACATTTCTGTGTGTTATAGTTATTATAAGCCTTACGATGAGACATTTTTGTTGGGCTTAATGCTTTGCCTCAAGTGCTTTTTATTTAATAAAATATTGTTTGTACGCGTTTACTTAATGTAAAGAACCTATATTAACTTTCCTTGCAACAAGTAGATCACAGCGAATGCTACCGTTTTTAATTCTTTTCAGCAACAAAGCTGCCTTGAATGTTACATTCAAACAGTTTTAGTTTATAATTGAAACGTAGTTGAAAACTCTCTCATTCCACAAAACTGTGTATGATAAATTTAGTATAAAATAAGGCAAAACAAGAAAAAAGGTTTCAAGGACGACTTGACTTATTTAAATTTGCAAGAATTTAAGAAATAGGTGGAAGTACGTTTCCCGTTACAACTCATTTGAAGGTTCCTCAAAATTTTTTTTTTTACTTATGTTATGGAATTTGTGTAATAATTAAAAACTTTTGAAATCTACCTGAAAAGGTCTAAAGCGGTAAAGTTTATTTAAAAATTTGACGTAATCTGATTTAAATTTTTTTCAGGTTAATACTGCTTGGAGTTAGCTAATTTATTGTAAGCATGCTCTTAGAAAATACTTCTCTATAAAAATTAGTATGAAAGTGGAATGGAGCATATCTAAACTGTATGTCTTTTTTGTATTAAATCTCTTTTTTTAAGATTATATTTATAAAAATATTCTGTAAGCTCAGTTATATTACACAGTATTAAGCAAACTATAAAAAAAACTATTAAAAAAACGAACACTTGTTATACTTAGCGCATAATATATTTTTTTTATTGTAGTGTTAGTAGCTTTTCAAAAGTTGATGAATACTTAAAAAAATATTATTTATAGTTTATTATCTTTTACATTTATAATTTTAAATGAAAACTTAACACTTAAAAATGTTATTGTTATTTAATAAGGATTACTTTCTATATTTTTATAATATTGTTTGTTTTATTTTTTAATACTTTTGTAGGTGTTAGTATAATAAGAAAAATATTGCGCATATTTATTACGTTTCTCTTTAACTATTATCCAATATACTATTTTGAATATATTTTGTAATGTTATCATTATTTATTGTTACATTTAACATCTTTACTAGATTTTTATTAATATATAATATGTATGTACTTTTTTAAATAATTATTTCTTTAAAAATGAGCATCTCTTTATATATCTTTATATATATTTTCTTATTATTATTAATAAATTAAAATATTTATGCAGTTATCATTTTTACTATTACTCTTTTTAAAAATTTTTTAACTCTAAATCATTAATATATATTGAAATAAATAATATAACTTTTATAATAATAAAAAAAAATAATATAAAAATAAAAGCATAATTTTGATATATATTGAATAATAATAAATAGAGTTTATATATATATATAATTTAAAGAAAGGAAAATTGAGTTTAAATCTTTTAATTTTTTTTTTCCCGAGAAGATTTTATTTTAGGACATAGGGAAAAGGAAGGCGCAAGTTTATCGCCCCATAAGGTTTCGTTGCTTTTAAACCAATCAAGCGTTGAATTCCATCCTTTAAAGAAGTAAATTATGAAATTTATTAACTAAAAATTTTAATTATAATAAACATATTAAAAATAAGCATCCCAAGTTATGGTTGTAAAAAAAATTATTATATAAAAAATGAGACTTTTGTTAATTTTTAATAAAAAAAATATTACAAAGTTTTTAAAAAAAAAGATATAAGATTAAAATTTTGCATAGTTTTATTTTTTAAATTTTTATACTTTAAGTTTTTATTAATTATTTAATTATTAATAAAATTACTTAAAAATTTAGAAAAAATGTTTATGAAATAATACTAAATTCCTATTAAAAACATACCAAAACGAATCCACAAAAAAATTCCGAAATCAAAATTTTAATTATACAAATTTTTTTTAAAAAGTAAAAAAAGTACATTATTTCGTAGTGATAAGAAAAAAGTAGATTAATAGGGAAAAAATTTTAAGTTAATAAAAAAATTAAAAAAATTTGAGATGGAAATTAATAAAAAAAATATATATATAAATTTCTAACATAATAAATAAAAAAAAATAAATAAATTTTTTTTGTGGAAGTAAAAAATAAATAGTTTAAAAAATTATGAAATAAATTGAAATTTCATAAATTATTAAAAATTTTAATAAATTAAAAAGTAATCAAAAATTTTTAATAAAATTAAAAAATTAAGGATTAATTCAGGATTAAAATTTATTTCAAATAAAAAATTAATAAAATTTTTAGTAAAAATAAATAGTTAATTTGAAAACCTTTAAAATTATAAATTATTCGTTTCAAAGTTTTTCATAGAATTTATAAATTAAAAAAAATTTCAAGAGAATAAATTTTATTAATGATTAGTGTAAAAAGAAAAATAATAAAAAAAATTTATAATAAATTAAATATTTTAAAAATTAATTATGAAAAAAATAAATAATTATTAAAATTAATTTTTATAATAAGAAAATTAAAAACTTAATCAGAAAAAAACTTTATTTACTGAAAAAACTGAATATCTTATAGGAGAAAATTTAAGAATTTAATTTGGAAATAATAAAATTTAGCTACAAAAATGGACGAAAATAATTTTAACAAACAAAAATTTAAAGCTAAAATAATGAAGAGTCTATCAATAAAATATTTATATAAAGAAGTAGTAAAAGTTGTTAATGAACGACTAAATATCCATATATTTTTCTAAAGAAAATAGAAATATATAAGAGCTATTGAATTAATAATTAAATAATGTAACTTTGCTTTAAAGGCAAAAAAAGAGAAAATGAAGAAAATTGATTGTAATAAAAAAATTTAGATATAAAATATTTGAAATTAATTTATTAAAAAAGAATTAAAAAATCCAAATTAGTAAAAAAAGTATTATAAAATATTTAATTAATCAGAAAAAAAAAAGAAATTAGAATTAACAAAACAATTAAAAAACTAAATTGACAATAAGTTTTATTAATGTAAAATTTATCAAAAAGCGAATACTTAAAAAGAGAAGGTAAAGAATATGATTTTTCAAAAAATTAGTTATAAAATTAACGAATAAATTTTAACAATAAAATTAAAATAAATAATCAATAAAAGTTATAATAATAAAATAATTTTTTTTTAAAAAGTAATTTTAATCAGAAAAGAGAAAATTAAAAAATTTAGTATAAAAAATTTAATTTAAATAAATAAAATAGTAAAAAAAGTTTTATAATTGAAATAAATTTTATAAAAAAGCGAATAAACAGAAAAGAAAAAAAGGAATTTAAAAAAAAAATTTAAAGCAAAATATTTAATTATAATATTAACAAAATTGATATTTCCTCAAGATAAAATTATAAAACTAAGTAAAAAATTTTTATTAAAAAGAGTTATTTTTTTTGTAGAAAATAAAAGTTCGCGTAAATTAAAATAATAAAGTATTAAAGATTTTTATACATAAAAATTAAAAGTTTGACTAAATTAATATATGAATTTAAAAATAAATAATAAATGAGAATTAAAAATTTTTATATATAAAAAATAAAAATTTAAAGAAATTTATTATTAATTAAATTTAAAAATTACAAATAAAGAGTATTAAAATTTTTTAAAATAAAAAATTAGTTTGAATAAATTAATTATAATTTAAATTTGAAATAAAGTAAATAAAAAAAATTAATATATTTTATATAAAAAATAAAAGTTCAAATAAAGTTATTATCCATTAACTTTAAAATAGAATAAGAGAAATAAATATTTTTTATATAAAAGATAAAAGCTCAAATTAATTATTATTTATATTTAATAAAATAAATGTATTAAAAAAAGTAAATATTTTTATATAAAAATTAAAAGACCGAATAAATTTATTATTTATAAAAAAATTATAATTTAATAATTAAATGTTTAAATAAAATTATTAATGTTTAAATTCTAGCAAAAAAAATAATAATTAAAAAATATATTTTAAAGTTTTTTATATAAAAAATAAAAGTTTAAATAAATTTATTAATGTTTAATAGTTGAAAGAGAAAAAATATTTTATACATTAAAAAAGCTGGAATGAATTTAATATTTAAAATTTATTTTTTTTAAAAAAATAAAAGGATTTAAATATTTTTTAATTAAAGTGCAATGAGTTCAAAAAACTATTAAAAACAAAAAAATACTTTTTTATAATATTTAATAATTATTATTTTTTATTATATATATAAATAAAAACTTTTATATAAGATATAAAATTTATATTTATAAAATAATTATTATTATAATTCTTTTAAATAAATAAATATTTTATCTTATAATTATAAATAAAAAAATATGATAACCTTCTTCGAAGGTAACGATTGGCTGATAGTTCAGTTCTCGCCTCGCTTTACTGATATCAAACCAGCGATGAATAGAAAGCATTCGAACTATAAAAAAAAAGAAAAAAGAATTAGTAAAAATTAATAAAAACCTTAAAACCTTAAAAAGTATAAAGAAAATTTTTTAAAAAAATTAAATAATAAAAAATGAGACTATTTTATAATTATAATAATAAAATTTATAGAATAATACTATTAATGAATATATAAAAATTATAAAAAAGTATAATAAAAAATAATAGTAAAAAAATAAGCAAAATAAAAACTTATAAATAAAAAAAAGTTTATAAATGAGATTGTGATAAAATAATATAAAAAAGTTAAATAGTTTATAATTTATGAAAAATATTAAATAAAAAAAGTTTAGTATTAACAATAATTAGTATAAATAAATAAAAAAAAGGTTATAATTTATTAAAAAATGAAAAATATAATAAAAATATAGAAAAATAAATATTAATATTTTATAATAAAAAATAAAATATATAAAAATATAAAAGAAAAATAAGTAAAAGTACTAGAAATTAAAAATAAAATACAACATATTATTAAAACAAAATATTATAATATTTATAATAAAAATAATATATATATATGTAAATAATAATAATAAAAAATATAACTTTATCAATAAATAAAATAAAATGTATAAAAATATAATAAAATAAAATTAAGTAAACTTTAATAATATAGAAATAAATTAAATTAAATAAATAAAATATAATAAAATATTAAAAATAAAATATTACAATAATATTAATAAAAAGTAAAATATATAAAAAACTAAAGTTTTATAATAATAATAATAATAATTTCGTAAATAATTAAAAATAAATAAACTTCTAATATAAATATAAAGTAAAATTTACAAAAATTTAGTAATAAATAAATAAAAGTATATAAATTTAAAAATATAAAAAAAAGTAAATAGAGGTAATAAAATTTCAAAACACATGTAAGTGCAAAATATATGAAATAAGGTATAATAAATTAATAATAAAATAAACATTAATATTTATAATAAAAAGTAAAATGAATAAAAATTTAATAGTAAATACCCCATCTTTACATAATAATAAAAGTAAGTAAAAAATTAAAATTCACAGAAAAAGTAATATATATGTAGTATATAAATAATAAGAATTTTTATGAAAAAGAAAAGTAATATATGGTAAACCAGTAGGAATTATAATAAAAAGTAAAATGAAAACATTATAAAAAATTAAAGAAAAATAAATTCGTTATAAAAAAGTTAACAATTTTAATAAGTAAAATAAATATAAATATAATAAAAAAGTTGACGAAATAAAAAATTAAAAAAAAGTATACATAGTAAAAAGTATAATAAAGAATTTATAATAGAGCTCAACTTTGTTAATAAAAAGTAAAGTAAAATAAAAATATAATGTACAAATATAATAAAGTTAATAGTATAATAAGAAAATAAAAAAAGTATTCATAATAAAAAAAATAAAAATAAGTATAAATAGTAAAAAGTATAATTAATAATTTATAATAAGTTAAGTAGGATTTTATAATATGATAAAGTTAATTATATTAATAAAAATAAATAAAGATAAGTATAAATAATAAGAAGTGCATAAAATTCATAAAAAAAATATTTTGAAAATAAGCTATACAAGCCTAATTATCATTGGTTAAAATATATTCTTATAAAGTTTAGTGGTAAAAAGAATTATCCCTCCTTTTATATTGACCTAATAACAGCATTATTATGAAAATAATGGATTTTATAATCAAAAGAAAGTTTTTTAAATACTATATAATATAAAAAAACTTATTTAATAAGAAATCATTAAAGTTTAAATATCATAAATGTTTATTTCTTATAAAAAATAATAAAGCAGAATTTAATTATAGGAAAGAAAAAATAAATAAACTTTATAATAATAACAAAAATAATAGTAAAAAGGTATAGACTCGTAAATAATGTTAACTAAATATTAATAATAAGTAAAAAGTATATTTAAATATAATAAAAGTAAAACTTTTATATTTCTTTTTTCTTTAACTTTTTAAATACTTTAAAATATTTTTTGTAGAAATATATTAAGTTAGAAATAATATTTCATTGCAGTTACAAAATAACAATATAATAAAAAGAAAAATAATTACTATAATAATAAATTTATCAATGCATAAAATTTTGATAAAATTAATATAAAAATAAAATTTTTTCGATATTTGTAATAATATAAATAAAAAAATACTAAAAGTTCTTTAATAATAAATAATATTAATGAATAAAAAAAAATAGAAAAATATAATAAAAATAAAAATAAAATTCTAAAAGTTTTTTATAATAAAAATACATAAACAATATATATAAAAAACAAATATAAAGTTTTTATAATAAAATAATTAATAATAACAAATAAAAAACAAAATTCATAAAGTTTTTTTATAAATGGTAATAATGAAATAAAAAGTAATAAAATATTAATAATAAAAATATTTAAAATAAAAACAAAATTCTAAAAGTTCTTTATTAAATAAATAATAATAGTGAATAAAAAAGAAGAAAATATTGTAATAAAAATAAAAACAAAATTTTTAGAGTTCTTTAATATAAAAATATATAAAAAATAAATAAAAAAATATAAAAGTATTTATAATAAGAAATGAAAATAATGAAATAAGAAATAAATTAGAAAAATAAAATTGTAAATTTTATTATAATGCACTGAAAAAATATATTTAATATATAAATAATACAGCAATAACAATAATAAATAGTATTAATAAAAGTAAAATTTTAATAATATAAAAATATAACAAAGATAAATAAATATATAAAAAACAAAAAAATAAAATAAAGTTTATTACGAAAAAAAAATTTCATAAAAATAAAAGCAAAATCTATAAAAAATAACCAGTAAACGGGGATAAGCGAAACTTACGGTTTGTAAACCAGCCAATCATGCTTAATACATAAGAAAATATATATAAAAGCAGCAGTGGAAGATGCATTTTTTTCTGAATAGAAGGGTAGCCTAAAAAAAATAGTTATAATAAGCAGGAATAAATATTTACGAGAAGAGACGCAATAAGGAAAATAAGGGGCCAAATTATGGCAAACAGGCTTGTTTTAGTAAATATGCAGAGAGGGCGTCAAAATATAAGGTAATAGTACCCATTTACACAGTAAATTAACAAAAACGCAAAATCTAATGAGTGGACAAATATAGAAATAAGGAAACAAAGTGCCATTATACTACAAAAAGATACCCATTTTGACGCAAGCTTGATCAATAGCGGACCAAAAGGTATTGCGGGGCCGTCAGTGACGATATAAAAGTTGCCTAAAGCTTTGGAATAGTCATTAATATACGTGAAAGCCACTTTTATATTTTTTAGTGTAAGCCAATAAATAAAAATAAAATTACTCAAAAAAAACTTTCCTATTATTTTTATAAAATTCATATTTCAATAGTAAATAATTTAATTAGCAAGTAATTAAAAATAATAAGATTTTATAAAAAAATAACTTTAATATAAAGTTCATAACAAAAATTATAAACGAGCTTTAAAGTATAATAAAAAACTTTAAGTATTAAAAGTGTAAGCAATTAAAAAAAGACGAAGAATTTATTTAAATATTACTAAAAACTTTTTAAAATATTTAGAAAATTATAAAAAAGTGGACTTATATATATTCAAATCAAAATAATTATTAACATCCTATAAAAATTGAAAAAAGTTATAACGAAATGCATTCATTAAAAGGAATGTAATTTTTAAAAATAAAAATTTAAAAACTGAATTAATATTTTCTATCAGCCAAAAATAAAGTTCAAATAAAAATATTCAGTTCGTAAAAGTTTTAAAATATAAAAAAAACTTTAATTAAACTTTCAAAACTTGTAATGCTTCAAATTAGAAAAAGTAAAAAGATAATAGTAATAAGTTTAATAACTTAAAATTAATATATAAGTAAAAATTTTTATTAGATCATTGAAAAATAGAAAAAGTTTTTAATAAATTGATAAGTTTATATTAAAATACGGTGCAAAAAATTGTTATAATAATTTTAGAAGGATTATAAACAATAAAAAAATAGAAAAAAGTTTGAATATTTTTATAATAAAAAAGAGTTCGTTATTTTTTTAATAATATATAAAGTAGAAAGTATTTAGAATATTAAAAAATAGAAAAAGTTTAAATATAATAAGTTTGTAAAATTAAAATAATTATAATAATAAAAATTTTGTAATTAATATAATAGAAAATTCTGTTATTTATTTTTAATAATAAAAGTTAAAATTATATATTAAACCATTAAAAAATAGAAAAAATTTTATATAAATTGAAATTAAAAAAAACCTTCAAAAAAAAATAAAAATATAATTATAATAAATGCGTTAATATAATTTTTAAAAAATATAGAGTAAAAAATATTTATTATACCACCAAAAAAAAAAAAGTTTATAATAAAATTATAATAAAATAATTGTTATAATAACTCTAAAATAATTAAAATAATATTAATAAAATAAATATTATTACAGTATTATAATAATAACAATAGTAAAGAAAATAATAATAAACATAAACATTAAAATAGTTATAATAATTTTTAAAAAAAAATTATAAAAAAATTTTAAAGCAACAAAAAAAATTTTCAAATATAATAAAAATAATTTTAATAATATTAGTAATAATAATTATAATAACCTGGCGAGCCCTCGTAAAGAGCATCGTAAGCAAGAAGAAGGGCGTGGCAGTAATTGTCCACGTGGGTGAAGGACACGAGGTTTTTTCCAGAGCCAAAAACTCGTAACTTTCCTGAACCAATTTAGAAAAAATTAGTGAAGGAAAAGTAGTGAAAGCATGACTTTTTTTTAGTAGTGATTTCATTTTTAATTTACTTATAAAAGTTTTTTTTATATATATATAAAATGATATTAAAAGAATATAAATAAAAAAAGTTTAAATTTTTAATTAAATAATAGAAATATAAAACTTTTAAGTAAAAAAATAAAAAGTACAAAAAAAAGTGATTTTTAAAAAATTGTATTCACTATAAACTACATAATATGATGTTTTATAAAGAGTAAAAAAAGTAAAAGCAATCGAAAACTATAAGAAACAATTTATTAACTAAATAATAGAAATATAATCTTTAAAGTAAAATGAAATAAAAAGTAAAAAAAATAAATAATATAATGCATCATAAGTAGTAAAAAAAGTAAACGCAATAATGTAATATTTGTATTTTTTTTATATTTCAAAAATTATAATAAACATATATTATTAACTAAATACAAAAGTTAATATTACAATAAAAATATATTAAACATTTAAAAATTACTAAAAAATTTGTTTTTTTAAAATTCATATTTTAATTAAAAATAAAAATAATAAAATAAAAAAATAAAAAAAACTAAATAGTAATTTTTTTAATTTATTTATTTTTACATGAGTAAAAATTTTTTTATAAATAATTTGAAAATACAAAATATTTTTATAAATGTTATAAAATGTATATAAAATTACAAAATATACAGATTATTTTATGATTAATAAAATAATATAAAAAACTCAATGTTCTTCAGTAAATTAAATATGAAGTTTTATAATCAAAAAAACTTAATATATTTATTTATTTATTATAAAAATAATATTTTTTATAAAAAACTTTAAAACTTTCTATAAAAAATTTAAAAAATATAATTAGAAAAAAAATAACTAAATGTCTTCAGGAAATTAAAAAATACAATTTTATAATCTTTAATAAAAAATCAAATTTTTATTAATTTATATAAAAAATAAATATTTCTACAAAAAACTAAATGACTTTATATAAAATTAAAAAAATATTATTAGATATAAAACTAATTGTAAATAGGAAATTAAAAAATTATAATTTTATAATCTTAAATGAGAAATCAAAGTTTTCATTTATTTATCGTAAAAATATTTTCTATAAAGACTTAATAACTTTTAAAAATAATTTAAAAATATTATTAGAAAAAAATAGTAAATATAATCAAATAAATAAAAATTTAAATTATTTTAATCATAAAAAAAATTAAATTTTTATTTACTTTCTTTAAAACGGAAATTTTTTTATAAAAACTCTAACTTTCTATAAAAAAATTTAAATATATTATTAAAAAAAAAATTAACTAAAAGTAAACAGAAAATTAAAAAAATAAATCATAATAATCACAAAAAAAAGAAATGAAATTTTGTTATTATTTAATTTAAAAATATTAACTTTCATAAGATTTTCTTGTGCTAAAAGTAATAAAAAATAATAAACTTCACTTACTAAAGAAAAATGGTAAAACATAAATATGAAAAATTTATATAAAAGTAAACAAAATAATAAAAATATTATTATAATTTAATAAATTTTAAAATAATAATAATATTTTAAACTTAGTAAACTAAATTTCTTTCAAAAGTTTAAAAATGTTATTAAAATTAATAAATATAATTAGAAAATGTAAAAAAATATAAACTTTTACAAAAATTAAATATTAAAATTTTTATTTATTTATTTAAAAACTAATTTTTATAAATACTCAATAAGTATCTATAAAATTATTAAAATAATTATTGAAAAAAACTTTATATATTAAAGTTCCTATAAAAATTTAAAAAATATATTAAAAATGTATAAATATTTAAAAAATAATAAATATAATTCATCAAAAAAAAATTAAATCTAATTTTATAATTTGTTTGTAATGAGAATTATGTCCGAGGGCAGTGCACATGTTATAATAAAGTTTCGCACGCGCACTCGCTACAGTTTTTTCTTCTTTGTTAGTTGTGTGGTTGTGTTTGGTGCGCTTGATAATAAAGTAAATTTAGTGCTTTCAAGTACTTCGATTTCCCTCTATACCACTTTTTTTTCTGTAATATACATTATATTATCCATACTATATAGCATTACTGACTATAATATACAAGTTTTCGAAACTGTATAACTTTAATGTCTATAATATACTTTATATCATCTATACAATACTAATTTTTTACCTATAATATATAAGTTTTCGTGGGCTTACAGCCTGTGAAATCAACAAATTTAAAAAAAAATAAAAAAGAAATAAAAATCTACTTTGATATTTTCAAGAACACACTACTGTAAATACATACTATATAACATTTAAAAAAATTTAAACGTTTTTACAACATATTTAAAGAATATATATATATATATATTTTTAATTATTTCTAAAAAATATTACTAAAAAATATGTAAAAAAAAGTCATATAACTTTTAATAATTTTTTTTATTAAAACTAATTTTTATTAAATTTTTTTTTCAATACATATAAACTATAAAACGTTTAGAAAACTAAAAATTGTTTTTTAGAAAATTTAAATTGTATGAATTTCATTTCAAAAATATTTAATAAAATATACAAAATTTTTTAATACAGAAAATCATTAAATTTAATAAATAGATAAAATAAAATTATTAAACGTTTAAAAAACGCTAAAAAAATGTTTTCATATAATTTTCAAATTCAAAGATTTATAAATTAAAAATAAAATAATATAAAAGAAATTGTAAAAATTTTCCAAATAAACTTAAAAAACGTTTTCTAAAAAAATTTTACAATAATTAAAATTATAATTTTATAAAATTATAAAATGTAAAATCCATTAAATTTAAAAATAATAAGTTTTAAGAAAAAAATAATAAAATTTATAAACGGATTTAAATTTAATAAGTAATAAACAGTGCTTTAGAAATTTTGTTAATTCTCTATACATAAAATTTTTATTACTTTATAAAAATAGCGTGAATTTTTAATTCATCTAATATAAAAAATATTATATTTTAAAATTAATCATCCATAATTCAATATAAACTTTTAAAAATTGTAACAAATATTAAATTATAATAAAATAAAACTTTAACAATTTTAATAAACTATTATGAAGTTAATATAAGAAAATTAAAAATTAATTTTTTTTTTTCATGAAAAAAATTCTTTTCAAAATGATGTAAATGAAAATATAATATTAAGTTTTAAAGCATAAAAGAGAAAAAAGATTACATTAAAAATATAATAAAGAAATTATAAGAAAATCTATAAAAATTAAATAAAAAATTTCTATAAAAATTATTAAAATTGAAAAAAACAACAATTTAGAAGTAAATAAAGTTTGTATTTATTAAAATTATTTTGTTTAAAGTTAATTTAATTATAATTTTAAAAATGCAAACCGAAAAAATTTAGAATGTTAAGATTTTTTAAAGGTCTATATTTTATAACTAATTGTACCTGACTTGGCAGCTTTCAGTATGTTTGGTAAAAAAAGATAATCACCAGGTCCATAAACTTGATGAGGCGCAACGCTTTTTTTTTTCAAAATAGTAAGAGTAAAAGTAAAAATCAATAAATTCAAAAAAATTGATCTAAATCCGAAAATTTTTTTTTAAAAAAATTAACACCAAACTGTCATCAAAACATCACAATTAGCAGCGCGCATGGCAAGCTCTCCCTGAGCTTTCGTTTCCGCATAAGCTTGCAAGAATTTTCCCTTTTTTTTTTTTTTTTTTTAAAAAAACTAAATTTTTTAATAGAAACATAAAAAAAATAGGTACAGGGGGTCTTATAAACAATTCATCTTCACTAAAACCTTCAATATCACTTCCATCAAATCTTGTGGAAGGCGAACTGGACATAATAATGCGAGAAACACCGTTGAGTTTACAAGCATTTATAACGTTAAGAGTTCCTGTAATAATAATTAATAATAGTAAATATAATAACTATTATAACTAACCTTCATAATTTACTTTTGTACAAGCCTCAGAAGAATGAAAAGGGCCCACCAAGGCAGCTAAATGCCAAACACAATCATTATTTTTACAAATATTTTGTAATAAAACGACATCAGTGATGTCTCCAACGACCACTTCCACCTACAAAAAGATTGTAGATAACAAATTTCAACTTAAAAAAGCAAAAAAAAAACCTTAGGATGACTGGCTATGTCTAAGGCTGGAGTGAATAAGCTACGAGCAATAGGCTTTGGAAAAGATATGTCCAAAGAAATAACTTTTTCTGCACCTTTTTCTATTAGCATTTCTACTAAACGTTGACCCACAAAACCGCTTCCCCCTAAGGTTAAGGAGAAATTGGAAACCTAGAAAAAATTTATATTAATTTTTTAATCAATACCTGTCACCATACAACGCAAACCTTGAACACCCATTTTTAATAAATAGTTAACAAGAAACAGAACGCATAACTAAAAGAAAAATGTAAAACTTGAAAAAGCGGAGAAATGTAGGGCAGTATCGCACCTCAATAGAGACACGCTTACTAGGATTTGAAAGCCACTTCAAATTGCGAGACAGCGTTGCTGGTGGAGTTAAATGTGTCTATTTTCTGGTTTAGTCCATTAACTTACTTTTTATTCTAATGGTTATCGTAAAAAGTTAATGATATTGCTAGCTAAAATAATAAACTTTTAAGAACAACTTTTGTCTTACCTAGAAATGTATACGGTGTAAAAGCTTTTAAGTTAAAATAATTTAAAAATGTACAATTAAATGCTACCTAAAAGTAATTTATTAGTAAGAGGGCAAACTTAGCTACTTTATTAAAAAAAACATTAAACTGTAATAATTTTTACGATTTATGCGTTTGTTAAAGGTCAACGAAGAGTTATACGGTTTTATCTGCTTAAACTTTTGGATCTTCAAAGAAATGGAATAAACATATAATACTGGAAACTTTATACTACAAGAAGCAGAAAAAAACTAATAAAATATTGCATAAAAAATCAGTTGTAATAAACTGTATTAATGATAATAGTAACAAGGCCTAAAACAGCCTGCTATATGACAATTTTAGATTTATAAAACATTTTTTGAATATAAAAAAAAAGAATATTTTTAATATCAATGCATCCCCTTATTTTTTAATATTCGCATAATATAAATATTTAACAAACTAAAGGACGCAATTTTTTTTAGGCAAAGTCATTACGCGTGGCTACTGCTAAAACTTTTAACACAGCCTTTCCCGACGCCTAAAGGAAATCTCCTTTGCTTGCTCGTGCTTCTTGATTTTTGTTTTACCTTTAACAATTTAGGCCTTCGTCGCTAACATTATTTCAAAAACTAAGTTAGCATGTCCGCTATAAGGATTTTGAATCCCAATGCTGAAGTGGCTAGAGCCTCACAAGCTTTACAAGTACTTATAATAATTTAATAAAACAACGTAAACTCTGCTGCTATCAACTATAATAAAGGTCAATATACAAGCTGCGCTTGGCCTCCAAGAGGTTTTAATGACTAATTTAGGTCCAAAGGGAACCATAAAAATGTATTATTTCTGATTTTTTATTTTTTTGTTATATAAATCTCTATTTTAAGGCTTGTTTCTGGTGCGGGAGATATTAAAATCACGAAAGACGGGAATGTTTTACTCCACGAAATGGTGTGTGAGCAAAGAGGGTTTAATAGTTGACCTTTTTATTCTCCTTTTTTTTTTTTGCAGCAAATTCAGCATCCAACGGCATCTCTAATTGCGAGAGCGTCTACCGCTCAAGATGATATCATCGGCGATGGCACGACGTCCACAGTTATACTGATCGGGGAATTGCTTAAGCAAGCTAATCTGTACATCAGTGAAGGCTTACATCCAAGAATTATAGCAGAAGGTTTTGAGTTGGCTAAAAAGAAATCTTTAGAGGTTTTTTTTTAAGTTAACTCAAAGCCAATTTTTTTAAAATAATTTTTTTATTAGATTCTCAATCAGATCAAATTTTCCACGTCTGTTGATAGATATATCCTTACTCAAGTTACTAAAACTTCCCTGCGCACCAAGCTTAGCGCCCCACTGGCCGATGCTCTTACTGAAATTTTAGTGGATGCTGTTCTTTGCATTAAAGTGTAAGAAAGAATTTTTTTTAGAATTATTTTTTTTTTTATATAAATTAATTTAGCGATGAGAAACCCATTGATTTATTTATGATTGAAATTATGGAGATGCAGCACCGAACGACTGCGGATACCTGCTTAGTGAGGGGTATTGTTATGGATCACGGCGCGCGTCATCCAAACATGCCGAAGCACGTGGAAAATGCATCGATTTTAACATTAAATGTTTCACTCGAATACGAAAAGACGTATACCAATATGTTATTTTTATAATTAAAATTTTGATAATTTTTTTGCGGGTCAGCGAGGTCAATTCCAGTTGGTTTTACTCAAGCGCTGAAGATCGTGATAATATGGTGCAAGCGGAGCGGGCGTTTGTAGATAGCCGCGTGAGGAAAATTATAGAATTCAAGCGAAAAGTTTTTTTTTAAACCATTTACAGTGCCGCACACACTCTTATTAGTGTTGCTCAGGTGTGTGACTCGCCTGATAAAAACTTTGTAGTTATTAATCAGAAAGGGATCGACCCGCTTTCGTTGGACATGCTGGCTAAGGAAGGGATTCTAGCGCTGCGGCGTGCTAAGCGGAGGAATATGGAAAGGTTATATAATTTTTTTTTTTATTAGTAAATCAAATATAATAGTTTATTGCAAAATCGATTATTTATGAAATTAAAAAGATAGAAGGAAAAAAAACTTGTGTGATTTTATTAATGTAGATTAACACTTGCCTGCGGAGGTACTGCTATGAATTCCGTCGAGGATCTTACAGAAGATTGTCTGGGCCACGCCGGAAAGGTCGAGAACTACATATCTGTTACTGCGCGGAGGTCGCATAAAGGCGCTTTTTAGGTCTACGAGCAGGTCATAGGCGAGGAAAAATACACGTTCGTCGAAGCCTGCAAAAACCCCAAATCTTGCACTGTTTTAATAAAGGGGCCCAATAAACACACTATTTTGCAAATTAAAGATGCCGTGCGCGACGGTTTTATAGCTGAGCTTTTATAAAAAAGTTAATCAAATTATTTTTTAAGGGCTGCGCGCTATTAAAAACACACACGAGGACAAGGCGCTGGTTCCTGGCGCAGGCGCCTTTGAAGTGGCCTGTCATGCGGAGCTCATTAAGTTTAAAGGTAAGTTTGCCCCGGCGCCGCTGGAAAACTCGTTATTTTCCACGTGCACAGACACCGTGAAGGGCCGCACGAAGCTCGGCGTGGCGGCCTTTGCGGATGCTCTTCTTGTGATCCCGAAAGTGCTCGCCCGCAATGCTGGCTTCGACCCGCAAGATGTAATGGTGACTTTGCAGGTTTTTTTTTTTGAAGTTGCGTGAATATTTTATAAATCTTCTAATGCTACATGTCAGGAGGAATACCTGGAGGGAAATGTGTCAGGGCTGGACTTGGCTACTGGGCAGCCATGTGACCCATGCGACCTTGGAATTTACGACAATTATAGCGTGAAGCATCACATGCTTTGCTCCTCGTATTTCTTTGCTTTGTTATTTGCTCGCTCTCTTTTGCTTATGCATTGTGCGCAGCGCCATTATTGCTAGCAACTTGCTATTGGTTGATGAGATTATGAAGGCTGGACGCTCCAATGTGAAGGCCTCTCACGATAATGAGAACCAAACCTCTCTGGAATAAATAAACCTTTTAATTTAATGAAAAGAGATTTTTTTAATGAGAATGAGGAGATTTTGGATAATTTTCTAATTTTTACTTACATAAAAAGTTATAAAATTTATAAACATATTTTAGCGATATCTTCTTCTAAGTCAACGTTAAAAAGAAAAAGTGTATTTCACAACTTTTTTAATATAAAACTTCGTATAACGAACTACTAAATTGAACCAATGAAGCTAATTTGTGGGTCATCAGCACATGTTATCCTTTTTTGAAGGCCTCTTTACTTTTCTTGTTTTTATCTACAGCCGAAAGCACGCTTCTTTCAGTAAAATAATATCTAATGTAAGTATGCAGTGGACCAGTTTTCCGAGCCGCGCAGGTTGCGGGGATTTTAAGATCCTCTAGAGTTAACTTTTCCAGCGAGGCAGCGCTTAAAAATGTTACCAAAGACACGTGACCGCCGTATAAAATGTGTGCGTCACCTCGTGCTTTCTGGCGAGCACGGGAGATAAAAATTTGCATTGTGCCTTCTTTCCTGCGCGCATATTTTCTCCTTATCAAAGGCGTCAGCAGCCTTCTCATTTTCAAAAGTCTCCTGTTGATCTTTTCATTGATTCATAAATTTTTTTTATATCATTAACATTAAGACACACCAGAGAGTAAAGAGCCGATGCATTGCTCGTCGCTCGAGGAAACAAGCTCCGCAGGAGGGGAAGCGCTGAGGCCACGAGGTTGCGGGGGCTGACAGGGATACCAGCCAAAGTCATTATAATAACAATAATATTTCACCTGTAGAGGCTTTTGGCCCTCTGAGTTCCACTTGGGGGTTTCTTCAAACACGTGAAGCAGGCTTGCTATAAAATTTTCTTTATCCTCTTTGCTCAAAAACAGCAGCATAAGCTGGTAAATGTTGTTTGACCTTTCTAAAAAAAAAAATAAACAATAAAATAAAAATAAACTAAAGAAGCTCAAACCTCGAACTTCAGGAGCGAAGCTGTCCATAAAGAATTGCATATGCTGGAGATAACGATGGGAGAGCGTGTAACTTTTGCTCTACCACACAGAACACGATATGATAATAAATAACGTATTAAGAGTTACTCATACCTGTGACGGCCGGAGTGAAACAAAAAACTTTAACGTATTTTGTAAATACACTGCTTGAACACGTGAAGGAAGATCTACAATAGAAGACTTTGGATATAGAATGAGTAGACTTTATATAAAAGTTGGCTGGTCAAATTGAACTTCGGAGGACATAAAATGTTCAAAAAGTTCAACTGGATTTTCTACAAGTCTAATTAACAAGCAAAAGTTATTGTTGAAGAAAATAAAAAAAATAGGAAAGAGAGCAGGATGTACTGGGGATAGGCAGAGCAAATCCAAACAGCCAATGAAAATAGCACGAAAATACTTTCTTCTGCCGGAAAGCTCATCAAAAAGTGCTCCTTGCAAAGTAATAAAAGAAATATAAATAATAAATAATAAGCAGTGCACCATCCGCCGGACAGCGTGAGGACGGACATCTGGAACACGAACAACCACGTGTCTCAACTCTTCTATAATTCGCTCCCCTTCATTCAATAGTATTAGTGCAATGTTCATTGAGAAGAGCGGCAGCCAATGCACCTTGTTCCGGTCCGCAGCGCTCAACCAATAGAAGCAAGGTGTCAAAGTACCACGAAAAGTCGACCATGTGACTGCAGTGATGCCTTTGGCACGTGGATATAATTCTGCTGGCGACTTCGTCCCGGAAATCCGTGCTGTCTGACTACCGCGAGCAAGTACAGGCGCTTTACATATGAGATTATGAAGCGTAATGACCAACAGAAGACCGTCTGCACGGTAGCACAGAGACGATCTATAATCTTTTTAAAATTCTCTTTTGAAAGCTTTACAAAAAAAAAATTAAAAAAAATTAAAAAACTTATAAAATTGCAAACCAAGCCAAGCAGTAAATCTACACTTTGAAATAGAATAACTTCATCGGAGGATTCCAGGCATTGCAGGATCAGATCCATTTGTGGAATCGCTAATTCCAAATTGATTTTCATAACTTTTTTTAATGCGTGAAGCCCCAAATAACGTACTTAATAATAAGTTAAACTAACTCAAAAAATTTATTTTTTTATAAAAATAAAACAATTGTGATCATCTCTCTCAAAAAAGGAGGAAAGCTTTGAGGCACACAATTGCATAAGATTTTCACGTCGGCTTAACGCGTGCAGCGCTGCTGAAATCGTCTCGTAGCTAATTACAATTTATATAATATAACTATAGTAATAATAATTAGTTAAAAGAAAATATAAAACCGTACAGCAAAGCCAATGAAGGCGTAGTGCTTATAATTTCTGTCAGCGGCGATATTAACTTTTTAGCGAGCCGTGGTTCGAGCGGCATCAGCCGGTTAAACTGTAAATTAAAATAATTTTTTGAAAAATTAAGCAAAAAAATCTGATTTTAAAGTTGTTACATAAATTAAAAGTATAATTTATTTAAGTTATATCTTAGTTAAGTAGTATTCCTGAACTTTTATTAGTATAAGAACTTAAGCAAGCCTTACTATTTTGATAATCTTAATCAACATCCAAGTGCTGGAATTTTTTAACATTGAATAAAAAATGGGCGCTAGGCAAAGAAAATCTTTTGGGTTCTTTTGTGAAAGTTCACAAAAAATGCTAATAACAGAGCTCTGAACGGCTTATAAAAGGAAAATCGGGAATAAATTTCAAATGAAAATTTTAAAAGTTACTTGGATCGGGATCTTTACATTTTTCTCTTAATCGAGGTAAAACTAACGGGAGAGCATCTGGATGTTGTAGGCAGACTTTGTAAAGCGCAATAACGGACTTTTTACGGACACTTGCTCTAAATAAAAGGATGTTTTTTATAGACAAAAGATTGAGTTCTGAGTGTTATTAATCTTCACTTTGAAGAAGAAAGAAGGGCTAGTAAATCATCCAGTAGTACTTTTCCGAGATTTAAAGTAACAAAGTTGGAAACACCCGTTAAGGCGAGCTCTGACTTTAGTTTTTTACTTTAAATAATTTAATAATAAATTAAATGCTTACCAACATCAAAAGATTTTAGACTAGATAAATCTTTTTTTAATAAGTTAGACGCCATAAGAAGCGCTTCGGTTTCACTGCCAAAAATTTGGATCGCCGCTAAGTAACCTACCCGCTTCTGGACAAACTTTGTAGAACTCATTGCTTCAAGAATATGAAATTCCGCAAATGATACATTGTAGCCGAGCATATGGATATATCTTCAAAATATTATCATTTGTAAGATTTTTAAAGCTACAATCCAGTTTAAAATAAAAGGAAGAAAGCAGTTACGTACATGAGCTTAGATATAGCGGAGACTTTACAATTTAAATTTGTAGAGCTTAAGCTCTTTTTAGTTATTGTTAAAGACTTAATTATATAAGTTCTTTCTTTATGCTTGTCTCTATTATGAAGTCCTCGAACAAAAGCTTGCAGAGATGTTGTAAACAGCGTCGTTGAAAGGTTTGCGTCTAAAAGTATTATCCATTACAAAAAAGTTAGCTGTTATGATAGTAAGGAGGTAACAATAAATTGATACCCATAATTATTAGTAAAAAGTTTTAGTCAGATGTATTTGCTACAAGTAAACTGCTATATAAAACTTGACACTCCAGAACATATCGCTTTACTCAAGTTTTTACGTTCGAGCATTGCTATTGGCTGTCCAAAAAGTAGTGTACTATGACTTTTTCTTCTATCAATTTAATATTTTTTGCAGTGTTAGTTCTAGCTCCCTCCCAGCGTAGTCTGAAAGTTAAACTGTAGCGCCTATAAGTAAGGTGTTATATAATGAAAAGGATAACTGGTTTTTTGAATGGCTTTACACCCGTACCCGAGAACAGTTTAAGGCAAGTGGGTTATTTACAAACTAAAAGTGATGCTTCGCAAAATATATAAATAATCTTATCAAGCGTTATAAGCTTAACTAGACCCTTTGATTGGCCACATGACATAATTTAAAGGCTTTTAGTCATCTACACAGAAGAGAATATTGGTGGTGACAAAAACTTAGAAGAAATAAGTGGTTAAGTAGCATCCAGTAAATCCGTTTCTTTAAAGTACGGTTCCGAGTAAACAAGAGTAAAATAGGTTTAAGCATTTTCTTAAGTACGACTCTTTATTAATAGTTAACTTAAAAACCAAAGTAAAAGTACTAAGAAATAGAACTGAATAGCCACTCTAAAACTAAAAATTTTTATTTATTTCTTGTGTTTTTTTTAAGAATATTATCATTATTACTTATTTCCTAGTTATATTTTTATTTTAGATTTTTTATTCGTATATAAGTATCTATTAAGTTATAAATTTTTGCAAAAAATTACGCTCTATCATGAGTATGGAAGGGCCAGATAAAGTTTAACCCGTAAACTAATTGCAATGACTTAATAAATAAATCATATCCTTTAACAAGAAATCCTTCACAGAAAAGTAAATATTATAGACTATCCTATCGATAATTTTGGTTTATGTAATTTTATATTTCTTATTAAGCCTTTAGTTCTTGGATGGTCTTAATACTCAAGGAGGTACACAGACGTGCAATTTGAACCCAACTCGGTCTGCGCTCGACCCATCGCGCAACTTTAATAGTCAATAAAATTAAAATGAAAAGCTACTCTTCGATCGCTCTTCCTAAAAGAAAGGGCATGGAGTCTGTGAGGGTCCGCATCAACTTGGCTAACGCAAAGTCCACAATAGAGATTTCGATCCCCCGACCTGCTGGCCATAACTGATTTAATGCGCTGCTTTATGTTGAGGAAAAGACCCCAGTTCATAAGTTTTAACGCAAATTACCATTTTTAGGCAATTTTATAATTATTATTGATTATTTCATTGCTTAGTTGTTAGTATATAGTGAAGTTTCACGAAAATAAACCGGCGATCGTGTTAATTTTAAATAATGCTTTTTTTGTTTTAGTCACAATTTTACATCTCTCTCTCTCTCTATATATATATGTGTTTACAATCAATTTTAAAGAACCTAAAGATTTAGATACCGGTCAGTAAAGGTTTATATACCCTAACACTTCAACGTTATTCATTCGCTATCCCTTACGGTGGCTTCAATAGCGAGTGAATTTTCTATCCTCGTCACCCTTGGACGTTATGGTAGACCGATACCTTCATCGCTAGCATCCTTAGGAAACCATGGTCCCGTTTGTGAAGTTATATGAACCTCCTAGAAAACGAAAGATCTTTTCTCTACAAGATTTTGTACTTAATAATTACAGGGTTTTCCGGGGAAACGGAGGAAAAAAAACAACTCACTCTTTAACGATTCCTGCTACCCATTATAAGAAAGACAACAGGGACGTTTTTCTTGAAATTAAAAAAGCTTTTGACCGAGTTTGACAGAGGATTTGGCCGGAAATTTTGAGCGCATTATAGTCCGACCTTCTGCTTTTTTCAACGTCATCACATTGCTCCTTAAGAGTATCTTTAATAAGCCTGTTGGTTATGCGCACCCTCACCAACACTACTAACTACAGCGGAGATCATATAGAATCTTCTATCGACGTGCTACAGGTAGGCAACTTCTCACGCAGATCGCTTTGTATGCTCGTTAAAGAAGCTGCCGGCCTTAATTCCCCAGCGTCTGCATTATTACATAGGCACGCTCGTCAGCTGATGTCAAAGCCTTTTTTATCATGAATTGTACTGCACCAACATTCCTGCTAACCGCTAAAAGCAAGGTAACCCAGTGGGCTTCCAAGGCGACATATTAGGGAATCGTTATCAAAATTTGTACATATGCACATAAGAGAGTATATCTAAACAAGAATTAATTTTTTGACCAGTTTCGGTCTGTATTTCTACCTTCACAAAAAGGTCGAATACGCTTCCATATATGGAGTAAATTTAAATGAACCAGAAAAAATTTTACTTTGTTTAGTTTGTGTCCAATTAATAATCTAGGTCAAATTATATTTTTTATTTGTTGAAATACTAATTTCTGTTTTCTTGTATTTTTATTGGTTGTCTCAGGTTTCTGAATGGATTAATCACGGATCGTTTAAACAAAAAAAGGTGTTTTTTTTAGGAAACAGTTTAAGAAACGTTCCCGAACAATAATTTTTTTTTTTCTCCATTAAATTACATATATATAGGGATGTAACACTTAATAGATTACCCCGTGGAGCTCTCTTGTTAAGTACTTAGGGGTTACAATGCATCATAAATTAACTTGGAACGCTCATATTGAGTATGTCCTCAAAAAAATGAACGCTGCTTGGAATGTCCTATACCCCTTCATAGGTAGGCATAGCAAACTCCACCTTAAAAAAAAGCTGCTTTTATATAAATTCATTATTTCTCCCAATTTTGGTATGCTTCCGTTTGTTGGTTCAACTCTGAGCGCCATATAAATAGGCTGCAGATTTTTAAAACAAATTCTTCAAAATAAATACTGATGTTCCACGGTTCTTACGTAATGCTCAGTTATATCGTGACTTCCATTGAAAACAATCGACTTTATTCTTACAAAATACGACTAAATACTATAAAGAATACAGTACACATACCAATAGTTTATTAGTTACTGCTGTTAGTTATAACCCAGGCCAGTATAACAGGTATAAAAGACCATAACACGTTTTAAGATTTCTTCCTTTGATCCTCAATTTCCCACCCTCATTATTTGTCGTTTACTCATTTATTATATAATTTAATTTTAATATTATTATTATTACTATTTTTTAAGGATATATATTCCATATATAAAAGTGACAGAACACATATAAACTATTATTTCTAAATGCTTAAAAGACTTAAGTATTATTATAATGCATTTAATACATATAAGCAAAAACCGCTTGTTATAGTATATTTATATATCACTTAATTATTTAATCATTATTATTACTTACTGATCTTATTTACTTATTTTATTCTATTTATTCTTGATAATAAAATTGGTTTTTTTCTGTTGTTTGGTCGTTTGCTGCGTACTTCTTTCTTCTTATAACTTGTCCAGGGGCCGATACGCAAACAATGGAGATGAAGGGTCTTCGAGGGGGGCTGGATTCTTCTTTACCTCTCTTATAGTTTAAGAGGGGAATAAGGATTAAGCAGCAAAAATATGCTATGCATGTCGACTGAAGTATGTCAGGAATAAAACAATAGATAAATACTATGAACACCGCTAAGAAAATAGTTAACATACGCTGACACATAAGTTTCCTTACACAAAAAATAAACGTCTTACTTGAGAACAGTTACCACAACTATTCGTTCCCGTACCTCCTTTGCTACCTTCAGGACAACATCCACAAAGTCTTCCTGAGTAACCAAAAGCATTGCATTATTTCCATCTTTTACATTAAATAATTTTTTTTAAAAAAAAAATTCAATCATAAACTACTTTTACGTCTTCTTAATAGGTCAGTAGTTTTCCGATATACACAACCTTTGTAAGAGCTGTTGCCCTACTAACCCCGTCCGGCAATTTTTAAAACTCGTTTAGTAAATAAAACCGCCATGACGAATGTAAATAGTTACTTATTTTGGGAGTGAAAAATTTTTAGTTTATAGAACGATACTCTCACTGGAAGTAACTTAATCCTTAAGAAAGAAAAACGGGATGAGCAAGTTAAGGTTTCTTGTTAGTAATTTTCTTGCCCTTAAGGTTAGGCGTTCACTTTTTGGGTGTGTTGTTATTAATTGCCCCTTCGTTTAGTTCTTTTATTTAAACCATAGCATTTCTATACCAGCGAGTTGAAAAAAAATAAGGTAGAGTCAATAGCTTATTAAATTGTTTTGCAGTACACTCGAGAGCTAATTGTTTTAAACAAGCACGAGTATTGGATACTATATACATAATGCTTAGTTTAAATAACCCGGCTTAGGTTCCTTTAAAACCTCTATCTTTACGGCCATTAACTTTTTTAGTGGTACTTTATGAATCATAACGATGTTTAATTTTCATCAAAGTTTTGAGCTTTTAACGTATGTGAACAACACATAAAAAAAAGCTAACACTTTAAAATAAGGTTCAATTTATACGTATCAATTATGGAATTACTTGCAAAAAAACTCATATATAAAACATGGTTTCAAACGATTTTAAAAATTAGATAATAGCAAAAACGGGGAAAACAAGATTTATGAGGCCTTACATAATCGAGTAAATAAAATTAACGTAGCCTTAAAATTATTATAAAATTTTCTAAGTACTTAGGAGAGATTAGTGAGCAATGAATAATTGACGATCTGTTTTTACGCTTTAAGCTCTTCATCCTCTTTGTAAAGCATATTTTTGTATTATAGAGAAGGTTAAGTTCAGGCAATAAGCTATACAATTTCAAACTGGTCAAAAATTCATCTAGTTGATTGGTAGAAAACTTGAAACCTTTTGTA